AGATCGGAAAAGCTGACGTCCACCAATTTAGAGAATCGATTGGAAAGCTGAGCCTTTGCACCCGGACTTTGAGCCTCAAGAGAGCAACCTCAGTGGGAACCTTCACGAGTACGCATCACTTCCTGACTTTCGGTTGACACTAGTAGCAGAGCTGACTTGTCTATAGTTTACTCGTCAGAGACCAAAAATGGCTCAATATGGACGAGGGCGGCCGGCCGAGATACAATCTTTGCGGTAAAATAGGTGAATACTCTGTGGTACGTTATTGGCACATGGGCCATATCCCTGTCGTCAACCTCCGTTCTACTCGTTATGGACCATGAATACTACATAGCTGACATCTTTCACAGAACGACGAAGAACTGTGGACAGCCCTCCAACCAGCCCTCCAGCTCGTCACCCGGGTTTTACAGATGGATCATCCCTTCTGGCGAGCATGCTTGGACTCCCTCTGTGGAATTGAAGTCCCACCTCACCGCAAGAGCAGGAAACACAAGGACAAAAAGCTCATCTACATCGACCCCAACGAGCCCAAGGACTGGTTCGCAAAGCAGGGCACTCACATGAGAGCAAACCTCGCCCTCAGCTATATCCAGGAAAGAATAAGCCTCAGCATCAAGTCAAATCGTCAATTCGTGGCTGGACAAGGACCAGGCCGAGACGACATGACCGGTGAGACGCAGCCATACCATCGAAACGACGCTGTCAATTTTCGTCTAGAAGTCGCAATTGCAGCCGAGATCATGTGGCCTCTGCTTGTCCCGCAGTACACCATTGTCGAAAAGCAAAACTGTTCACTCGTGATTGCAACTGTCATTCTTCACGAACTAGCTGTATGTTTTTATTTATCCCGTTGCCTTCTAATAGCCTGCCATGTTGTAGCTGACTCAGGAACCGCCGTCCGTCGTTGATGAATAGCATGCCGCTCATTTTGCCATGTATGGCCACGTCGCAGACACTCTAAACCCAGAAGTCCGCCGAGCATGGGACGATCCCTTCTGGGCTAATGAGGGAAAAGCTGAGATCGGATTTGCATTCGAGAACCAGGTAAGCATATCCACACCCGTCGTGACCATTAGTCTAGTCACTTAACCACTGAGACGATAATCCCGCATTCGTAACGCTAACAAGATAATAATAACCACAGCTATGGGGCGGCACCCTCAAACCGCCTCACAAAACCGACATCGCCAGATTTTATCCCTACCGCACATGGCCCATTGACATCTGCCTCTGGCAGTGGCCCGACCCACCCGACCACAAAGACCATGAAAACAGGGCAGACTACCTCCGTAATGCTATTCTGCCCACAGCACGCGTCGGAACTCTTATTCAGCTCAAGGATGTCCACCGATTATTTCAGCAGAGTTTCTGGGATGCCAATGTTCCGATCTACGGCCACAGGGCCCTGAGATTCACCACCGCCGGAAGACCTTCTTTTGCCGTCCCGCACGACGCAGAACTGAGGAAACAGGACTGGTACGAAACTTTCGGGTTTTCCAAGGGTAGATGGCTGCACTTGGCAGTGCGAGCGTTCAGGGCCGCTGGATATGGGATGGTGGCTGAGTACCTGGGCCATCTCGTTGACGAAGAGCTAGTCGGCGTGCGAACCAAGAGCCGCTGGGACGAGGAGAAAAAGCGGTGGTCTGGCCGTGACGCAGACGTAAAGGCACACATGGAAAAGATCAGAAACAACGCGTTGTCCAGCATGCCTGGAGATGCAGCAGTCAGCGTCACCCAGCTCAACGCACGCTCTACCACCCAGGAGCTGCTATCCGCCTTGCAAGACTTTTGCAGCTCCGTGTTGGCCGAACTCCAGCACTCCCAGCGCATGGCGGTCGAATACCTCCAGCTTTCGGATTTCGACAAGAGCTACCTCCAAGTTCAGCTCTGGAAGCTTCAGCAACGGATCGAGTCCTACGGGCGCAAGGTGCACAGAATCATGAGCCTGTCTCTTCCGGCCAAGATAACCCGCTGGATGTCAATCGTGTTTCTCGATAACCAGCTCCTCTCTTCTATCAGCGAGAGTATAACAAGCATCACGTTACTCTTCCAATCTCTGAAACAAACCAGAACTTACCTGGAAAAGAACACCATCTCTCAGCGTGAATTTGACGAGATCGCAAAGACAATGCCTTCCATCGCGGATACCGTCTTACGCACCCGGTCCCAGCGCCTGCAAAAGATTGCGCAGCGAGAGTTATTCAACATGCCACTCCTGTTCCGTCAACTGTGGGAGAAGTTCCATGTGATCTTTGGAAGAATCAGCACCAAACTCCGCACAGGGACATTACGAGTGAGACCATACATCATGAAGAAGAAGAGGAAGAAGCAAAAGAAGAAGAATGCAAGGAGACAATCAAGCCCTGGCACCGACTATGACTCGGAGCTATCATTATCACGACTCTCCCTCCGAAGCCCCCAGTCAAGAATCTCACCAAGATCAGCTTACCCACAGGCGCTGCTGGCATCGGCACCGGCTCCAAGGCCAACGACGAGAGTCATGTCCGCTAATGATCCGGAGCAGGAAGCAATCTTGTCAGGACACGCTTTTGCAGGCTTGCAGATTAGACCACAGGCAGAAGGACCAGGAACCACCTTTTCAGGCCACAATTTTGAGAACCTGGAAATCAGATCACGTCCATCAACAGCAGCGGCCGGCGCTAAGCGCGGACGGGATGATGATGATGAAGATGAACCACAACTACCAGCTAACAAGCGACAACTGCGCCCAAATCAGGTACTTCCGCCACAAAGATTCGCTCGTGCTCCTGCTGCTGCTGCTGTTCCGTCTTCGTCCCCGGCAGCTGGTGCTTCCCGTTCTGCTACCGGTTCTGCTTGGACTTCTTCTTCTAGTTCTGGGTCTGATGATGATGTAAGTGATAGTTCTAGTGACGAGTCCAGTGGTGGGTCTGGCGGCCCTAAGAGTGATTCTGGTGGTAGATCTGGTGGTTCACCAAGTGCTGGTGCGGAAGGTACTCCTGAAGACGAAGAGTTGATACCCGAAGGGAGCTACAGCGTAGGCAGCACCAGGAGCCCTGGGATGCCCGAAGGCCCCGGTACTGGCTACAGCCCCGGAGATCCCATGGAGATCAGCGACAGCGACAACCGAGGGGGCAGGAGAGGAAGACAAGCAGCGCCTTCTTCCTCTACCCACCACCGCCACCATCGTCATTCCCATTCCCACTCCTATTCCTCTTCTTCTTCTTCTTCTTCTTCTTCTTCCTCCTCCTACTGCCCAACTTGCTACTCCTCTTCCGAATCCGAAACCGGTATCGTAACCAACGACCCTAACCTCGCCGACCCCTTCATGGACGCTCCCCCTCAACCCAACACCACTATCCCCCCTCAACCTGACACCACCACCACTCCCACCACTCCCCAACGTAACCTCCCTCCTCGCACAAGCCCCCTCCGCACTCCCCACATGCGCGCCCCCTCCCGCTCCCCCTACCGGACCCCTCCCCCTGCCTACCAGAAGACTCCTCCCGTGCACTCCCAAACTCCTCGTCACCCCATCGAAGGCCCTCGTCCCCGTCGCCGATCCCCCGGTCACTCCCCTCTCGAAGGACCCCGCGGCCGTCGACCCCGTCGTCAAGTCCAACCCAACGAAACTCCTCCCCCCTCTTTCCTCAACGCAGTCGGCAGTATCTTCGGCCTCAGCCTCGGCCCGGGCAGTGGCGGACGCGCTGCCACCGACGCTGACATTCGCAATGCTCGCAGCCCTTCTACGCCTGAATTTCGCGCTCCGAGGGGTAGAGATTCTCCCACGCAAATCAGGACTCCAACGTCTGGCATGCGGGGGTTGCTTGCACCGTTGGGTCGGTTGAACTTTTTCGGTGGTGATGGTGGTGGTGATGGTGGTTCTCCACCTGCGGCACCTAGGCGGAATGTGGATGCTAGAGGGCCGCCCGGCCGTAGAGGCATGGAGATCTATGAACGTCGTAGAGCTCCTTTCGCTGAGATGAATGTTCCGAATGCTCCAAGAGGTAGAGCGGGCGCTCCGGGCGCTCCGAGTGGTGCTCAGGGTGCTCGGGGTGGTAGGGGCGCTCGGGGTCCTGATGCGAATGCTGGAGAACCAAGTGTCGGGTGGGGTGGTCTGGGAGGTGTTTTTGGTGATGAGGGGAGTCAAACAGCAGGGCAGAGGGAGAATGCGGGTGATGATGATATGGATATGGACGACGGGATAATGTAGGTCGCGGTTTTCAGGGGGATGTGGACTAAACAAAGGGCTGGTGTTGTGAAGGTTGAAGCGGGTGGACAGAGATGGAGGATAGGGTGTGATATCAAGTTGTCCAAGGTAAATCGGGAGGGCCGACTACTTTGGGTGGCGGAACAGGAACAGGTTAGTGGATTAGTTTGGGTTTGTGGTATACTCTGCGTTTTATACTTGGTTATCTGGTTAGATACAATAACTTTTCTTTCATTTTTGGATCGACTTCTGCTTGTAATTGTCAGCTAGTGTGTGGTTTTCTTATACCCTGGAGCCAGTCGTTTGCATAACGAACCGAGCATTGAGTACTACTGTCGTCCACTGGCATTTCTGATTCACCCTGACGTGAATGTTTGCTAATATACGGACGCAAACATCTCGACAGATCTTACAATCTCATTGTCGATTGCAGCTACTGAGGCCTGTCGATGTCCTCCTCGGCCACTCGCCACTTTTGCAGAGCCACCTGAGCGTCCATCCGCGTTCAGACTATTTTCTCTCTGATTGCTGTCCGGAACTGTTCTGGCACTGCCTCCAGCTCTTGATTCGCTTTTCTGAAGCCATTCCATGTTTTGTTCTTCGATTATGGCACGATTATGGGATCGAGAAAAGGAACATAGTCCTCCAACATGCAAGCAAAGGGTTGTTGCGAATACCAGCGGGTCAAAGCAGGGACAACGCACCTCTTGGCCGTCAGAACTGGAAGTTCATTGATACTTTGCCCTCTTCACATTTCGCTTTCAGCACGCTTGGAGGTTCGCCACCCCTGACATGAATGGGAAAACTTCCTCCCAGGTTTTCAAATTGAGGGAGGGAAGTACGTCCTAGAGGTAATTTGTTAGCCCACTTACGTCTCTGACACTGAACTTGGTGGCTTCACACTAGGAGTGTTGGAAATAGGTGGGGATGGGCGACTCACGGTAGCCATTTGTGGTAGGCACGCGTATCCTGGGGGGCGAAAGTGACAATAATGACCTTTGTGATTGTGGCCGGTGTCTTGGGATCTAGCAGGAAATGACGAATGGCACCAAGGGCTGCTTGAGCTGCATATGTGCTCGGATAACCGTAGATGCCGGTGCTGATGGCGGGGAAAGCGATGGTGGTGAGTCCAGCCTCTGCTGCTATCTGCAGAGAGCGTAGATAGCAGGAGATGAGGAGTTTCTCGCACTCCTGGTGGTTCCCCGATGAATAGACAGGACCGACCGTGTGGATGACCTTTTTGCAAGGCAAGTCATAGGCGTCAGTCATGACAGCGTCACCCGTGTCACATCCACCCTTGGTGCGGCACTCGCGAACCAGCTGGGAGCCGGCGGCACAATGGATGGCACCATCTACGCCTCCGCCACCAAGAAGGGAGTTGTTTGCGGCGTTGACAATGGCATCGACCTGAAGTTTGGTGATGTCTCCGTGGTGGATGGCAATGCGCTTGTTGAGCTCAGACGAGGGGGTTGGGAAAGCATTAGAGTCGCCGTCGACGACAACGGGGAGCGTTTGCTTATAGGAGTCTGTCACGCCGAAGCCCTCCTCGGGGAGTACGCCCTCGTCGTAGAGGTCATGGATGCTGGGGATCTCGTGGGACTCTACACGGCGGGCCGAGGACGCCATACTTCTCGTTGCTTGCGAGGCAGCTGCAGTTGTGATGGCTGGAATGGCTCGGGCTGGAATGAATCGAGCTGTGAGTGGACGTCGACTTTGATTGCGTAGAGACACTTGGAGAACGCGGGACAAAAGTCGAACTGAGGACATGAATGGCAAACGAATGGTCTCTAGTAGTTGTGCAGGAAATAGTGAAGTTGGAGAAGAGTGAGTTCAGTTGAGAAACAGACACCCGAGGGCCTCTGGGCGCCAAGCTTCCTTTATGAGTGAAGCCGAAAAGAGAGGCAGGACCGATGACGTTAGTAAACACCTTTCATGACCGCGACAGGCCCTAAGGAGGGAAACCGCCATGGCTCTGGAAGGCACGACCAATTCTAACCCAACTGAAGAGATGCCGCCCCTGAGTCAAGCATTTCGTGCAGTTACTTGCTTGCCGATTTCACTAGATTTTGTTATAAAACCAACGCTTGATGGTTTGGCACATGAGCAACAACCTGAACTCGTCGGTCATTCCACTTGTACATTGCTGATGTTCCCATGGACGGGATGACGAAAGGTCGACAGGAAGGACAGGAAAGATACCTAAACCAAAGTACCTGTCCTTATCTTACCTTATCTTCCATTCGTGTCACCGCCCCTAGGTAGTTTAGAGGTAGCTGGGGCGGGCTGAGGCGGGGCACAGCGCTAGGGACGCCCTCAAACCCCTTGTAAGTTCCTGGACGTTCTGGCCCGTACCCCTCCCTCGTCGTGTGTGCCCCCCCGTCTCCGACAATTTTGCCAGACACTTATCGCGGCGGTTCCAACTCGTCGCCGTTTGATTCGAGTCTTGCTACCTGACTCACCCCCGTCACCGCACATCACCGCCCGTACAGCCATCCTCTGTCCGACCGACAACCTCTCCGGTTGACTCTAGCCCGTCGTCGCGATAGCAGGTCCTGTCGCCCTCTCCCATATACATACCTAGCCTCCACCTCAGAGAGCCCGCCCGCTTTTCTGCGCAACGCAATCGCATATCGAGACGTTTGAGAGACTTTGCGACAGCCCACCATCACCACCACCACACACACCACCCAGTCGCAAACCGCACACCACACACAAACACATCATGACCGACGCCGTCGTGGATGCCGCTGCCAAGATGCAGCTGGCCGACGCCCCCGTCGACCCCAATGCCCCCAAGCTCGTTCTCGACGAGGAGACCGGCGAGATGGTCTCCAAGGGAGAGCTCAAGAAGCGTCTGGCCAAGCGCGCAAAGAAGGCCATCAAGGAGAAGAACAAGGACGACAAGAAGAACGTCGCCGCTACGATCGCCGCTGCCCAAGACGGTGCCACCCCCAAGAAGCAGACTCCTAAGCCCGAAGAGGCCCCCATCGACACCCAGGCCATGTTCAAGCAGGGCTTCCTCAACGACGTCTACAACGAGCGACCCGTCAAGCCCGTCTTCACCCGTTTCCCTCCCGAGCCCAACGGCTTCCTCCATATCGGCCACGCCAAGGCCATTGCCATCAACTTTGGCTTTGCCAAATACCACGGTGGCAACTGCTACCTCCGATTCGACGACACCAACCCCGAGGCCGAGGAGGAAATCTACTTCACCGCCATCGAGGACACGGTCCGCTGGCTCGGCTTCACCCCCTATAAGATCACGTACTCGTCCGACAACTTCCAGAAGCTGTACGACCTGGCCGAAAAGCTGATTGGCCTCGACAAGGCCTACGTCTGCCACTGCAACGATGACGAGATCAAGCTCCAGCGTGGAGGTGAGAAGGGCTCCAGCCCCCGTTTCCGCTGCAAGCACGCCGACCAGTCCGTCGAGGAGAACCTCCAAAAGTTCCGCGACATGCGCGACGGGAAATACAAGCCCAGGGAAGCTTTCCTTCGCATGAAGCAGGATATCACCGACGGCAACCCCCAGATGTGGGATCTTGCCGCTTACAGAGTCCTTGACAAGCCTCACCACAGGACCGGAAGCCAGTGGAAGATCTACCCTACCTATGACTTCACCCACTGTCTTTGCGATAGCTTTGAGGGCATCACCCACTCCCTCTGCACCACCGAGTTCGTGCTCAGCCGTGTCTCGTACGAGTGGCTCAACAAGTCTCTCGAGGTCTACGAGCCCATGCAGCGCGAGTACGGCCGTCTTAGCTTGTCCGGCACCGTGCTCTCCAAGCGCAAGCTCAAGGAGCTGGTCGACCGCAAGATTGTCCGCGGCTGGGACGACCCCCGTCTGTACACCCTGATCGCCGTTCGCCGCAGAGGTGTTCCTCCCGGCGCCATCCTCGAGTTCGTCAACGAGCTCGGCGTCACCACCTCCAACAGCATCATCCAGATTGTCCGTTTTGAGCAGACCATCCGCCGCTACCTCGAGCGCACCGTGCCCCGCCTGATGCTCGTGCTTGACCCCGTTCCCGTCGTGATCGAGGACGCTGACGAGTTCGACGGTTCCGAGCTTACCGTGCCTTTCTCGTCCAAGAACGCCGCTATGGGCGACCACAAGATCAAGTTCACCAAGACCGTTTACATTGACCGCTCCGACTTCCGTGAGGTCGACTCCAAGGACTACTTCCGCCTCGCCCCCGGCAAGACCGTCGGCCTTCTCCAGGCCCCCTTCCCCATCAAGGCCACCAGCTTCACCAAGGACGAGACCACGGGCAAGGTCACCGAGATCCGCGCCGTCTTTGACCGTGAGACCAAGAAGCCCAAGACCTTTATCCAGTGGGTTGGCACCGACGGCTCTCGCAAGTGTGAGGTCCGCGTTTACAACCAACTGTTCAAGTCGGAGAACCCCGCTGCTGCCGAGGGCGGCTGGTTGAGCGACATTAACCCCGAGAGCGAGGTTGTCTACCCTGATGCCCTTATCGAGTCTGGCTTCGACGAGGTCAAGCGCCGCGCTCCTTGGCCTGAGGCGGCTGGTGAGAGCGAGCTTGGCAAGGGCGGTCCTGAGAGTGTCCGCTTCCAGGCTATGCGTGTTGCTTACTTTGTAAGTTCCCCCCTTTCCCTGACACTATCTCTGAATTGTAACTAACCGATAGTTTTGCAGGCCCTGGACAAGGAAAGCACAGATGACAAGATCGTTCTTAACCGCATTGTCTCGCTCAAGGAGGATAAGGAGAAGAACTAAGCCGTTGTCAGCGAATTAACAAAGAAAAAATTGTGGAAAAATATAGAATAGAATGATTATGAGTGTATGAGCAAATTTTGGCCCCCGAGATATCACTTTTTTTTAGGTTTACGGTGTCCAGATGGAGTAGCGGAGTTGAAAATGGACATGGCATCATGAATGCTTATTTACAAAACTACTTGGCTTTCCGTGTGTCGCCGTTTTGATACCTTTGTGTCTGACTAATATGGTGTTCTTTTTTTTTCCTTTTTTTTTTTTTTCTTTTTTACCCTTTTTCTTTTTCCGTCTTCCTCATAAACGTGCCGAGCTAATGCTTTGGCCACACCCTCCATGGTTGTCACAGCTCATCTTGCCCTGTCACACTGACATAGAGGCAGCTGAAAATAAGATGAGCAATGGAAGTGAGATCTTCGTCAGAGAGTCGCCCACCAAAAATGGCGTATGCGAGTGCTATATACATCATGATGCATTTTGCAGATATCAAACCATTGATAGTCGCTATACATAGGTAGGTAGTAAATACCCTCAGTATTTCTTGGTAGATATTCAATTTTACTAGTAACACCTTGCTCTCTAAAATTTGGAGGTGGTTGGTGTCTTTTATTGCTGCTTTGTGCTCGTCTTTTTTTCTCGTGGTGCTGCTTGTGAAGGCCCAAGACTGACGACCAATGTACATCGTGTACCCCAAGAAGAAGAACCTGGGTGTTAGAGCTCCCTCCGCCGCAATTGCTCGGAAGCAGAGTCAGGACATGATAAAGTCCAGATCGGTGCTCCAATTCAACCTTTGGCAACCCAAGATCATGCAAGAATGATTTATTTACCACTGATCTACAATTATGTGGTGTTCACTGCCATTCTCTATCTCTTCCACTAACACTTACACGAAAACAAGCGCTTTCCCCTTTCGGCTGACTCAGCGCAGTCTCGACCTCCAAAACGGCTCAAGGCCTATGATGATGTCATCGAACCGATTGACGATCCCATCGCCATGGTCCCCTTTTTGCATCGATCTAGTGTAGTGTATGTATGACGGATTTTGATCCCATCAATGCAGATTTCGGGACGGGCCTAGATTGCATGGTTGGTCTCTTTCATCTCATTTCATACTAATCTTGCACGTGCGTGTGTCTCTCCATTTGTTATACAGAGCCGCAGCCACGCGTTCGTACCTTTCTGAATAGTACTTCTGTGGTTCTCGTCCAACTAGGTTACTTTGCTGCCTCACCTTATCTCACCTCACCTCACCTCATATTTAGAAAGGCTGAGTGAACCATTGAAGCAGATATGGGCGACAGTGCCGCGCATCAGGTGCTAATCGTAAGTGTTCACCCTCTCTTTCACCCATCTCCAGTTTACATACAGTCTCACTCACTTCATACAACCAGGCCGGCTCAATAGCAGCCTTCACCGTCGACCTCCTCGTCTACCCCCTCGACACAATCAAGACCCGTATCCAAAGTCAAGATTACCAGGATGTCTACGCTTCCCAGAAACAACACTCTACCATAAAGGGAACACTGGGAATCCAGCCTCCCAAGGCAGCCTTATTCAGAGGGCTGTACCAGGGAATAGGCAGTGTGATCTTTGCTACTTTGCCTGCTGGTGAGTTTTCTCTTTACCTTTCATTTTCATTCAGACAGTATACTCCTCACATCCCTTCGAATGCTGTGGCGGTCGGGGTCATCCCGATCAACCTACCTTGGAGGAACCTGGACTTAAGATCCCCTTACTTACTTACTTACTTACTTACTTACCTCCTTCTCCTCCTCCTGCTCCTCTACACAGCCGGCGTCTTCTTCTATACCTACGAATCCGCCAAATCCTTTCTCTCCAAGACCCTCCCCACATCCATCCCGACACCCTTCACCCACTCCCTCGCCTCTGCGGGAGCCGAATTAGCCTCCTGCCTCGTCCTCACGCCCGCCGAAGTAATCAAGCAAAACGCACAAGTGCTTCAACGGTCCACTACTAGCGGCAGGAAACCCAAATCAACCTCCCTCGAAGCCCTCAACATGCTTCGCCACAGCCCAGATGGCGTATGGAGACGACTGTTCTCGGGCTACACAGCGCTGGTAGCGAGAAATCTGCCGTTTACGGCGTTGCAGTTTCCCTTGTTTGAAAGGGTTCGAAGAAGGATATGGGAGGTTCGGGATCGGGATCGAGGGAAGGGGTCTGAACAAGAAAGAAGTCTGGTCGAAACGGGATTGGTCACCGGACTCTCGGCCGCCATGTCAGGGTCGCTGGCAGCGTTTGTGACGACGCCTACGGATGTTGTCAAGACGCGGATGATGCTTGCGGCGGGGGGGAAACAACAGCCGGAGTCGTCTGGGGAAGTGCTCGACAAAGGTCGCCAGCACAAGAGCAGCAAGAGTACGAGCGGGTTGCAGGTCGCAAAGGAGATTGTGCGGGAGCGAGGGATCCGAGGGTTGTTTCGGGGCGGCGCGCTGCGCACGGCGTGGGCGGCCTTCGGCAGCGGCCTTTATCTCGGGTCGTATGAGGTCGCCAAGGTGTGGTTGAAAAAGGAATGATAGATGCTCTCCAGATGGCAGGCTGGTAAACTCGCTGGAGAGTGATCTGTTGCGGGCAGGGGAAAGCGAGTGTTCGAGAACGTCATCCGCGTGGAATTGCGCCTTGTATGGTTCCAAATACCATGAGCAAGAGGGGGATTAACGCTGGAAGATATGCCCGACAAGGTTTGACTTCTCCAGTATCGATCATCCCGGCTCAGTCTCGTCTCATCTGATGTCCATACATAGCCGGTCCCAATTCCGAATTGGCCATTAGCCGCGCAGTGCAGCGCTGCAGAGATGAACAAGGCTTAATTGATATCTGATGGGCAGAAGTGAGGTATCAAGCCGCTGTCGGAGGTTTTCATGACTCGAAAATCGCCCTTGTCGACTGATTGTGTTTTAGAGGGTTCCAGATTCTATCGACCACTTGCGCATTGCGATGAGTGACATGGAAAGTCCTGTCATGATAACTGGCAGCCTTTGGCTTGAGTTTGGACTCGAATCGGCACTACAAAGGCTTTCATTGAGAGTTCGGATGAAGAACAAGCCAAAAATCACAGCGGGACCGCCACGTTTTGGATTTTGTGTACCTGATTCTTGTTGACGAATGCGCTGCTGTCAGATCCGCAATTACGATTCCCATCATGGCCCAAAAAAAAAAAAAAAAAAAAAAAAAAAAAAAAAAGCGACATCTTCGGACCAAATCAGCCGTGAAGCGCCAAACTGAATAATGGAAAAGACACCTACCCTTCCCGTACAATTCCATCGTCCCTTCCAGACCTTCCAAACAGCAGTATCCGAAAGTGATGTGCAATTTGTTTCACTCCGAGTTTTCTTGGGTTTGATGACCAAGGATCCGCCTGGGTCGGCTTGGGGTCTTTGATATGGCACCACCCTTGTGACCGATTGCGCGATCAGCAATTGTGCATGCACATTGTCGCAATAACTGGCAGGCGCGGTTGCCCGCATCCTTCGAGTATGTCATCCATATGAACTCGCGATTTGAGAGCGGTATGTCACCACAATTCGTACCCGTTCGTCCCTGTTCATCCCTATTAGTCCATTCTTTTGCAATCTCAAAGACTACTTCACCCTGGGCGCCCATCCTTCCAAGACCTCAGCCATCATATCTCGAAATCATTGCGCACCAGCCGAGTCGGGCGACCAAGCAGTACATAGGCCACGTTGAGTCCAACGTGGTAAACTCCAGTCAACCCTTCTCCTCCGCAACCGACAGTCCTTGTCCTCACGCGATCGCCGTCGCAATATTTTGTCCCTCTTCTGCTGCCTTAGCCTAGCATCTCCTTTTCTCGACAATATGGCCATATCCCAAGGTCCCGTCGGCGTAGCTATGGCCAGCCATAGTACTCCGGTCCATCCTGAAAAGACTTCCAGTATCGTCTCTGAGAATAACATTCAGACCACACCCACGGAGCTACCGGACAAGGAGCGATACATTGTAGTATCACCCTATACCGAGCAACAACACCTTCTCGACCTCACAACCCTTGACCCTGAGAACCAGATTTTGGCACTTGCCCTAACTCAGTTGACGTGCCTCCGCGAGGACTACGCAACTGCGCCATACCGCGACACCTTCAACTGGGACCAGATCATTGAACACGTTCGCGCACTCGCACGAAAACGTAACTACACATGGAAGGAGACTTCCTTCTTTGTTGTTGCTTTCCGATCACAAGTATTCGAGTCGACGGTCGAGAACTATGCGGACCTGGGTGAGCTGGACAAGGCTGCCCATGCTGAAGCCACCGCAAGTGGAGGGTTCTTGAAGTGAGTGAGAGCCATATTCCTCCGCAGGAACCAGCATGCTGACATTGACGGTTCAGGTACTGGTTCGGCACGCCAAATGATGAGCGTCGCAACCTTGCAACCTGCATCTGGAGATCCCCAGAAGATGCGAAGAAGGGGGGCACTGGCCCTGCGCACCGAAAAGCGGCCGGGGCAACCAGGTCGCTGTATTCCTTCTGGCATATAGATCGCCATCGGTTGACCATCCGAGACAATGTTGAGAGCTGGGATCTCACCGAGTGGAATTGACGTTGAGGAGCTACTTGTCTCCGGTGCTGGACACTGGGCACGACGATTTGGACTTGTAACGGCTTGGGCATCGAGGTTGGCGTTTTGATGAAAATTGACGGTGACAAGGCGATATGGTCACCATGCATCGAAGGGAGTTATGATGATTGTAATGACCATAGGAATATCCTTAGAGGCATCGATACTCAGTAGAATAGACTCGTGCTTTGTCTTTCAAGTTGCGAGCTGAAGTGAACTTGAAGTCGTGATGGGAATACTCGCAGGGTGTGAAAGTTAAGAGGAAAGAGGGGTATGAAGACGTGTCCAGTGAAGACGTCGGAGTCGCATATTTAAAGATGGCGTGAACCTTGAAGACGAGGAGCGAAACTAGGTTCGGCGTGGGGGGGGGGGGGGGGGCCCGGGGAAGCGTGGGATGCTGCTTGTTGCGGATGTCAAATCACGGCGAGTTGGCGACCGCCACCAAAAGTCCGAGTCCCGTTGTGGAAGTGGTGATCTCTCGCGGGACTTTGAGTGAGGGGTTGTCAAGGTAGCTCGAGTGCTCTCACGAACTTGACCCCCATCAATTGGTGGGAAGCTGCAATTTCAATATCTGAAGTGCTGCCGTTCGACGATCTCCGCATCGTGAGGAAATTCCTCAGTCAAGACGGAGTGGATGCCCTCCCCAGACTCCATCGTTGCAGCAACAAGTCGACGAGATCAAGTGGGACCAAACTTCGTCAGTGGGGTTGGGCTGTGGGAGACCACACAGTCAGCAGTGCGACCGTCATCGAGTGAGCACTGTTCCTCGCAGCTGGAAAGTGGAAGGTACTTGTGCGGTACTTCTCTGAGCTAAAATCATAGTCACGGCCAAACACCTGCAAAGCACAGGCCATTGCCCATTTTCTTTGTTTCTGGACCGCCCGCCCGCCACCTGCCAGCTGCCGGCAAACGGTCTTTGCTGGCTGGCAGTCTGTTTCCGGCAGGACACCCCAGTGCGGCCGGTTGGTCGCCAGCAGTGCCCACAAACGCAAGCGAGAGAATTCAGTTGCGAAAAGTTGAAGTCCTCCACGACTGACGAATTCGACTCCCCCAGCAGCAGCCTGACCACCGCAACGGCATACAGTACCCAACCACACCGTCGCGTCTTCACGTGAGAATCGAGTCCCGTCAATCCGCAATCATGGCCGAAGTTCAGAAGGATGCGCCGATCAAGTCGGTCCAGGTCGAGGCCCTTGTAAGTTGGAGATAGCTCTCGTTCCATGTCGTCCGTCGTCTTCTCCTGCCGCCGGAGCCCCGCCATGCCTGCCCGGCCCCAAGCCGCCCGCCATAAGGCCCCCTTTGTTAACCAGCGTCGGCACCATAGGTGGTCATGAAGATCGTGAAGCACTGCTCGACCAGCTTCCCTACCGTTGCCACCGGCTCCATTGTTGGCATGGACAACAACGGTGCCATCGAGGTCACCAACTCCTTCCAGTTCCCCTCCGTCGACGTTTCCAGCAGCGACAGCCACAGCGATGCCTCGTCCCTCGCCGCCGCCGCTCCCCGCGCCAAGGCCAACATTGTCTACCAGAACGAGATGATCAGACACCTCAAGGAGGTCAACGTCGATGCTAACAACGTCGGCTGGTACACCAGCGCCACCATGGGCAACTTCATCAACATGAGCTTCATCGAGAACCAGTACCACTACCAGAAGGAGAACGAGAAGACCGTCGCCCTCGTTCACGATGTTAGCAGGAGCTCCCAGGGCGCCCTCAGCCTTCGCGCCTTCAAGCTCTCCCCCGAGTTCATGACTGCCTACAAGGAGGCCAAGTTCACCACCGAGAGGTTAGCACACCGCCGAGATCGTGCCGTCGCCCATATTTTGGGGCGCAGGTCGCATATCGCATGTCGCATAGAGCACACCACTGACCTTACCTGATACAGCCTTCGGAACTCCAAGCTCACCTACAAGGACATCTTCGTCGAGCTTCCCGTCAACGTTCACAACTCTCACCTCCTTACCTCCTTCCTCCACCAAATACCCGCTCCCCCCAAGAGCGCCGAGATCCCCATGCCCGCCTCTCTCGACGACATCCGCCGCGATCCCGTCCAGATCCCCGCCCACCCTGGCTTCGAGTCTCTCGACCTCTCCATCGACCCCTTCCTCGAGAAGACCTGCGACCTGCTCCTCGACAGCATCGAGTCGCACTACACCGACCTCAACAACCACCAGTACTACCAGAGACAGCTCACTCGTGAGCAGTTCAAGATTACCCAATGGCAGGCGAAGCGCAAGGCTGAGAACGCCGCGCGTTTGGCGGCTAAGCAGTCGCCCCTTCCCGAGGATGAGTGGCAGAGGCTGTTCAAGCTCCCCCAGGAGCCCAGCAGACTCGAGGGTATGCTCAACGCCCGCCAGGTCGACCAGTACGCAAGGCAAGTGGATGCCTTCACGGCCAACATCACGGCCAAGATGTTCGCCGTTCGCGGCAACCTTCTCCCTGAGTAAAGGGGATACCAGGGGTTGTGGTGGTGTTTTTTTTGATGGGACGATAGAGGACGGTGGCCACGATATCTCAGCCGCATTTGGTTTTGGCGTTCCGGGTTGTCGGCGTGTTATTTACCTTGCAAGGTCTAGGGCAGGGTCGGCCATGCAGCCTACGTAAAGCGGGACGGGAGGGAGAGCTGCAATCACATCCAGTATCTTGTGGTGGCCTCGCTGATCTGACGTGGGGGGAGGCATTGAGGCACTAGAGAAAACAAAAGGGATGCGTCCAAAAAGGCGACGAGGGACGCGTTGGATGAATTATCAGACATGAGATCCCCGTCAATCAAGCGATAAGCCGTTATCTTCTACTATGTCTAAGGGGCCAGCCTTTTTTTCAGCTTTCCGTATATGTAATGAATTGCCTATAATCATAGAGAGATGCCACGGCCCGGGATGGGAGGGGTTTGGAGAAAGTCCGAAACTGAATTGTTATAACATGGGTCTCATCAATTCGGGGATGTGTCTATCTGGACATCTCAACGCCATGTCCGCGCTTCCCCCCGTTTGCTGCTGCAGACGCTGACCAGGTGCTTTGCTTCCGTTGAGGTTGGCTTTGGGCACCAGACCTCATTCGGGTCTAGAGACGATGATAACCGATAACAATTGTTGAACTCCCCAACCTTACCCAATGTCTTGGAAACGTCCAGTTCGGCCGAAACGAAAAGTGAATGAATGTCCGTCCTTGCCCATCCGCCTGCAAAACCCCACTATTTAGGCCGACGGCATCAGCGCTAAAAAGGCAAGCTGAAAGAGAACAACGTGGTGTCGACTCGGTGGCAGAAAGCACATTGCCATTTGCCGCGTCGACGAGAACGGCTGGCAGGCAAAGGAGGGGCAAGCACTCACATTGTGGTGGGGAATAAAGCTAAATTGGGACTAGCTTGCTTGTCTGATGCACACCGACAGAGCTGCTGGTTCGACAGATTTGCCCGCGGGGTTCTCATTTTTTTTTTCCCTAGTGTAAACCCCGTCGACCCTTCCCCACTTCCTGCACGAAGCAGTTTTGGCTTTTGCTTGCCCGTGTCTGCCCTGCTGTTCCTCTCCGCCGCCGGCTGCCACTCTCAGTCAGTCAGGCAGTCAGGCTCTGCACATTCTGCTTGTGAGCTGTGTCATTGGATTCCGGGCCCTTTGATTTCCCCTTCGTTTCCCCTGCTCCCCCAGGGCCGTGTCCTCTTTTCTGCCGTGTGCCATCCGATATCCACTTTTCACCCCATCCCCTCAGTCCCTTCCTTTTAAATAAATCCATTGCTGTCCCCTTGCCAGGAAGAGTATTCTCACTTTTTGTCCATTCATCCCTCTCATTGTGAGTGCTCCTGCCTTCCTCCATCTGTCTCTCTCCTCTAAAATATCACCACCAATTCTAACCTGTACCCTCCATCCACAGATACCCCCATATCCACCCAACATGTCTGCCCCCGCCCACAAGTTCAAGGTCGCCGACCTTTCCCTCGCCGCCTTCGGCCGCAAGGAGATCGAGCTCGCTGAGAACGAGATGCCCGGTCTTATGGCTACTCGCAAGAAGTATGCCGCTGACCAGCCCCTCAAGGGCGCCCGCATTGCTGGCTGCCTTCACATGACCATCCAGACTGCCGTCCTCATCGAGACCCTCACTGCTCTCGGTGCTGAGGTCACCTGGTCTTCCTGCAACATCTTCTCCACCCAGGACCACGCCGCCGCTGCCATCGCCGCTGCCGGTGTCCCCGTCTTCGCCTGGAAGGGTGAGACCGAGGAGGAGTACCAGTGGTGCTTGGAGCAGCAGCTCATTGCCTTCAAGGACAACAAGAAGCTCAACCTCATCCTCGACGACGGTGGTGACCTCACCCACCTCGTCCACACCAAGTACCCCGAGATGCTCGAGGACTGCTTCGGTGTCTCTGAGGAGACCACCACCGGTGTCCACCACCTGTACCGCATGCTCAAGGAGGGCAAGCTCCTTGTCCCCGCCATCAACGTCAACGACTCCGTCACCAAGTCCAAGTTCGACAACCTCTACGGCTGCCGTGAGTCCCTCGTCGACGGTATCAAGCGCGCCACCGATGTTATGATTGCTGGCAAGATCGCTGTCGTCGCCGGTTTCGGTGATGTCGGCAAGGGCTGCGCCATGGCCCTCTCCGGCATGGGTGCCCGCGTCATTGTCACTGAGGTCGACCCCATCAACGCCCTCCAGGCTGCCATGGCCGGCTACCAGGTCACCACCATGGAGAAGGCTGCTCCTCTTGGTCAGATCTTCGTCACCACCACCGGCTGCCGTGACATTCTCGTCGGCAAGCACTTCGAGGTCATGCCCAACGACGCCATTGTCTGCAACATTGGTCACTTCGATGTCGAGATCGACGTCGCGTGGCTCAAGGCCAACGCTGCTTCCGTCCAGAACATCAAGCCCCAGGTTGACCGCTTCCTCATGAAGAACGGCCGCCACATCATCCTCCTTGCTGAGGGTCGTCTTGTCAACCTTGGCTGCGCCACTGGCCACTCCTCTTTCGTCATGTCCTGCTCCTTCACCAACCAGGTCCTTGCTCAGATCATGCTTTACAAGGCCAACGACGAGGCTTTCTCCAACAAGTACGTCGAGTTCGGCAAGTCCGGCAAGCTCGAGAAGAAGGTCTACGTTCTTCCCAAGATCCTCGACGAGGAGGTTGCTCGTCTCCACCTCGACCACTGCAACGTCGAGCTTACCCAGCTCTCTGACGTCCAGGCTGAGTACCTCGGCCTCGCCACTGAGGGTCCCTACAAGAGCGACCAGTAAGTTATTTCCTGTCCTTTCTGGTGTCCAATGAATGATATGCTGATCAAGTCACAGCTACCGCTACTAATTTCCCTTTCAATACCATATATCCACCCTCTCCTGCCGTATTTGGCTAGGACAGGGGAGGTAATTTACTGAGGATCTCCTTCAACACTTTGGGTTATGGACAAAACATCTCTCAGCGGCATGTTTGGGATTTCCACAAAGCATCGTTTTCAACAGGCATGATTTGCATGACAAAACCGGGTTCAATATGGGGGTCTTTCACTAGGGGTTTTCAAAACGGAATATTAGGGATGGTTCGGGTACAAATTTTCAACAAAAGTACGGCGTTGGCTTTGGCACATGATATCCCATGACACACCCTCGAGGCATTTGAGACGGGTGTGTTTTCGAAACGTAAGTAGCTGGTTGCTGCACCTGATAAAGTGCAAGAAGATGATAAAGAGAAGAAGGCTATACCCAAAGGCCCGTCAACCGAGGCCTGGGAACGATTAGACTACGGAATAGAGAAAGACAAAGTCTTTTTGGGCATGTCTTTTGTGGTACACCAAAGAAGCCACCGAAGTTAATAATACGTGGTTATGGCTCACACTTTCCCTTCCTGTTACACGATTCATGTTCATTTTGTGCGTCTCTTGTGTTGTATTTGTCACTCTCAGGGGAGTATTGGTACGACGAACGGCCGCAAAAGCCACACGAGTAAGTCTGGCTCTCCAATCATCCAAGTAGCATCACGTCTCGTCTTCTTTTCGCCCGCCCGCGAACGGACGCTTCCTAATCCGACATATCGTGATCTTGCATATCGTAGTTGGTTTGGTTCAGCCATTCGGCGTCCGTTCCGTTCCATTGCACGGAAACTGCATTGCCGCCTTTCATATACCTATCTACTAGTTGCCTGCAACGGGACCAGGCAGCGTGCCTCCCTACTAAGAATGTGTTCTGCACACAACTTCTTTCCAACCTGTGTCTACAGAACTTGCTATCAGCCCAGCCATTGGGTTATGATGTCGCCTACGACCCCACTAGGCCTCTCTCGGTAGCAGTCACGTAGTTTCATAGTACACTTCACCGGTCGAAGATAACCCCGCGATCATTATTACTTCTTTTTGTCGAACTCGATTTCGTAAACTAGTCCGGGAAACCTAGGTTGTTAGTTATATTATATAAAGTGAGCTTTTATTGAGTGAATGGGTTTCAGTAACCCCCTCTAAAACGTTCATGTTCTTTCCCTATTGAAAGACGGTTATCGAACCTCAAGACCAGGTTGAGTCACCACGAGCGAGTGAGTCCCACACTCGAAAGCTTTCGTTTCGTCTTCCGTAACACCCACCATTTTCAAACGAACAGAACGTCACAAACGGTATCTACGTCACCCACCAACTTTTGGTCCTACACACCCCGACGCCTTCATATACCTCCGGTTTGAAGCCTTCGTTGTACGACGACGAACGGTCCCCAAAGTAGTTCATTGCCGGGTTTTGTTGTGTCACGGCACAGCTAGCAAGAGCCAACACTTCCGGATAACGAAATCCGGGGATACTCACTCATCTGGGAATCTCATCTGACGACAGGTAAACTCTCTTGAGCGGGTATTTTGACGACCGAGCAAGACAAGACAACATCAGACAAAAACGAACCAGACCAAGAGACTAGATTATTTGTGAAAAGACATTCAACATGGGTTCCGAAGAGCATCAAAAGCCCAAGATCTTGTTGCTGGGCACTATTGAGCAGTAAGTCCAAGTTGACAACTCTTTTTTCCATCTTGAATAGCACAGCACCGAACTTCACTTCACTTCCACCCTCTCTTCCCAGAATCCCCTTACTCCTCTCTCCCCTCATCCTAATCCCCCAATTTCCCTGCTCTTCACCATCAAACAAACTAACCAACGCGACACAGTGCCCACGACGCCTGGTCCCGCATCACCTCAATCGCCGACATCATCCAACCCACCTCCACAGACCGCACCTCCTTCCTCTCCGAATGCGCCTCGGGCGCCTTCTCCTCCTGCCTCCTCGCCTACCGGACCTTTGACTCCACCACCCTCACCGGGCCCCTAGACCAAGACCTCATCTCCGCTCTACCCTCCTCCATCAAATACATCTGCCACGTCGGCGCCGGTTACGATGCCATTTCCATCCCCGCCTGCACCGCGCGCGGCATCCGGGTGTCCAACACCCCCGGCGCTGTAGACGAGGCCACGGCCGATTGTGCTCTATTTCTTTTGTTGGGGGCCATGCGGAATTTCAATGCGGGCATGACGGCTCTTCGCCGGAATGAATGGCGAGGGGGCACCGAGGACCAAGTCAAAGAAGAAGAAGAAGAAGAAAAAAAGACAACAAAGAAGACGATCAAGATGCCACCGCTGGGAAGGGATCCCAGGGGCAAGACACTGGGGATCTTGGGCATGGGAGGGATTGGCAAGTGTTTGGCGCGCAAGGTGGCGGGGGCGTTTGGGATGAAGGTGCAATATCTGAATCGAAGGAGGGATTGGGAGGGGGAGAAAGAGTTGAGGGAGCAAGGCTCTCCGAGGGTGGAAGTTGAGTGGGTTGAGACCATGGAGGAACTTTTGGGGACGAGTGATGTTTTGAGTTTGAATTTGCCGCTTAATGTGAGTTTTTTTGTTTTGCCCCCTTTTTTCTTTTTCCATAACCGCTGCTGGTGATTCGGAAGGAGGACTGAGGAGATGAGTGGGATACGAAAAGAAAGGAAAGGAAAGAAAGAAAAGAGGCTAACGGAAAACACGATGGACAACAAAACAGGCCGAAACGAGACATATCATTTCCACCAAAGAATTCGCCATGATGAAGCCGGGGATAGTCATCATCAACACTGCTCGCGGAGCGGTGATGGACGAGGCGGCGCTGGTGGAAGCGCTGGAGTCTGGACAGGTGCAATCGGTTGGCTTGGACGTGTATGAGAACGAGCCGGAGATTCACCCTGGCTTACTGGCGAATCCGAACGTCATGCTGGTGCCGCACATGGGGACATGGACGGTCGAAACGGAGACCAAGATGGAGGAGTGGGCGATTAGTAACGTACAGATGGCGATTGAGGAAGGGAAGTTGAGGAGTATTGTGCCGGAGCAGAGGAACATGCAATGAGTAGTTGTTATGTGTAGGAAATGGCTCGTTAGTCAAGTCAACTCAAGTTAAATGCAACACATCAAAGACAAAGTTCACACTACCGTCTGTCAGCAGGGGTATCAGCAGGTTAGACTAAGTGGTGTTGAATTTGTATATAAGCCGCGCCCCAATTTTAGTCGCTCTCATAATGCTGCAAGAAGGAAAGAATGCCACTTGATACAAACGGTTGGGGGAAAAAAAATCGAAGAGCAACCAAATTTTGGAATCAAGAAAACCATAACGAAGCCTCCCATATGCTTTATAATGAGTGAACAGAAGAAAAACTGTTGAGGAAAAAGAACTTATAAAAACGCCGTCTATCCGATGCAAGTATAGATATGAGAGGGAAAAACAAGAACAGAAAGACCACAGAAAGATGAGAGAAACGCGCACGAGCGGGCTATCTATCTAACTTGGCACCAACCCCCAGCGAGAGTGGTTTGCCTAACTCTATCACCAACAAAAGAGACCTCCAAAGCCGACGACCATGCTGACCATTTCTCCGACTTGCAATCACTTAATCGCTTTCCTGTTGGTAGCGCCAAGCCGCGTTCGCGGGCAAACTGGCTCCCGGATGGACGTACGCACGATACGCAAGCTGAGCAAACCGCCTCACCACGTTCGTGGTTCCCTCTTCCATGGTGGTGCGAATAAACCTGGCCGCCACCGCAAGTCTGCAGCGCGGGTCCGACTCGGCCAACTGCGGCGGCAACTGTTGCTCGATGTTGGCAGGATTCCAATGATACGAATATTCGCGAAGCACAGCAAGGCTATACAGAAAATCACGGTTCTCCTGACCGTCCAGTAGGCGTCGCAGATTCTGGAGGTCACAGCTGGGCTTTCGAATGGCCAAATCGGCCAAATGCCACCAGAACTCAAATTCATTGCGCCGGGAGGTGTGGAGATTTCCAAGCACTATAGGATTATAGAGCGGATTCTCCGTTAACGTAGAGTGATAACCTAACAGAAGCGCCTCGAACACTTGCAGACGACCAAACGCTTCGTGTGGGTCATCCAAGGGCGGGATCTGGTATGGAGAAATTGACATTCCAGGGAGAGCCCAACCTCTACCTCTAGTAGAGAGGGGCAGCTTTGCTAATCCCCAGACAATACACTCCTCCAGCTGGGAAGCATACTTGTGGTCCGCCCGGGGCTGGGAGATGTGTTCGACAAAGGAACCAAAAAGACCCATCAATGGCTGATTATTCAGTAAGAGTTGGATGGGATGGTGAGTCAGGATGCCCCTGTCAGGTTTCAAATCGTACCACTGCGTCTCAAAGAAATACGACAGCCCCGTAACGTATACATCGCCATAAAGTTTGTTGATCTCCTGGATGACGGCCTGTGATGGCGGAGAGTTCATAATGGGAGGTTCTGCGCCCCCCAGCGCGATAAGATCATCGACGGTTTTCTTGTTGGTGGGTAAGCCAGTCATGTTGGGCAAGATAGTCGTACAGCTCTGAACCGGATCCCTCGACACCGCAAGACGTCGGTTATCTATGTTGGGCAAACGAGGTCGCCGGCAAAGGGGAGCCAGCAGGAGTTCCGCCTTGATAATGACCCACAGTGCCAAAATTCCTGTCGTCAGGCCTAGCCAGCTGCGAATTTGGTGTAGGCGTTCCTGAAGCGCTTGGCGTGTCGGTGCCTGAGAGGGCCGGGTCAATGGCACTCCCGTAATCGAAGCCCGGGGAAGTGGACGACACTGGAGACTCGTAGGGTGTATTGGAGGAATGAGATGATGGGTACGAGGTAGGATGTGGTTGGTGTTGGTAAGCAGGATGCTGTTGCTGGTGATAGTGATGAGGCGGCGGAGACTGCTGCTGCTGTTGCTGGTAAGGTTGAGCCTGTGACTGGTATGGGCTTGGCGGGACACTGGAAGATGGGACAGTCGGAGTCGACGTGAGAGAAGCGGGAGCAGAGTGCTGAGACTTGGGCGTCGACTGAGCAGTCAAATTTTGCTGTTGCTGTTGTTGCTGCTGTTGCTGCTTGAAGATGGGGTCGTATCCCAGACAATCACGCTTCGACTTTTTGCAATTGTTGCAGGTGGGATGGGCTTCGTCGCACTAGAGAGAAATACAAGTTAGGCGACGTCGAGTACATAATTGCTGGTGAGAAAAAAAAAGAATGGGAAGATGATTGTTTCTGCAACTTGTGTGTAACGCGGTACGCAAAGTGGAAGATAGAGCAATCCATGTGATGATGGAGCTCAGAGTGTTGCAGGGATTGAGGTTTTAGGTGCTTTCGTGGTGGATAGGATAGCATGGAGATAGCTGGAGCCCAGGCCAGTTGTTAGCGGCGGGGCCTAACAACCGCCGGCGGGTGCGTTGATCGCTCGCTCGCCGCGGGGACTTTGTGTCGGCGTCGACCGAAATGGGAAAGTTGCGGTTGCTTCCCGTCGCTTGCGCTTGCTGTGGCAGGCAAGGGAAGCGGAGGTAGGCGAGGGCAACCGAAGCGGGCAGTGAGTAACAGGCGGGCAGGCAACTGGCGGGTTGGCCGCAGTTGGGTGTCACTGTGAACAACTGGGCTTAGGTTGCTCGCTTCAGCAGTCCAGTGCAGTCAAGCGAGCAAACCTAGGTACCCAGCCGTTCGTGGGCCAAGGCAACACAACGTAACCAAGGCATACAACCACAACCCAAACTGCCCTGCTCCCCCAGCTGCACTTGCAACAACCCCCAACGAACGATCGAGACCGACCACAAGCGAGCAAGCGAGCGAACGAGCGCGCCATTTTTGACACACCCGTTGTCGTCATATCGAACCATGGCGCTTCTTCAACCGAATGCCCCAACTGCAACATGACGACCCACTCCCTCCGCGCGTCGCTTCCATGGCTCGACACCGTCCGGCCCGATCCCCATCCTACCCCATCCCCCGCTTCGTTGCAGTAGGTCCGAAAAGGCATCCATGATGGGAGGAACCGGATAGAATACGAAAAAAAAGAGGCAAATTAGGAAATGGATCCGAAGGAGAAAGTAACGCACCTTTATCCTGCGCTTGCGGCACGTTAGGCACCCCGTCTTGGTTCGGCGCTTGATCTCCTGTCAGCAACACAACAAACAACATCGGTCAGCACTCTAGTGTGTTGCGCGAGCGAGCATGGGTCCCAGGAAACAGAGGAGGAGGGAGGGGAGAGGGGAGATGGAAGAGGGGGAGGGTCGCATGTGAGGGCTATAGCAGTGCAATGTATTAGTACCTTCTTGTGCCTTCCTCCGCTCAGAGCGATGCGCGGGTCCGGCGTGAGGCCTGTCAAGGCATAGTGCACCACGCTCTGCCCCGGGTGCATCTGGTATGCTGCGTGCATCGGCGCATAGTAGCTCATCTGGTTTGGGGCCATCGAGACGGCCATGTGGTTCGGCAGGGGCATCTGGTGTTGAGCGTGCTGTTGCTGCACATGGTCAAACGTTCGCATGCTCGGGAGCGCCGTCTGGTTCGTTCGGTAGGGGTCAACATGGGCAACCGCTTGCGCTCCATATGCGTACTGCGCACCCGGGGACATGCCCGCAGGCGGATATGGACTCGGCGCGGGATAGTTCATGGTCGGTGTTTGGCGAGGTGTAGGTGGGCCAGTTGGTTGTTGCGGATGGGACATGGGCGTGGGCACTAGGACACGGGGTGCACTGCCGTTGTGCGGTGCTCCGATCTGTTGCTGGTTATATCCGGATACTGTATCGGCCAAAGGAGGAGCGATTTCTGAGGGCGCGCGGGGATCTTGGTGAGTGCTGGCGGTGCAGGCAGTGGCACCGGTGGTGGTTGTGATGGTGGAAGCACTGTCCGTAGCTATCCCTTGGTCACCACTTCTGACGGAGCTCTGTCCAGCCCCTGTTTCGACTATCTCAACCGGAGGCGTACAAGTGGTAGCCGAGCTCGCCTCTTCGCCTGGTTGCTGTAGATCCGGAGTAGGTGTTGATGTTGTTGATGTTGATGTTGTTGTTGTTGTTGTTGTTGTTGTTGTTGTTGTTGTTGTTGCTGCCGTTGATATAGCTATTGTGGCTGTCCCTGGAGTGGATGGCAACGTCTGTGCCTGTGCTGATCCGGCGGAGGAGGGTTGTGGTACTAGTAGTGTCGGTGCTGGTGCTGGTGACGCTGAAGTTGAGGGACCTGAAAGTGGTTGAGGGTTGTCTTGATCAGGTTGGGGTGCAGGCGATCGGAGCTTTAGTTGTAGATGATGTCGATGCTTCCCTTCGTGGTCGGGGTGCGGCTCGCTCAGACTGGAGTGCTGAGGCTGGGGGATAGACGGTCGAGACTGGATCGACTCTACAGTCCTCCGTTGAGCCATACTGGGAATTTAATTAGAATTCTAATGGAGACCGATTCCTAGCAAGGGCCAGGAGAACAAGCGACCGGGGGGGACGGAGTGGGAGGGAGTGCCAGGAGGGCTAGGGGCAGACGCGACCCTGGCTCTCCTGGCCCGGCTTTCCTAAGCGGATTGCGGATTGGTAGTCCACCTACTTGACGAGCCCTTTTACTACCAGGTAGCCGTACTGTGGTATGTAATGTATGTAGCTATGTAGGTACGAGGTGTAGTGTGTGTAGGGTGTAAGCGTGTAGGAGGTGGTGGTGTAAGATGGCAAGGTGGTATGGTACCTTGCCGTCCGACAGAAAAAAAGGCTCCTGTTGCGGTCGAAAGTGAATGGTCAATGAGAGGTCAATGGGTTGGTAAATGGGGGTGCTCTTCCTAGAGTCATCCAAGGTTCTCTTGGGAATGGGCCGAATCTGTGGAAACATGCAATGCGCGCTTCTCAGCGAATACAGCCGATACGACGACAGCCAGACAGACTGCTGCAGCGCCCAAGCATCCAAGCAGAAGCTGCATATTCCAGACTCAAAAAGGTACAAAAAAAGCTCTAATAATGCATGTGTATGTTATGTACGTACTGTGTGTAGGTGTGGGTTTTGTATTTTGAATTTCTTTTTTCCTTTCCTCCCTCACTCTGTCCCTGTCCTCTTCTCTCTCTGTCTCTCTCCTTCACGTTCTTCTGCTCTTCAGTTCCTGTCAACTGCAGTGTTCGAAAGAGAGGGAATTGCTTGGCTTGTTCCCCCTGACCCCTGGGGCTAGTCGATGATATGCCGGTCTGTAAGCCAAGAGAGTGAGAGACAAGTGGTGGAAAGACAATATGTAGGTCCCCTTGTTTCTGGAGTGTAGTTCAAGTGGTGTTAGGTTCGTCGTCCAGGGGTGGGAGGTCAATGTCAGTGGCAGATGCTCCAAACGAGGCGTACCTTTACGGGGGTGGTGGGATTTTGGTGTGGGTTCTTGAAGAGAGGGGTGAATCTGCCTGTGATGGTGACTGGATTGGTCCCTTGCGCTGCATCCTGGCTCCGCTGAAATAGGAATCCAGACCGTAGGCGGGCCCCAGTTTGGATTTTACGCTAGGTGCACATGGGACTTGATGGGATCAGATGGGACTGTGAGGGGGGACCTAAGGATGGAGACAAAATGTGCAAAAGAAGCTTAACGCAATCTTTTATAGCCCCGTTCAAGACATCGTCAGCGATGCTGTTATTGATATTCAGTTAAGCGAGCTGCCAAGGGGGGTATCCTAGAGCATACGGGCTGCTGATTCCGCCTTTTTTAGACCTCGTCGTTTTGGCGGAGGAAGAAGGAGGGTGGACGCCGTACGACAGCATGTAGCCCCTGTCCAGGGTCGAGGAGCCTTTGGAGAGAACAATGTGGATCTTCCAGTCTTCCATGATCCTCGTCGTCGAGGCGGGAGAGAGACGCGAGTTGAACGGGGCGGGACTTGCGATGCGGAGAGAAGATGGGAGCCAGTCCAATGTGCAATCTCCAATGTCCACGCAAATGCATGCAAGTCGACTAGTCGAGTAAAAGAGACGCGGCAAGTCATTACTCTAACCAGTGTAGGCTAGCGATGGGCATCATCAGCAACAAGTAAAAATTCAATGTTTTGCTTCTTAACGTCTATCGATCTATCTTCCGTCTCCCGTCTCCTTCCTTCCTTCCTTCATGGCACAAACGAACTGTCATGTACCTTTCTGTCAGGTGCTTTGCGTCTTTTGGAGCCGACCACGGGCACAAGCGAGTGGGAATTTAAGCCGAGTGGACTGGTGGGTCAGTGGGTCTTTCTCCTTGTCCGCCAAAATCAAATGCCCAGACGGCCGCAGACGGCTCTTTAGAGCACTCACAGGGACTTGTGCCAGGGGGGGCTCAGGAACGGTGAAGTGTGTCAGGTACGATGCACGCACGGTACTGTATGCCTGCCCCATCTGAGCGACGGAGTTGAAAGTGAGGTGACAAAATGAGTTAGACCTGGTAGTTAGTCAGCATGGTCTGAGTAGCCAAAAGACGTACGCGGGCAAGGGAAGCTCGTCCCGCCGTTCAAAGGAGGCGCAGTCGCGCGCAAATCCACATGTCAATTGACACCAATGAAGGGAAATAGGAGAAGAGTAATTTCATGAGTATTTATGGCACTTATCAATTTCAGACACTGCACTCCCGGATCAATGGGTAGAAGGCCGCGGCACTGTTCCAACCGTTTTCCTCCCCCCCTTGAGAAAGCCACTTGGCTGTCATCTACCCTACCTACGGATCGACCCAATACGGGTTGGACGGGTTGGAAGGACGCCGGTCTGTGTGTGAGGGTGGTGCTCGCAGTCTCAGATCCACTCGAGCGAGACCGTCATCAATCTGAGGCTTTCCGATTAGCGAGCGCCCAGCCAGGAACCTCGCCAGAACTCGCCAGGAACCTCTGTCGAATCTTCGCTCGCCTGTGCTATGTACCGTGCTCCTCGAGCTCCCCCATCGTCCTCCTCCCCCAAAGCGACCCCCCTTCTGTCCAAGTGCCCTTATGATCCCCCCCCCCCCCCATGATCGTCCGTATAGCGAGTCCCCGGGATTAATATCGTCAAATCGTTGCCAGATAAAGACTGACTCTGCAAGATTTGATGGAGAAACTAGCCCGGATGTTCACCATGAAGATTCGCTCTTGTCGACCGCCCTACCTAGTAATTCTAGGGCAACGGTCAGTCCCGTCACTCGCAGCTTGACAGGCCGGGGCTACTGGGGCCGAGATGATTGTCTGGCTGTCTGTCTGTGTCGAGTGAGTGCTTTTCTCAGTTGGAGTTGACAGGAAACGGACTGGCTGTTGCTACTACATACTACACAGTGATGTGATCTTGATCACTCGATATCAAAACATCATTGATACAGCGGCCAAGAGACCGCTCAAAGACTCAAGAGGCAGGTGCTGTTCTGATCTTGACCTGGGTGTACGATGGGGAAGGAAGGAGCCATCGAGGGTACCTAATTCTAGGGCACCAGGCAGGGGGGCACACAACCCACTCGGACTAAGGTTGGTTCGTTCAAATCACAACCTTCCACTCAAGTTCCACACAGCTTCCATTTCCACTCCGACTCTTCCTCCCGTGACCCCTCCCCGATCTCCTTCTCTTCAACGGCTCATCGGAGCAACAATTGCAGTTCCCTGCTACCTTCAAACGACGACGATCACTTTGTCGAGCACAAACCCTTCTCTATGTCGTGTGTGCGGTTGTGCGTCTAAGCGCCGTGCAACGCGGCAAAACATCGTATACTTTACTTACCTCTTCTCTGCACGCCGACGGTATCCGTCATGCAGTCCTTGTTGGATCCATGTTCCCTTTGTCCCAGATGAGGCACCACGTCGTGCAGCTTCGCTTCCGTCCCGTCTGTCCAGGGGCGTCTGTCGTCGGTTGTTACTGTGTCCGTCCGGCAGAACCAGCCTCGGTCAGTTTAGTTCTGACAGGTGCAGGTGCACTGCAAGCGGAGATCGGGACTATTACTGCCTACGCATGTAGGTACTTCCTTACTCCATCCCAAGCAAGGTATCTGTCTCGCTTGGGGCTCGCGATCAAGGATGCAGAAAGACTGTATTGCGGTACAATATTCAAGGTCAGGGCTTCTTCACCATGATCCCTTCATCGTCTCGCAGTTATCTTGCGGCCCTCTTTCTTATTTCGGCTTGATGGAAACTAACCTGGTAAATAGACACGCAAAATGCAGCTGCATACAGAGTTCCAGGTTCCGGATCCGCCGCGGGGAACTGAACTCACATGCTTTCTCTCTCGTAAACAGATTGCAACACCAAATTTTACGGGCAATCTGCTCCAACCGCCGTCGATTCCCACTGGCCCAAAGTCCAAACCCACATGCGCAGGTCGGACCACACGGAACGGGGAGTTCTGCAGTCTCTGTCCTCATGCCTGCTCGAGTCTCCGTCTTGAACCCCTTCACGATGACGAGAGCTACGGTAGCAATGACTGTCAACGTTAAGATGTTGATTTTTAGAAACGACAGCGGCTACGCCCCACGTCGAGCAAAATTGTGCCGTCTCTAGCTATCTTCAGGACGTGGTTCTCGCCTAGAGATTGATTATGGAGACGATGATGGTGGTTGCATCTCGGACCGCCAATGGTTTTCCTTGCCTTCACACCTCTTTCTTTCATCTGGACGGGATTATGGCGGTACCAGCTATTTGTCCTTTGTCTTCTCGTCCCCCATCCTCAAGACAGAGAAAGCTGTCCCAAGTGGTTACATTTCAACATCCCAACCGGTCCGTCACATATTTTCGGCGGACGGCTGCTCTGTATCTTCTACGCTTCTGTCAAGATATACTGAGTAAGGCTGTACCCTGGACACAGGTATCATCTCCTCTTATCTTCCCCCCGGTTTGTATTGCTTACTTTCCGTGATCAAAGAGGCCACGCACATTGTCTTTGGTCAAATTGCTGGGTTTTGGCTGAACTCAATGTAGCATATAACCTTTTCGATGCCTCTCGTGTACCTCTCTTGATGCCCTTGGCCGGTTAGTACCCATCAAGGTGTGTGTGCCGACTTGTTCCGTTTTCTGTGCTTTTGCATATGCGGCCCCCAGAATATTGGATGCGGAGAACATGATCTGATCGAAGAATTGATCTCAACACACAAACCCCCATTTCTGTGGCCTGGCTTTTCCATCCGTCATCCATGGATCCGCGAAGCTGAGCTCTACGAGGCAGTTCGGAGCGTCTGTTATCGAGATGCTAGCTGGGTGTTCTGTGGGTCAATCTACCGTAGGGCCGGTAAAGGCGGGAGTCAGCCGGGCACGGAAAGTACATATGCTTTATACTTCGTGTGGTCGGTTCGGCTGTGCGGCCCGTCTGAAGCCGACGAGCATACCGCGGTTACCTGGCGCCTAGCGGCTACTCATCCCGTCCGTGTAGCCCCCCTTCGCTATATACAGCCATATTTGAGCTCATGGTTTTCGCTTGTTCCTGCTCAAATGTTACCGACGACATGTCTGCTTCTCCCGGCAGTGCTTAACCGATGGCTTGGGGGTGTGGTCGCGGCGGCCAAGGATTACCCTGTTAACAAAGACACATCCAATATCTGTTTCACCTTCTTCAACTATTTACCGGTACCGTGGCGCCGGCCAATATTTCTCTCTTATACCGGTGCTCACCAAAGCGGCACAGATGGTTCCTTGTGTGCTCCTATTTGCTTTGGCTATGCATCACGGCCCGGGCTGCCATTTGTATTCCTTCCACCTGGAGCATCCAGAAGCCAGCACTATGGATAAGACGAGTGTCGACGGGAACACCCGTTGTCCCTTGTTAGGCGAGTGCTTGACGATGTACGGAGTTGCGTTTGTGTCCATCAGGTTTGGGAAGGATGCGACATGTTCCCGTGATGAGAGAATGTTGTTCACTCTGTGTCCTTTATTGGCCAATATTCCCCGAAGCTCCCGCTTCACATATCCACAGACATAATATCAACGAGCGGCATATCACTTTTCGTCTCTATCACCTTTGCGAAAAACGCGTGAGCAAGCTGAACGAAGACCACCACATCAAAGGGGCATCTACACCGTAGGGCTCAAAGCTTTACCGGTAGTGACTACCGATGATCTGTTAGAGGGAAGCAGGGATTACCATATCCGAACTGATGCTTTGACTATGCGCTGAACCACATGCGCTTACTGACCGCGGCCCCAAGTCACCGAGAAACCCTTTGTTACCGCCAGCCTTCTATCATCTCCGCGATCTTGTCATGTCCTTTTTGTCTGGCAATTCCAGCCGGTGTTCCTTGTCGGTATGTACCTCCTTTCCTCCCTGCCAAATCATCATAAACCTCATGAGCAGCAAACTGTTTTGCCCCTTTCCTCAGCAGTATCCTCACATCTTCTAGCTGAGCCGCGGCGGCTGCAGCATGAAGAACCGTTGCTCCTCCATGATCTCTATGGTTCAAGTCAAATCCTTCTCCTCCCAATATCCCCTCTTCGTTGATGCGCCCAAAGTTCACCAGCCTTAGCCGCTTGCGGACACTTCCCGTTCTCTCAACCCCTTGTTCTTGCAAAGGCTTCAGGGTTAAGAGGTAGCGTAATATATGTGGGTGACCGACAGCCGCCCATAGCAGGGTTGCGTTAACCGCTGTTCGGGTGTTGATATCCGCATGGTGTTTCTCGATTAGGAGCTTGGTTGTGGTCAAGTGACCACCTTCAACGGCGAAGAAGAGGGGAGTGTGGCCTGACCATAGCTGTGTTTCGATAATACCACCATTGCCATGCTTCTCGCTGTAAAACGGAGCGGATACGTAGGCATCTCGTGGCGTTGAGAGCATCATCTCAACGATAGAGTCCAGCCCTAGTCGGCAAGCCTGATGCAGCGGACTGATCCCAAGCTCATCCTGTGGAGCAGTGACATCGGCACCGGACGATATCAGGAGATGAATGATCCTCTCCATCGCAGTCACCGTCACGTACTTGGCATGGGCTACCGCTGTCGGCATCCCCGGGCTGCTTGTATTCCTGGAGGCGCGAGTGGTAGCAGCAGTCAGTCCCTTCAAAGCCCTCCAGAGCAGAGACTGCCCTTCATACGCATGATTCGCATCCGCACGGCCATGCATCAACAGCATCTTCACAATCTCATCATGAACACCCTCAACGGCCAGCGCGAGCGGCGTCAGTCCGTCTTTATTTACACCGTCCACTGGCATTCCAGCTCTGATCAACATGCCCACGATCCCCTCGTGCCCGCCCTGGCATGCCACGTGCAACGGTGTCATCCCGGTCGAGCTGCTCGCCACATGCACATCAGCACCACGTGCCAATAGCAGTTCAACTAGCTCTTCATTCCCCAATGCCGATGCCATGAGCAAGGGAAAGTTTCCCTTCCCTCCAGACAAGTTGGGGTCAGCAGCGCCCGCCTGGATCAACACCCGAGCAATATCGGTACAGCCCGCCGTGATGGCGGCCAGCAAGGGTGTGGAATCACCAACGCGGCGGTTGATAACAGCACCGCGCTCGCAGAGAACGGAGACAATGTCCGTGCTGCGCTTAGCGATGGCCAAGTAAAGAGGAGTCCGTCCGCTCTTGGTTGCGGCGTTGATGTCGGCACCGCAGTCAAGGAGTTGTCTGGCTGCGGCTAGGTGCACGCTGTGGACCGCTTGGTGGAGAGGCATGTGGCCTGTTTCGTCCGGCAGGTTTGGGTTGGCACCGTGGGAGCATAGGATCTTGACCGTTTCTACCTTGGCATCCTCGATGGACTTCCCAGACGAAGAGGAAGGGGGAGATGAAGCTGAGCCGTGGCTGCTTGCTGCGTAGTGAAGCGCTGATCGGCCGAATATGTCAACGGCGTCTAGCTTGGCGCCAAGTTCGCAGAGTAAGGTGATGGAGGCACTGGGGAACCCGTTCTTGGTGGCAGTAATGATGGCTGTCTCTTTCGTCCTGTTAGTTGCTTCCAAGTCTGCGCCTGAGAGGGCGAGGAAGTTGGTGGCATCGACGGAACGAGCGCCGAGGGCCTCATGAAGGGGGGGTAGGCTTGATCCTGGTCTTTGGATGTTGGGGTCAATTCGGCCCTCTTTGATGAGCTCCAGGATTGTGCCGGTATCGTTCTTATCAATGGCGTGGTGAAGCTGCTCGGCGAGTTGGGTGGTGCTTTGGCGGTGCTTCTTTGGTATGGGACCAAGTTTGAGTGATAATGTCCTTGTTACCCGGGGGTCTGCTGTGAGGAGGGGAGTGGTGTGTGGCTGAGGTTCAGTTTTTGGTGTGGGTGGGTGAGTGAGTTCCCTCGATGGGGTGCTGGGTTCTGGCACTGGTGATGGTTCGCTCCTCTCGCCAGGAAAGAGGTCGCCTAGACCGGTGGCGGCATCATCGCTGAATGGATTGGTGCTAACCACTTGTTTAGTAAAAATCTTGAGAACCAAAGCGCAACTTTTTGACTTACGGCGACAGGCGCCTTGTTATATACTCGAAAGACGCGAGATGCTTTGGGGTTATGGGCGAGGATGGCTGAGACGCCATACCCAGACCGCTATCGAGACTGAGGCCATCGTCTAGCTGAATCCTTGAAGGTCTGACGTGATGAAACATGGCTTTTGTTGTTGACTCCAGACATAGACGTTGAACTTATATGAATTGGACAAACATACGTACGAAGGGTAAACAACTTTTAATAAATGAAGCTGGGAAAGCGAAAAGGGGAAGGACATATGTAGATCGACGACGTGTCGTACAATTGTGTAGCTTATAAACAATCCACATGCGCCTTCGCCGAGCAACCAGAACAAGGAGTCTGACCAAGGAAGAAGATCAAACCAAGCGATCAACCACGCTAGAGGGATCACAAGAAGAAAGGTAAGACATGGTTAACCTCGTGTACACGACTAGTCAGGTACCAATCCTACCAAATGTTCGGCACTCAGCACTAGTGTCGAGGTACTAGTTCAACTTGGTCTCAACAGCAAAGCAAGCACCGACAAGAACATTGCGATTCGTCCCTTGAACCAAAGAAACTAAGGGAAATTGGTCGGCGGCGCCTCTTTCCCTTTTGCTAGACTAGTAACAGCAATGAGGAAGAGACCACCGAGGAAAACGTGGTACGCTGTAAATGACTTGGGCTTGTTCCGGCCGGGCAAGCAATCTCTTGAGGAGGATTTTCCCAATAGAGACCAATCGAGGCGTTGGTGAGGCGCTTGCTAAATGACACCCAGACACAAAAAAAAAAGATGGCTGGCTGAGACTTGGCCTATATACTAGTACAGCGTACTAGTTTTGTAGAAAGTGTTATACATGGCCTGATAGCTTCTGCAAGTAATTTCCAATCTCATCATCATGTCCGTCCATTGTGAAGAAAAAAAGACAAAAGGGGGGTGCAGTTCAGAAGAGGCTTTCATGGACAAGGATAGGGGTATTTTCTTCCTTCCTTTCTTCTTTTTCTTTTTTTTTTTCTTCTCCTTTCTGGAGGGGGCGAATGGCTAGATGACTGGGCAAGAGGCTTGAACAAGAGGGAACCTGAGATTCCCAGGGAGGATGTGTGGGAAAGACAAATGACGAAAATGTGGGGGGGAGATCGGAAGAAATCAACACAGGACGCAGGTGGCAAGACAGGAGATCCAGATGGTCGGTGTTCGTTTCAAAACGGCGAGCGGCGTCGGTTTCGCGTCTCGGAGTAGAATCGGAATTTTTTTGTCACCCTTTCTTTCTTTTTTTTTGGGGCTTTGGGGTTTACATGCAGAACCTGGCGTCTTTTGGGATTCCGATGAGGGAGGGTCGTGGTAGTAGTGTAGATAGGTAGGAGGTAGCTACTTGATGACTTGAAGTTTGGGGATGACGATCGATTTTGATTGAATGATCATAAGTAGATAGAATGGGAGATTTATAATGGTTAACCACCAATCCCATTCGCGCGCGCGCGTTAAAACAATGGGTTGGGTAGTCTCTCAGGAGATTCGAGACTCTTCAGCCGTACACCAGAAATACGATGTGGTTGATGGACGACGCCGGAAGTTCTCTTCCAGTATGCCGGACGAGCCTGATATGTATCGCTATAGTGACAGGATGGTGTGCACATAACAAGATATCTCCCTTGGCAGCTGGCAGCTTGCTTGGCACCGGCTTCAATGAAAGCTAAGTACCCCAGCTTACTCCACAGTAGCTCCCCCCACCCGCCGCTTCCATGATCGTCACCAGTTGCTTCCATCGTCATTGCCCTGAGACTTTTGACAGATCGTTAAACGTACGATACCTTATTACCATATCAACGATTATCAGCGCGTTTCAACTTTGAAGGGCTCAGCTTTCGTGATACCCTCAGTAACCACAATCAGACAAAAAGCGACAAAGTGGCGAACCTTCTTTGGACAACGCAGAAGAAGGGGGAAGCTGCTGCAACGGCTGGCCAAAGTGCAGCGCCTCCAGCTGAAAAGCCCAAGCCCAAGAACACCATGGTCCAGCCAACAAGCGCGCCGTCCGCACCAGCGCTCACTCCCCAGTTTTGCTTTTCGACAGCAGCCCTACGAGGTGGGATTCCTTTACCTTGTAGACACAAATATTTGGGAGTCTTTCACAATTTACTGACCCAAACCCCACAGACTTTCTACGAGTCTCCCGCTCCGCCATCGACGACACCATAACCCAAAACCTCAACGCCCTCGTCACTCCCTCCCGCGCTGGCTTCGACCCGTCCTCCACCACCCAGCGCAGCCCCCGGCCCTTATCCCGGCAAATCGACCCCGCCGCCTGCCAGGAATTTAAAGACCAAGTGTTGTTCCCCTCGTGGCAAGCGCGGTCGCAGGTGCTGAGCTACTGCGCGCTGGTGGCCACCTCGCCGGATCCGGACGACCCGGAGGCGGCGATCCGGGAGGCCGAGAAGCAGAAGGATCGGGAGAGGGTAGTGAATGAACGGCTGGACCCCTACTCGGCGAGGTTTTTCCCGCGAGAGCCGAGGACGGAACAGCTGGCGAGCGTGATCAGAATGGAGCAGGGCGTGGAGAATATTGTGAGGACGAGGACGTGGGGGATTGTGGGGGAGAGGTGTGGGAGTGATGGGAAGACGTGGGAGCAGGCTTTGGGAGAGTGGAGGAGGGATAAGCATTTGCCGTTGGCGTGAAGATGATTTTTTTGTGCTTGCTGATGGCTGTGGGTGATGTGGTCGCTTATGAAGAGATGAAGGTAAGGGAGGGAAGGGGTGTAAGTGAAAAAGTGTCTGCTAAGCATTGGGTATGGCGTATTAGGATGTGTGACCATATAAATAGTTGTAATTGTAGGGCAGTGGGATCTTTTGTCAATATATCTGAAGAAAGAAGCGAAAATATCTACATCAAATCAAGCTTTCGTCCATCGCCGGGAGGAATATGGAAATCTTTCATTGTCTCGGGAGGAGTTGTCGCGGGATCTGGCGGGAGGCTTCCGTGTCTTCGGTGTTGTTACCGAGAGGGCCGAGCCGGAGGTCTAGGTAGCTAAAGATTGACCCCACTTATAGGGAGGTAGGTGAGTGGGAGAGCTTCGCCGGCTGTTGGCCAATCGGCAGGGAGCAACTCTTTGTTCAATGCGCCCATCTCGCCAAATTGTCAGCTGTAGAATTTCACTTTGCAGTTTGGGGAAAGTGCATCGTCAACGTCGACAAGAACTGGGATAGTCACGTCTGTCAAGCACACAAGGCCGTCATAGGTATTTGGTTTTTTTTCTTTCATTTTGGCTGTAGAATGTAAGTATACACATTCCCCAAGTTTAGGTGGTTCAGGTACTTGTGTGGTGCAAACCCTCTCGCTGTGTCCCAATGTTGTTGGCTGTGGTAGCAAGAGTTGTCCCACCAGGCTCCGCTCATCCCCGACACCGAAACAACGACATCCACTTCCACCAAAACCAGCCCACTCTCGGCCGGCCCCTCGTCCCCCTCCCCCACGAACTGATCCCTGACCTGACATAGTGGCAGTGTCCGACTCGATTCGAGAGAGTCTTCATCCTCCCGAGTTTAACAACAACAACAACGACAACAACCCACTCCGCGACAACCGTCCTTCCGCCGCAACCCAACCCCGCGGCCGTCTTTGACATCGAAACACCAGCCTTTCCTCATCGTCCCACCCCGCAGTCCATTCCTCGATGCCGCAAACCCTGAGCACGAGAGAGGCCAACCTCTTTCGTACCGTCATCCGCCACTATGAGGACAAGCAGTACAAGCGCGGCTTGAAGGCCGCCGAGCAGATCCTCAAGAAAAACCCCAGGCACGGCGACACCATGTCCATGAAGGCTCTGATCATGAACTCCCAGGGCAAGACGGAGGAGGCTTTTGCCCTCGCCAAGGAGGCTCTCACCGTCGACATGAAGTCCCACATCTGCTGGCACGTCTACGGCATCCTCTACCGCCAGCACAAGAACTTCGACGAGGCCATCAAGGCCTACAAGTTTGCCCTCAAGCTCGAGCCCGAGTCCCAACAGATCCAGCGTGACCTCGCCGTCCTCCAGGTCCAGATCCGCGACTACCAGGGCTACGTCCAGAGCAGGTTCGCCATGCTCAAGGCCAAGCCCCATCTCCGCCAGAACTGGACCGCCCTTGCGATTGCCTATCAGCTCGAAGGCAGCCTCGAACAGGCCGAGAACATCCTCACCACCTACGAGAAGTCCATGACCAACGTTCCCCTCAAGACCGACCAGGAGCACTCCGAGGCTCTCCTTTACAAGAACACCATTATTGCCGAGCGAGGCGATATCAAGCGTGCGCTCGAGCACCTCGAGTCCGACTGCAAGAACTGCCTGGACAGGTTGGCTGTTATGGAAATGCGGGCGCGCTACTTGGGTCAGCTCAACAGGAAAGAGGAGGCGGCAAAGGCGTGGCGGGCACTGCTGGACAGGAACCCCGAGCACCCCGAGTACTACAAGGGTCTGATCGAGGCTTTGGAGATTGACGAGAAGGACGAGGCTGCCCTCAAGGCCATTTATGACGAGTATGCTGCCAAGTACCCTCGCTCGGATGCTGCCAAGAGGTTGCCTCTCAACTTCCTCACCGGCGACAGCTTCAAGGCTGCTGCCAAGAGCTATCTCACCAACATGTTGGACAGGGGTGTGCCTTCGGTGTTTGCCAACCTCAAGCACCTCTACTCTGAGGTTGCCAAGAAGGAGGCCATCCTCGCCCTTGCCGAGGAGTATCTGAAGGAGCATAAGGGGTCTGAGCAAGCGAACGGCGACAGCTCCAAGGGTGTCGGTGCTGCTCTTTACTTCCTGGCGCAACATTACAACTACCACCTCAGCCGCGACCTTGCCAAGGCCATGGAGTATGTTGAGCAGGCTATCGAGCTCGATCCCAAGAACGTTGACTTCCACATGACCAAGGCCAGGATATTCAAGCACCAGGGCGATACCGCCAAGGCCTCGGAAACCATGGACCGTGCCCGTTCGCTCGACACCAAGGATCGTTACATCAACTCCAAGGCCGCCAAGTACCAACTACGGAACAACGAGAACGAGAAGGCTCTCGAGACCATGGGTCTTTTCACGAGGGCTGAAACTGTCGGCGGACCCCTCGCTGACTTGACCGACATGCAGTGCATGTGGTTCTTGACTGAAGATGGTGAGGCCTGGCAACGGCGTGGCAACACCGGCTTGGCTCTCAAGCGTTTCACCACCATCCACAACATTTTCGATATCTGGCAGGAGGACCAATTCGACTTCCACAGCTTCTCCCTCCGTAAGGGTCAGATCCGTGCCTATGTCGACATGATCCGCTGGGAGGACAGCATTCGCGAGCACCCCTTTTACTTCCGTGCTGCTCTTGACGCCGTCAAGCTGTACCTTGATATGTTTGAGAAGCAGCAGGCTTCTGCCAACGGCACCAACGGCACTGGCGAGGCCACCAACGGAGAGGACGCCGCTGAGAAGAAGAAGGCCGCCAAGAAGGCCCGCAAGGAAGCCCAGAAGGCCGAGCGCGAGGCCGCTGAGAAGGCTGCTAAACAGGATCCCAACAAGGCGACGGCCAAGAAGGACGAGGAACCTAAGAAGAAAGACGACGACCCGAACGGCCTCAAGCTCGCTGCCACGACGGATCCTTTGGGTGATGCCATGAAGTTCCTCACCAACATCTTGCAGTTTAGCCCCAAGAACATTGAGGGCCAAATTGCCGGTTTCGATGTTTACATCCGCAGGAGTAAGTTCTGATGCAGCCCCTGTACATGCTTTCCCACTAATAAATCCACAGAGAAGTATCTTCTTGCGCTGCGCTGCCTGAACGCGGCTCAGGCGCTCGACCCCGAGCACCCCCGTGTCAAGGAGCAGTTCGCTGAGCTCCAGAAGGCGGTTGAGTCTCTTGACGATGCTCAGTCGGCCAAGGTCAAAGAAGTGCTCAAGGCCAAGTTCAGTTCTTAGAAGGATCCGAATCGAGCTGTTTTGGGCATGTTGTCAGAGTCGGACTTGAACGCGTTGCAAGCTCCATCGGCTGAACCCTTTTCAATGCCGTCGCAATTCTTGAGCGAGCGCTACCGCGCCTTGCTATTTGAAGTCCAGCGTCCGCCAGCCTAGAAGCCAACGAACCGCAGAGTCGAAGCTTGGGGAGTAGAACTAGGTCATCATCAGAGGTTCTAAGGTATCTCTATTTACCACTTCATATGTGCCGGGAGATGGACCGAGGTAGATGGGTGTGAGTGGCTGATGAGCTAGCGGGGACTGCCTGAGTTGACTGATCGACAAAAAAGGATGATATTTTTACTAGCAGGAGGGTTATCCGGCCGGGGCAAAGAAAGGTATTCCAAAAGTTAGGTTGATTTGCATACTTCGTTGCCTACAGGAAGGTATGTAGACGGGGCGAGGCGAGGGAGCATGGACTCTTTTGGACGCCGGAGTTTTCATCAACTTTTTCTTTGTGCAGATACATACACAACTGAAACCGCATCATCTGTTTAGCGGTGCTTCCTCTGAATACCCAGCCGTGATGGGTTACGTAAAGGTACAAGGGTTTCTAATGTGTTGGAGGTTGTCGTCTGATGCTGGGCACTTGTGGCCAACGAAGTCCAGCTGAGTAGAGGCAGCTCTGGAAGCTTCATTGGCACGGTTAAATCGCCTATATTTCCGGCGTATCCGGCACCGGATGTGCCCCCCCGCCAGGTATGCAACGGCAGTCAGTGTATCGCGTGCGCCTCGGTGGAAGTGGAAGCGGGCACATGCTTCCTGCTGCAGTTGATGGATGCACGATTTTTAGGTGCAGCATCAGCAGCCAGCAGCAGCAATGGGACAGGACGGGAGCTATGACGGGGTCCGCAGTTGACCCCTGAACAGAAACTGCAACCATACCAAACAACAGAACGGTTGAGGAGACAACGACGACGGCTTCAGCAGGGATTTGTGGTCAGCCAGTGAGGGCCGACGTTGCCCCTGTCTCAACAAGTGCCATCCATGATCCAAGACAACAATGCCAAGCACCGATTTTGGCGAGACTGTCAACGGTACGGTGCTTTCTTAGAGTCCGAGAGTGCGACCCGAGTCAGCAACAACTTAAGCCGAGCTTCGTTTCATCCGATCTCTCTCTTGAACTGTCTGTTTGCTTCTTACTTCTCAGCATCTTCAGTGTTTTAGTCTGGAGTCTTTTGATTTGTCGGGTTGTCTTCTTTGTGGCACATCAGTCTCATCATCAGCTCCGTTGCCGGTATTCGCGCGTGCCGTTAAGCTTAAAAAGCCACTCGCATCCATCCATCCATTCCACTTGTACACTCTTCCCCGCATAGCTCGGCACCGGGATCCATTGAGGTTCTTGCCTTGACCGACACCGTGATACAAACGGAACCATAGACACCAAAGAACGTCAAAAGAGAATCGAAACACACGGGAAAATATGGGCGACGTTCGACAACTACAGGATGAACACGCGGCAGCCATTGCGAAGGCGAGCGCACAAGAGCCGTCCATTCAGGCCGTGACATTGCAAGCCACTACTTCTGCTTCCGGAAAGAATGTCACTATTCTCGAACTGCCCACGGTCACACTCACTTGCGAGAAGGATAACTTGGTTATTCAAGGTAAGTGAAGCCTCCATATACATGGCACATCTCATCCCTCCCACAAGCACATTTTCTTTGGACTGGACATCTCTTCTTCCTCATAAGACCTACGTTCGTCCTTAGACTAACCGCAACGCATGCACAGAACATGCCGCTGCCACCAAGAAGTCACGTTCGTGCTGCTCAGGTATATAAAAAGCATCAAGTTTCTCTTACACACAAATCCTCTTTGCAGTGACACAAAACACCCGATGTGGAAGAAAGAGGCCCAACATTCAAGCTCAACCGGATTTATAAACCACATTTCTCTCGATAGTATACTAACACCGTTTCCCTCCCTCCCTCCTCCACAGTCACCCCTTCGCGCCGTCTCGCTCCCGGGTCCGTACCATTCTACAACATCCTCTGGGCCTACATCACCCCCGACCGCAACTACCTCCGTATCGACTTCGCCGAAGAGACCTCTCCCAAGAAACATCAGCTCATCGTCCGCCAACTCGAGTTCCCCCTCCCCTCAGCCTCTCTCCAAGGTCCCCGAGAGCGCGAGCCACTTCTCTCACCACCCTCCATCCCTCCAGTCTCCGCCGCCACCTTAGACGCCTTTGTCGCCCACGTCCTTGACCTCGCCTACCCTGCCCCCATCCAGCGCCGCAAGCGCGCCTGGGTGCTTGTCAACCCGCATGCCGGCCCCGGCGGCGCCGACAAGATTTTTGAAAAGAAGGTCCGCCCCATCTTCGAAGCGGCGCGCATGCCATTGACCGTCGTGCGCACCACCTACTCCGGCGAAGCCGTCACCCTCGCGCAGGACCTGGATATTTCACAGTACGACATCGCAATCCCCTGCTCCGGCGACGGTCTACCGCACGAAGTCTTCAATGGGCTCTCCAAGCGGCCCGATGCCCGCAAGGCGCTTTCAAAGCTGGCAGTGTGCCACATACCCTGCGGCTCGGGCAACGCCATGAGCTGCAACCTCTACGGTACCCACCGCCCTTCGCTGGCGGCGCTAGCTATCGTCAAGGGCGTCCCCACGAAGCTGGACCTGTGCAGCGTCACGCTGCAAGATGGAGAGCGCCTGACGAGCTTTCTGAGCCAGGCGTACGGCTTGATTGCCGATTTGGATATCACTACCGAGCATCTGAGGTGGATGGGTGCGGCAAGGTTTACGTATGGCTTTCTGACGCTGGCCATCAGGAAGAAGACGTATCCGTGTGATGTGGCGATGAAGGTGGAAATGGGCGGGAAGGAGGAGATTAGGGGGCATTATGCGAGGGGAGTGAAGGGGGCGAAGAGTGAGGTTGGGAATGGGGAGGCTAGCGGGGATGGGGAGGAGGGTGGTAGTAACGATGGGGAAGGAGAGGGAGAGGGAGAGGCAATGCCGGGTTTGAAGTATGGAACGGTGAATGATAAGTTGCCGGAGGATTGGGAGGTGGTTCCGCATGAAAAGTTGGGGAGCTTTTACTGCGGTAATGTATGTTTCCCCCTTGCCCCCTTTGCTCTACCAGTCACGTTAACAACCTCGACAGATGGCCTACATGGCCCCAGACGCCAACTTCTTCTCCGCCGCCCTCGCCAACGATGGTTTGTTGGACCTCATCACCACCGACGGCGACATCTCTCTCTGGAAGAACATCAACCTCCAACTCTCGGTCGAATCAGGCCACTTCTTCGACAACCCCTTGGTTTCCTATCGCAAGGTCTCCGCTTTCCGCTTGACACCCCGATACCAGGACCCGAATGGAGTCATCAGCATCGATGGCGAAGCGCGACCGTTCGCTCCCTTCCAGGTGGAGGTACACAAGGGCCTGGGGCTGACCCTCAGTAAGAGGGGTGTGTTCGAAGCGCCTGGACCACATGGATGGGACAAGGTTACAACGACGGAAAGGTTGATGGCCTAGGCGGCTTGAATAGCCGTGAGGATGAGTGTTTGGAAGGTTTTCACCGATGAGAAATTGAGTGTTCCGGGTAAAGGGTTGGAGCAGTGTGAGATTAAGGACTCGGGGAACGTGACGCTGGGGGATGGGTCATATCGAGCACTAGGAACAAAGGTAATGGGAAAAGGGAAAATTTCATGGTAATGGAGGAGGTTAGGATGGGGACATATGAGCGGGATGGGATGGATGGTTATGAGAAAAGGTGGCTGATATTGAATGAGGAGGGCTGCGGTTTTGGGTTGGGGGGCTGAACTGGAAGAGTGGACAACTGAAGATATAGGTTCAAGTACATAATATTGATGATACCCTTTGTTGATAAGCGAAGATGGTAGATAGAGAGCGAAAGACATTGTGTTGCGTTTTGTTTCGTTTGAGAAGACAGTACTTACGCAGTTTCGATAGTAATCGGTTACCTTGTCAAAAAAAAAAAAAAAAAAAAATGGAGAGCTGGATGTTTGTCTGACGGTCAGAATTCCGTAACCTCTAGCTTTCGGTATCTAACAGGACTCAACACTACCAGCCACGTGGGCAGAAACACAGCAAACGGCGCTGGAGGAGGATACTAGACCCAACGCCTTGAATGACCAGACGAAAGTCTCTGAAACCTTACCAGCTGGCATCACCACCGGCCGCCAGCCAGCCGGAACAAGCACTTCACCACCACCACCAACCCAGGCAAACGCGGCACCTACCCGTCACTTGCTGTACCAAGCAACGCCGTTTTATAAGCAACCGGATATCCGACACCTCATAACAACAACATAGAAGGAAGAAGAAGAAGAAGAGAAAAAAAAGTTAGAGTGGAGTAGTAGTTTAACTCGTCGCCCTCCCAAACTGATCCCGAAAAAAAGGGTGAGGCAAGGAGATTCAGGCGGAGACCCGGGTGCGAATCCCGGCTCTAGCACAACTCTTTTTCATTTTTGCATGTCGATTTTCGGGCTCAGAGAGTATTTAACATGTCCAGATTGTTGCCCGCTTTTTCCACTTTGTGTTCTTACTTTTTTTTACATGTATATCATCATCTTTTATATATTTCTTTTGGGGCGGATTCCGAGTCGACAATGGCAGGTCGCAAGACACTTGTCGAGCTAAGCTACATGTTGCACTGAGACTGACTTTCAGATATAGAGAGTAACAATGTTGATGGGTAACTATCTGGCATTACGACATTAAGACTGATCATAACGGTGATGCTAAAGCTGTGGGTGACGATGGTCACTTGCCCGTCGAATCTATATGCGTATCTTCATGCTTCATCTGCCTAACGATCCCTCCCCGTCCATCGTTCAGTAGCATTCATCGCCCATGAATAATCCCTTTCTATCCACCAAGACCATAAAGTATCTATGTTCCGTGGTATCATCAACGTGGGCGATAAGGTCAAAAAACGTGAATAAAGGCAAAACATCACAACACTGAAAATACCACAAAGGGGAACCTAGCTGCTCAAGCCTTGCCCTTTCTTCGCTTCGATCACGAATATCCCATCCACAATCCTCTTCTCACCATCACCCTCCTCCGTCTTTTCAATACTCGCTGAAGAGTTGTCCGAACTTTCTAAACTCTCCTCGTTAGCCGATCTCTCCTTTTGCTCTCTCCTCTCCCTTTCCCTCTGGAACCTCGCCTTCCTCTGCGCCCTCCACCCCGGTCCCCTTGTCATCAACAGATAGATAATCGGACTAAACACCACCAGCACCAGCGGCCAAAACGTAAACGTCCAGCCCACGCCCATCTTCTGCAACATGGCCTCGATAAACGCCGTCGCCCCTGCGCCGCACAAGCACCTGACCAAGTTCGTTGCCGCCACTGCCGTCGCCGGCGCCTCCGGGTACAGGTCCACCACCAGGGTATTCACCAGACTGAAGCTGCCCGTGACACACAATCCGACAACGAACAACAACACCAACGGGCCGGCTACATGTGTCGTAGTCTCCAGCGCCCAGGCGTACCCGATCGTCGCTACCACACCGACTCCCAAGATGGGAATGACAGGCTGCAGTCGGGCCCTCTCGATGGGAAACTTGGACAAGTCGTCGCCGCGCTTGTAGTCGATCGTCATACCCATCTCCTTGGCCAAACGACGGTAGTTCCAGTCCAGGATCCTGCCTTGCACGACAGCGGCCACGGTGCAGCCGATGCCATACGGTAAATAGCAAAGACCGGTCTCAAGCTGGTTATACCCGTACCTATCGGCGAACTGGGTGCCTAGCGTAGCGCAGATTAGGATAAAAACCAGGTAAACCATCGTGCCGTACGAAATCAGCAATCCCAAGTCCGGGTTGAAAACCACCTTCAAGGTATTGAACGGATTCGGAAACCTCAGCTTCGGTCTCGTCCTCTCCGCCTGCCGTTTCGCCTCCTCCTCCTCCTCTTTGGAGCCGGGATGTCTTCTCCTCCTCTTTCCCTTCACATAATCCACCACCGTCATATTCCACCACACCTGCGGCTTCGTCGACCCATTGCCCACCACGTTTCTGCACGTCTCCGGCACCAACAGAATATACGGCACCAACCAGACCCCCGTGTAGATAAGACAAAACCAAAAGATGGCGTGCCAGCCCAGGTACTGCCCGATCACGCCACCGATGACGGGCGAAAGAGAAGGACCGATGTTGATCCCCGCCGAAACAAAACCCATGTATTTTCCCCTCTCGGCGGAAACAGCGACGTCTGCCACTACTGCGTAACAGAGCGCCAAGCTCCCGGAACTTCCAAAGCTCTGCAACATCCTCAACACCAACAGTGCCGCATAGTTCTTTTGCAGCGCCAGTCCCAAGTTGGCGCAAATGTAAACGATAAAACTGATAATAAAGGCCGGTCTACGACCAGCCGCGTCGCCAAAGTCGCCGTAGAGCGTCGGGGAAAAGGCCTGCATGATCATGTAGGTTGTCAAAGTCAGGTTGGCTTTGCTAATAGAGACGTTGAGGTCGTGGGCGACGGCGTCGAGAACGGGAAAGTAGATGTTGGCGGTCATGGGACTGATGAAGCCGGCGAAGGTGATCATGGTCACGATCCATTTGCGGGTGGAGGGGGGAAAGACGGTGTAGGCGGGTCCGGAGGAGAGGCGGGTGAGGTTGGCTTCGGGGTCTTGGGAGGCGTTGATGCCTGAAGGGTCTAGGTCCGGGTCCGGATCCGGGTTCGGGACGGGTACGGGGCCCGGCTGGTAGGTAGTAGGGTCACTGCTGGGTGATATTGTTGAGATGACGTCCTCCTTTTCTTGGGCGGGTGCTCTTGTTGGCTGCTGCTCTTGCAGTGGTGAGTTTGGAGGGTCGATGCCTCGACCTACTGAGGCCTCAGAGGTGAGAGATAACGGACGGGAACCACTCATGTTGGGTGGCTCCGGTCTTGATCCAGGAGCGGTTTTGTTCAGGTTGGATAAAAGAAGTACGATGCTTCTATGTAACCGGTAGCAAACGAAAAATCCAGAATTACTTATGCTGGAGATTTGACCTCACCGCCACTAAGATATCTGGCGGCAAGCACCAATCGGTATTTGAAAGGGACAAAAAAGAGGAAGGGTAGTGGGGGTGGATAGATGGTCATACGAGAAATCCCAACTGCCGCTTGGACGGCGATACATGAAAGGCTTTTTATTTCCGGAGCTCATTGCATGACTTGTATCCCCAGTTCGCAAGGGGTGGTGGCCTTACCTCAGGGTCTGGCTTCCGTTGGCTCTTTCTTTGAACAAACAAGAATCATGGAGGATTGTTAAGCCTGACCGACGAGGAAGGTGGTTAAGCTTATCACTAACAACTTGTCCAATCACGTCAATCCGTACTGTAGAACAGATAGGTAGTGTACAGAAGGCAGGCTTCTGGTCAAAGTGTCCGGAGGCCATCGAATGATGCTGAACGTAGAGAGCGGATGGGTCACGTTTATGTCTTTTGCTTTGACCAGGCATCATTTGCAGTTGAGCCGAAGACAATGTGAATCTCGGCAATGTTTTTACTAGTAGTTTGACTTGAGGGCTCACAACGATCTGTGTCAAGGGAGATGTCATGTTTACTTACACTGTGCTCGTGATCAACCGATCAACTCAACGTCCGTTCATCACCATCCGAATTCCTCGATACGAACAACTCCCGTCACTATCATTAGAGGTACGTAGCCACGTAGCTTTGTGCCACTACTTTTTCCAACCCGATATCGGTTCCGTCAATGTTCGAATTCCAGATTCCATTCGAGCTTGTCTGTGTGAATGACAAGGGGAAAAAAAAAAAACAGGAAGAAAAAGGGAGAAACTATGGTTGCCGAAATGGCGAGAATAACACCGAGCTGGACGACATCGGCGCCGTTTTTGCCGCTTTCCGCTCCGGTCGGGGCAACAAACGCTCCACAACGGCAGGGCGCGCATCTTGGCATCTTGGCATCTTGGCGAGCTTGGCAGGCACCGGATGCCAAAGCCACATCGCCTTCGAACCCCAAGCACCAGCCACTGATCGATACACTCCGTCATCGCTTGGCATCATTTCAGCCACGTTGAGCTACACTACAGCATGCGGCAGCACTCAGCAATGGGATCATCCCGTCTCCAACCTCAACTTTCCCTTTGACATCGTGACACCTTGATGGCCTCGGACACTGATTCGAGACCTGGACGACAAGGTGGTCCTCAAGATAACCATTACATAAGTCATAATCCTTAATAAACATCATGGCGGACCTCACTTCCACCTTCAACGGGCTCCTCAAAGGCCACGATGCACCTCCCACAAAACCCTTTACCACTGATACCGCCGACGAGTTCCTAAAGGAGGCTTACAGAATTGTAGGCCATCTCCCCCACTCCTGGCGCCCTCTTGGAACAAATTCCTAACGTACATTATCAGACCTCTCTTGTTGCCCAATTACACTCCGAGCTTCGCAATCTCCGTCAAGCCTACCTCTCGACTGCCGCTCCGCGCAAGACACACCTCCACACTTCGGCTCGTAACGGCTCCTCCCAGCCAGTCTACCTTACCGATCGTGACCGCGAAGAAATTGACGCCAATGCCAAAGCGACGCTGCGCGACCTCAATGCCCGCATTCGCGCCCTCGAGGACGCCGAGCAGCTGCGCCAGAGCACCGAGACCGCCTTGATCCAGAAGAAGTACGCCCGCGGCCTTGGCGCATTGGGGTCCTGGGCTGCTGGCGGCGGCCCGCTAGGAAGCTCAAAGAGCAAAGAACATGCTGCTGCCGAGGCCGTTGCCCGTCAGCTGGGCGCACATCGCGAGAGTGTTATTTGGTACCTAAGGCAACGCCTGCAGGAGACAGCAAGAACGCAGCAGGCCATGATGGAGACCAGGCTGACGCGGGAGATGGAAAAGAATAGGAGCGTGTTGGCCAAGGCAAGGAGCAGTACTGGATTGGATACTGGAAATCACTTTGGTTCACGGAGACGGTCCGGAAGCACGGTCCAGGGGAACACCTCTCATCTGCCTGTGGATGAGTATGAGAGAAGATCGGCGGTGCCTACACAAGACCTGACGGATGAACAAATACAAATGTTCGAAAAGGGGAATCAAGATATGGTGAAGCACTTTGAGAGTACGCTGGACAAAGTCAGGTATGGAACATGTCTAGGACGACTTTCGAGGTCCACATCAGGGACTAATTGTGTCACAGGGCCGCCGAACAATCACTGCTCGAGATTTCCGAACTGCAAAATATGCTGGTTAGCAATCTCACAACTCAATCGGCGCATATTGACCAGCTTGTGGCCGAGTCTTTCGAGACCACCGAGGGCGTCGACAGGGGTAACAAGGAGCTCAAGAAGAGCACTAACAGGGCCAGTCCAGCTCGGTATACCTTCTTCGCTGCTACGGGGCTCTGCGCCTTCCTTGTCATATGGGATCTGATCATTTAAGACGGTTGGCGTCCGCAATTCGACTTATAGGCGGCAAGCGCTTGATCAAAAATCAAGCCAATCAGCCACTTGCTAATTTTACTCCAACGCTTCTTCTCCCACTGATCGCATCCTTCTGCGTCAAACTCGGCTGTCTCGTCGGTTGTTGCGTCTAGTTTGTTGTACCCTCAACCTGCAAAGTGCAGGAGCTTCTCGTATTGTCATCACCAAAATCCACATCGATGTCCCCTTCCTTCCTCAAATGCTTGCCAGCCTTGTGTTCATCAACTTGGTCGGGCAAACCATTTCTTCTTCCCCTCCATCACATTCTGACAGCTTTGACTTGGTCAAATATCACAAGTAACAATCTAGATTACACGTCGATATCGGCACTATCATCATCACCAGTAACGTTTGTTATATCGGGACTCATTGGTTTTTCCTCATCCGGGGCTCCTTCTATCCTCCGTTTTGGGTATTGTTCGCCATTTCGCTGCCGCCGCCGTCAAATTGCCTGCTGTGGTACATCAAGTTCTTCGAGAATTTGACCCCAACATTCGGAGCATCCTGAACGGAAGTGAAAGGGACCTGTAGGTGTCTTCCAACATAATCTCTACCGACCAAAAGCTGACCGATTACAAGCAGGTGCCCACGAATGTGATACCCTCGTCATTATCAAAACTCTGCTCCTGACCGCCCACGCACGTGTTGCTTCTACAGGAAGGCCAGCTTTATCTCTTTGTTCAGCTTCCCACAACGGTCGTGTCGACATCCCCGTTCAACATGTCGCTTGGTCAATTATCCTCAAACATCGTCCACCATGTATTCTCGACGGTAAATGGTGCATTTGCCTGGCCACCATCATCGAAAGTAGCCGGCACTGCTTTCTTCACTGCCGCTCAGGTTCTGGCGTTTTACCTCTTTGCAACAGTGGACAATTTCAGCTTTCCGATAACTACGAGCTACCTTTCCCTACGCGGGCGCGTCCAAGTAGAGAACCCGGACATCCAGCTCATTGAACAGATATTTTTCAACGCGTTACTTCGGACGGAGCTGGCAATCGACGACAGAATTCGAGGAAATCGAGATCGCCCTGAACGTCATACTCATTATCACAATATGAGAGACATAATCCCATGCCCCCCCTGCTCCGGCTATCCCCGTCTTGGGATATTCCCATGCTATCCACTCTTTATCAGGTTGATCAAACCCACGCTTCAGTTCGGCTATCAACTATACAGATCCGTCAAAGATCTTGTTTTCAATTATTTTGAGGTAGAGAGCACAGGGAGAATCGACGACATCGCGGTGTTTGACCTTGGCCAGATCATAGGTGCAGGATTTATCGAAGGGCCACGGCATGGTGCGGCGCTGCAATGGCTCTTGTCGGACGCCTTGGTCTGGCGTTGGCAAGCCAAAGGCAAGAGGCTGTTTTTTGATATCAAAATCAATGACCTTCCCGCGAATTCCCTTCGAGTGGTTTTTCGTGGAGGAAGGGTCGAGAGATTCGACAACTAATTATCAAAAAGTTTATGTCAGTAAACCACAGACAGACACAGTACACGTTGGATCAAGCGATGATGTCTACCCTCAACAGGGTGATGGGGGCCCACGTCCTTGTATCGAGCAAGAGGATAGTTGATAAGTGGCTCTGTCTCATTTGCTGCCGTCATTGAACTTCCTCCCCTGTTCTGATACCTCACAAAGTCTCTTTTGTATCGTCCTCGGAATCTCGCTAACATATACAGCAGCATGATCATTAAAGTACCCGACGTGGATCCTTTCAACTATGGAGCGTATTAGGGGTATGGCATCCGGGTGGATGGGCTAGATCACTTTGGAAAACACGATGGGTTAGTGGGGAGTATTTGGATCTTTGTGTCACGACAGTATGGGAGGGTGGAGAAGTCACTCACTGTGCGGAAGGGATTGCGGATAGGTTACAAGGTGGAAAAGTAAACGAAAAGGCGGCAGACGTTGCAGGATAGCCGATGATGTATGCCTTGGGGGTTCGTTGGTGGTAACTTACTGAGGAACCATGGTAACGAGTTGCAAGCGATAACAGCGGGTTTTGTGCAGCACTTTAGATACAGTCTATACCGTATTAACTACTTGTCGAACTTGTCTGTCCATTTTGTGCTTCTGGGGCTAAGTGATACTCGTATAGACAGTCCCAGGATTTTCTTGTATACTGTAAAATACTTCTCAGGACGATATTTACATGAACCTGATCCATAGATCAGTCTGAGGCGGCAAGACCATCTCTCCAGGATGACTTGAAACCCCTTTCTAAGACCAAGATATCCAGATTACTTTAGCAAAATCACCTCCTTTGAAAATGTTCTTGAAAAGAATCCGTCAAGTAAGATACTGCTATCAGAAAGTCATTCAAGAAAAGGACTATCATCGAGGTCGTAGTACTTGATAAAAATATCCCTCATCGTTGATACTCAGGATAGAACTAATCTATGAATAAGTCCAAATCGAACACCATACACTTGATAGCAGCTTTTACAATTATGTATCATCCCTGGAGATCCTTTTTCGACCACCCAGATGGACCGCGCTATGGTGGTAATACCTGCCCCGTTCTCAGTTGTGGATATCGTCGAGTGCGTTTTGTTTACTTTCTATCAGGGGCTGGCGGAGTGGAGAACCCCAAACGCTTTGCCAGTCACATCCAATACGAAGAATATCACACAAGGAAAATCGGAAGAAAAGGGACAAGAGTTTGGGGGGGGATTCAGAAAGTCCAACAAGGACCAAACAAAGAGAACAAGTTTTTTTGATTAACCATTCGGGCACGTGAATTAGTGTGTGCCTCTATCCCATCAATGTTGTTCCCCATTGATGGTTAGTTTTCCCGGTTGCTGTTCCCATCCATTCAGCAGCAAAGTAGTACCCATGGGGAGGCATCTTAGGCCTCGACCTCGTTACCATATAACACCCCAATAACAGACCAGCAAATAAACCCGTTACTGATGATAAGAGAGGATCGCTGTAATCTTGCTAATCCCCATTCAGACATACAGCATGACCACCTGATAACCGCTTATTCGTCAAAGAAAAGGGAATAGCAGAAAACAAGAAAGAGTAAGAGTAATGACCAAGAAACAGTAAAGAACTAGAGCAGAAAGGAAAGCAAAGACTGAGGCGTCCTCTATTGCACTTCCCTGACAACCTTGTCCACCGCCCTGGCAACGTAATCTACGTTCTTTTTATTTAGACCGGCCATGCTGATGCGGCCGTTCTTGGTCATGTAGATGTGGAACTCCTCCCTGAGCTTAGCCACCTGCTTCTCGTTCAACCCGGTAAATGAGAACATGCCGATTTGGTCGGTAATGTGGTTCCACGGTCCCGGGGTGCCCAGCTCCTCGAGCTTTGCCCGCAGAGCTTTCCTCATGTCGATGATGCGGCCCGACATGGTGCGCAGGTTCTCCTTCCACTCGGCGAAGAGCGCGGGGTCGTTGAGTACGATCGAAGCCACCTTGGCGCCGTATATGGGCGGGTTGGAAATCTCGGAGCGCTGGAGTAGGGTGAGCTGCGAGGCCACGCGGGTGGTTATGGACGCAGCATCCGGCGAAGGGGCGGAGATGAAGTGGAAGCAGCCAGCGCGTTGCCCGTAGAGACCAAAGTTCTTGGCGAAGGACTGTGCGACTACGAGCTCGAAACCGAGCTCGACGAAGAGCCGGATGGCGGAGGCGTCCCGGTCGAGGTCGCCCGAAGCGAAACCCTGGTAGGCGGTGTCGAAGAAGGGGAAGTGGCCCTTGGCGGCCATGATCTCGGCGATCTCGCGCCACTGGGCGAGCGTAGGGTCGACGCCGGTGGGGTTGTGGGCGCAGGCGTGGAGGAGGATGATAGAGCGCTCGGGGGCGTCAGAGAGGGCCTTCTTCATGCCGTCAATGTCGAGGCCCTTGGTCTTCTGGTCGAAGTAAGGGTACTGGGCGATGGGGAGGCCGACGTTGGAGAAGATTTGGTTGTGGTTGGCCCATGTTGGATTGCTGAGGTAGACGGTGGGCTTCTTGGAGGCGTCGCCGTACGGGTTGTAGAAGCGCGAGAGGAAGAGACCGCCGAGATGGCAGGCGCCAGTGCCGGAGATGGTCTGGATCGAGGCGACGCGCCCCTCGGCGATGGCGGGAGCAGAGGCACCGACAACGAGCTCGGCGGCTTTGCTGGTTAGGGAAGCGAGACCGGCGATGGGGAGGTATTCGTGGTTGGCTTCAGGGTCGTTTCGTATGATTTCATCCGCCTGTTTTGTGGGAAAGTAATTAGTTACCTAGCGTTCTGTTTGCTGCATCTTGATGGCTTCTTCTCGATGGTCACTATGGCGACAGTGCAGGGAGAGCTGTAAGTGCCCCTGGAAGGTGGAAGGGGGGCTCTTAGGGAGGGGTTCTGTAGGCCGCACGAGGTGCCTAGCTCCAGGGGCTACCCTATCCCGCCCAGGGCAATCGCCTACAGGCTTCCCCGGATTGCCCGACACAGTGAGGCTCTTGAGGCCCTCGCGATGGAACTGCAGTGACGGGGACTCCAGTGTGCCGCATGGCCAGATGAAATGGAAATAAACATAAAGCGACACTCACCTTCTTGACAACTGGTAATACCCACGGCTTCGCATTCTCATCTCTGTACGCGCCGATGCCCTGGAAACAGCAAATTAGCAATTGCTGTGTTATTTGCACCACACGGCGCATGTGGGTGGCCGTGAGAAAGCAACATACCAAATCAACTTTTTGGGGACTTGGGTCCGCCTTGAACGCTCTCGCCAACCCAAAGAGAGGATCCTCGGGAGCTTGAGGTACCACCTCGGCGGGGAAACTTGTTGTTTGTGGCAGCGCCATGTGTTTGGCGATGGTCTGGATTCGGTGGAGGGGAGTAGAAGAGGTGGAGTTGGCACTAGGGTTGGTGTTGGTGATGGTTGTGCGATTTGGCGATGACGTTGGGGTGTGGTGGGAGGGGAAGGAAGTGTGGGCGTGAGGAGCGGGAGCGGCAGCGCGCAATAAAGTCGAGGCAGGCGCCATCTTGTCTGTTTTGTATCTGAGGCGGTTTCGGTAGAGGTATGTCAAAATTCTTTGCGGCGAGGCCTGGAACGGACTCTCTTCGGTTGATTTGATGCAGCCTTGCAATCCGCTGTCTGGGTACACCGACAACGGACGGGGATTTGGACAGGCCAAAGTTTCGGGGGGTTACAGTCAGCGGACTCGGTCGGATCTAGCCAGAAGTTCGGATCGAGCAGCGGTCCGTAAGCGGTTCTCTTTTTAGCTCTTCAGCCTGTACGGAAGGGCGGGGAAGATGGCTGGTATCTTGCTGGCTAGAAGTTGGGGATCGTAGCACTCTCTTGGTTCAGGTTTGCAAGTCGTGACCAATACGGACTGTGCGATTGGTCTTCTGGGCAGGTTGTTGTGTAATGCCGTAATGGTAGGATAACAAAAGACACAGTTTACATGGGAAAGGAGGAATCTACGGGAACAGGCAGAGCAAACAGCCCGTAGGACTACATATGACCTTAAGTACTTGGAGAATCAGTGTTGCTATGAGGTCAGATTCACAGTTGTATACAGGCCACTTGAGGGCGGCATGTGAACCCATAACAGGGCTGGCCGATTTGCGACCGAGGCATCATGAATCGCATAAGAAGGGCCGTCACTTGACAGCTTCCTAAGACGGAAATTGCTCACCGAAACGCGGCCATGACAGCCCATCTAGCGTGATACCTTGTTCTTATACGGATAAACGTGGATTTTCACCGATCCTGGAACGCTTGGAAGCATCGTGAAGACGGCTCGTGTAAGTCAGACGGACTAGTAAACGGGACCACAATTCGTGACTAAGTGTTGGAGGATGCCCTACCCACTGCAGTCCACACCAAGATCCCCATCTGGTCCACTTGGAACCCAATGACACTGGAGTTTGCTCGGAATTTGAAATAGCTGAGCTTCCCCTTGGGGCCCTTGTGAAATTTGCCGACCGTTCTTGTGACTTGAAGAAACTGTCGGGCATGGTTTCTCTGATCCATAATAGGGAGACGGTGAGTTAATCTTTGTCATTGACCCCAAGTTTCCATGCATTGTCATGCCAGGGGGCAAATGATGAATATTTCGACAGGTCAGAGACAGTCACAGTTTCCACTGCCCAGACGCCAAGCAAGGCACACAGAGCCTCGAGGCCGAATGCGGAAGGCCTTCACTGCACACAAAAGAGCTTGCAGCACTTGCAGCACTTGCACCATGGCGGGGACATGGCCGGCGTCCCGTTCCACTGCCCGTGGAGACCAGCTTTTGCGATTTTACAGGCTGTGCTTGGCACGTGTGAGATACCTGTGGAGCTGCTTGCTAGAGCGGGCTTCTCCCGACGGGAATCGGCTATTTTGGGACCGGACAATCGTCTGGTACCTTGATCTGGCCGTGGACTAGAGAAAAACAATGAAGCGATTCACGACGGTCAAAATGTCCGAAAAGAACTCGATCCTGGAAGCAAACCAGGGTTGTCGGAAGCTGTAGGAAATTCCTGTATTAGGATCCGAAGTGATAACCGCTCCACTAACCAAGCTGATATCGTCGAAAGCCCGGGTTTTGGACGTTTCCCCTAAAAGTTCCGATTCCAACCACAAGACGACAATCTCGTATCAGATAGAGTGCCTCAAGGTATCGTCAAGATAACCATTCAGTGTGTCCGTATCAACCCCGATAGTCAAAACTACAAGGGACGCCAAATCGTTAGATAGGTCAAACACATCTAGAGATTACATGCTTGAGAGAGTTTATTTTATCATTTAGATACGACTCAGATGAGGTGGCATGTTCAAGGCGCATTTTCACCTGCGTAAGCGCTCCAATAAGATGGTACATGTTAAATACGTCCCCGCGCTTCATTCCTTTTTGTCACATGTCTCTTTTTCCAGCTCTTCTCCCTTCCCCGCCCCAGACAGAACGCAATCCGGGGTAAAGGCCCAATGGTCTCCGCGGGGTTAGGGCGTAGATCTACCCCTGACTGTCACTGGATCCTGTTTTTGTTGCATTGGTCAACGGTTCACAGCCCTGACAGCTTCTTCCTCTGTGGTCGGAGTACGACACTAGTTGGTCCTCAGTTCCCCTTTTGCTTCCCCCAACTGAACGAAGAAAGTCCGAAGATTTTCACTTGCTTTCTGGCCAGGCGCAAGCTTCCTCTTTGGTGCTAACCTCCCCATAAAAGATACACTACTCTCGAGTCTGCATGGCTGTCGGACTTCATGTCACGGTGAATCTGATAGGCTTGATGGCCCGCCGGTATACGTTATCTACACTACCTACACTAGGTAGACACTACACTAGACAAAGATAACACCAAGTTCACATGACCGTTTGCAGGGCTGAGAAAAATTGAGTGTTTGAGCGTATCAAAGTGCCTAGCAAGACCGCCAGTTTTTCAATCAAAGTAAATCCTTCAATGAAATCACAGTCTCTGGACCACATGACAGTTGATGCGGTGAGGATGTCGTTAGGCCCGGTGCCTGGACAAAAGAAGCAGGATTCCAGAAGAAGTCCGGACAGAGTGGCATGGATGCCAAGTTAGGGGAGAGTATGGGGATCAGGGGAAACAGCAAGCGGGAAGAAGGAGATCCCGAATCGATAGCGGAATGCGGATGGGCGGGCAAGGCGGGGAAGCGGGACGGAGGAGAATGGATGGAGCCGAATTCTACATGGACGGACCATCGAAATTTCGTGATGCACCTTCCGTCCTGCCGACGATGTCGCTGGTGACTGAATGCCATGCCTCACGCTGCCGGCATCGACTCAGCTGTCACCTGTGACCACCGCAGAGGTTGCTGGGGAACGGGTGCGGCCGGGATGGAATTCGACTGCTGTCGGGTTCCTGCTGATCATAGCCGAATCCACAATTACTAGCATGTACCAATCACATAGCGAGCGCAAAACTCCCCGCATCTTGGCGATAGCTGGACAAGCCAAATGCCTGCCGCGAAGTCTTATCAGCTGTTTATCTCCAATTGTGAACTCTCGGAAGCTTGGTCCACCAGTTTTTTCTGCCGGGCGGACAAGATTTCGTTTCAATCGGCTTGAACTCCATCCACCATCATCTCCAGCCCAGCCTGCAGCAGCATCTCGTCGCCTCTAGGAAACCGATCCCAGTACTTCGTCTTTTTACACAGCGTATACCCAATTTGCGTTTTGGCCCTACTACAACACAACGACACAGTCGAAACAATCAAGTTGAGTGAAAACACCACCAAAAAAAAACCAGTCAAGATGGCGTCGCAAAATATGCCATTCATCAAGAACCTCGCCTCGAGCGGTACGTTTGCATCCCACCTTTCAGTACATACACTGCCATGTGATGGAAGTACAAGCTACATCATTACTTGGGATACCTACTTACCTTATACCTCTTGACTACTACCACCTCTACATCCAATCACGTTCTATCTAAACTCAAAATGTCTACCCAATTCCCATTCCATAAACCCTTCATTACTGACATTTCTCCCTTCTCGACAGACAGCAAAATTCGCAAATCGGCCCTCGCCTCCCTGCACACCTTCCTCTCCGCCAAGCACATTGCCACCACGCTCTCGCCCATCGACATTCTCAAGCTGTGGAAGGGTCTCTTCTACGCCATGTGGATGTGCGACCGCGCCATCCCCCAGCAGACCCTTGCCCAGGAGCTCGCCGATCTCATCTACATCCTCCCTCGGGAGTCCGTCGTCCCCTGGCTCAGGGGTTTCTGGGCGACCATGTCGCGCGAGTGGACGTCGATCGACGTGCTGCGCATGGAAAAGTTTTTGTTGCTGGTCAGACGGGTGGTGGGTGCTTCCTTTAGGTGGATGAAGGGTGCGCAGGATGGGAAGGCGGATGTCAGTGCTGCTACTGCTACCAAATCCAAAAAGGCCGGGAAGAAGGGAAGCGGAAAGGAAAAGAGCGCGTGGGACGCCAAAAGAGTCGATCAGGTTCTCGATATGCTCGCCGAGTGGCCGTTTGCGCTGGACGAGGACGTCAAGGAGGACAGCGATTCCGAAGAAGAAGAAGAACCCGAAGCCGACGAGGACGACGAAGATGCCAAGCCCCAACACGAATCCCTCAGGAAAGAGAAACCCGAGAAGAAGGAAAACAAGGACCCGCTTCACCTCCTCGCCAAGAAGATACCAGCGGGACTCAAGATCCACGTGCTAGATATCTGGGTGGACGAGGCCGAGAAGGTTGGCATGCTGGACTTTGAGAGCGACGAAGAGGCGCTCAAGATTGTGCAGCGGATTATCGAGAAGATCGAGGAGCTGGAGCAGCGCACGGTTAGCCCCGCGATAAGGGTTCGATCCAAGGACTCGTTGTCGGATGACAGGCTACCGGGGAATGACAAGAAGCCTGTGGAGAAGGAGGATGAGGGATGGGGCGGGTTTGATAACTGATTTCGTTTTATGAACAATGATCTTTGTTGAGATATCATGGCTGCTGGCGTAATAGAGTTGCTTTGTTTGATTTCGTTCCATTGTTCGCTGAAGAACTGTTTGGAATACATTGTATTGTTGACCAATGTCTTGAATCGTGAACCTCCTCATCGGTGTTTCACAATGTTACCCAGGACACTGCGAGTTTATAACTAGGTAGTGAGTCGAAAAGTAACTGATACATACAACAACCTTGGTTTAATTGTGACTCAACCACCATTCCACCAAATTCTAACAAGATATCTGATTGGTATCAACCAGATGCGTTTTAGGTATTTTATACTCTATCTGATCGTTCGTCTATCTTCACAAAATAAGCCTAATGTGTGGCTCCACAGAGCTCGTCCCCGACACCGGGCGAATCACTTCCGGATACTCATCTACGGTGCGCAATCTTGCCGGCAAGCCGCGTGTAAGCCTGCTCAACCTCATCGGGAATATCCACATGGACGATGGAGCCATTGCCCTTGGGACCGTAGCCGTTTTCGTCATCTCTCAATCGCGGAATCTCGCCCATGACCAGCTCCAAGAAACGGTCCATCTTCCACATCAATGCTTCGTTGACTGGCGGTGATTCGTATACCAGTTGTCCGCTAGTGCCGCCGGGCTTTACGCGAGGAACAAAGATCGGACAGCCGAGGATGGTCGGGGGCTGCGCCATGTCCGAGTAGACACGATCGAAGCATGCCACCGTCCGTCGAACCATGGTCGGATCTTGAATGACCACAATGGAGCGCGGCGCGCTTGCTTCGAGCAGCTTGCGCGCTTCCGTCGCGTTGGTAGCGCAGGTCGTGGAGCGATCTTCGATAAGGATTCGAGGTGCAGCGCTGGGGTCGACCTGGCTTGCGTAGAACGAGTTCCAGATAGCATAGAGGACTTGGGCTTCGGGCAGCCCACAGATCTCGACAGCTATGCTCTTGAATGTCGGGTGAAGGGCGACGGCATTGTGAACGAGCTCGGTTGAGTGGCCAAGGCCGCCGCAAAGCACAAGGGTTTTGGTGAGGCTAGGCTGCTGCACGAGGGTGTCGAAGACTGTTTGGGCGCTGTACAGGACGGAGCTGACGCATAGCACAATGCAATCTACCTGTCCGACAGACGAGAGAGAGGCGACATCCGGTCTAGACAGATACTGTGATAGGATATTGACGTCTGCTGAAATATCATCATCCATCTTGAGACAACGGCAGCAACGTTGGCAGCGATGAAATTCTACATGGCGGAAGGGGCCTGGACGATTTTGTAGTCCGTATGCCAAAGTCCGTATGTGCTGATTGTCGGCGTATGAGTTGCCACGCTCAACGCAGTCGGGACGAAGAACGATCCGAATCGACTGGTGTTCCGATTGGTGGCGTCCGATGTCCGGTGTGCCGGAGCGGGCGTCGACGCTGTGGTCGCAAGTTCCGGTGGAAGTTTATACTGCAATCGGCTTAGCGTCGAGTTGCCAGGTACCTTGTGCAAACCACCACAGCCAAAGCTTCGTGGGCACCATGTGTTCAACGACCTGGCCCACAGGTTTCAACTTACCCACAGCATCATAGTATACAGTTCCGCCGGAACTTGCGATCACAGTAGCTTGGACAAAGAAACAGCGACCGGGATGGCTTCTGTGTCGGGAGGAGTGTGATGTGATCTAGGGGGAAGAGAGGCTCGCGCTTGGAGTATATAAGTCTAGGTTCGTTCGCGATGTAAACGACACCGATATCCTGAGTCTCAATCCCTATATCAATCATACTTGCCTCTTTTTCCAGATTACAAACCTCGCGTCCAAAGAAGCCTCTCGCTTCTGCAATCTATTCCTCTCCCCCGCGACCATGGCCGACACCACTTCCCCCAATTCCATTTCCGTCACTCTGAAGGACGTTGCCAAGATGATCGACCACTCGCTGCTGCATCCGACCATGACCGATGCTGACATCGACGCTGGCCTCGAAATCGCAAAGAAGTATGGCGTTGCTACCGCGTGCGTGAAGCCTTACCTCATATCGCGGGCGAAAGAAGCGTTGGCCGGGTCGGACGTCCTGGTCTGCCCCGTCGTTGGCTTCCCGCATGGCAACAGCACCACTGAAGTCAAAGTCTTTGAGGCTACCAGAGCTGCATCAGAGGGCGGCAAAGAGATAGACATGGTCATCAACATCGGCAAGGCCCTGGGCGGCGACTGGGAGTACGTGGCTGACGAGATCAAGCAGATCAACGAAGCCGTTGTGCAGCACGGTGCCGTCCTCAAGGTCATCTTCGAAAACGACTATCTCGAGGAGCGTCATATCATCCGGCTGTGCCAGATCTGCTCTGACGTTGGCGTTGCCTTTGTCAAGACGTCAACTGGGTACGGCTTCGTCAAGCAGTCGAACGGACTGTATACATATGCGGGGGCTACTGTCCCGCATCTTAAGCTGATGAGACAGCACTCGAAGCCCGAGGTTCAAGTGAAGGCAGCTGGTGGCGTTCGCACACTGGACGATGTGCTACATGTTATGTCGCTCGGCGTCACTCGGATCGGAGCGACTGCTACTGTGGCGATCATGGAAGAGGCGGCGTCGAGGGGCATTACGGACGAGCCATCGCGCGTCCACTTTAAGCCCATGGCCGACTCATCATTGGGAGGATACTAGAGAGGTGTTGGGTGACTGTCGCTGGGTGACTGTAGCTCGGGGGTCTCGCATATGTGGCGCACGCGTAAGGTTGCCGGACTTGGTTGCGCAGGCGAGACTGCTGCGGGTGCCCGTGATGTTGGCAATGTTTGTACGGGTTAGCTAGTTCTGAGTAAGGTCGGTAGACAGAGCGAGCTTGAATACGCAGAGATCCTTGTATAGAGATTCTCCTATATATGCGTGTATGTATATATATGGTATATGTGTGTGTATATATACGTAGACTTGTATCTCTCGTAGAAGTTGCTTTCTACTTCCATCTAGCTGCGAGATACATCGATGTAACGGATCTTGGAACGTGCAATGGGGCGCATGAATTCTGGTGCGCAATATTTAACCGTTGGTCACGGTAGTAAACCGTCAGTTACCTAGCCTGATCAACCAACCATCTCCTTTGCCCACAACCATCGAACCTTGTATAGCGATTCCATCACGGATTGCAACCTGTGGAGGGACTACCTATTTGTTCATCTGCCGGTATTAGTCGTCTGCTTGCTTGTAGGCTCCACTCAACGACAAGAACGAACGACATAAGCTGACGCCAGATTCATTGTTAGGTATTTGGGTGTTCAGTCCGTCATTGTGCTATTCTCGGATTGACCCACAGTGGTGCCTCCTGTCAAACTGTCGCAAGTTCGCAACGTCATCCACTCCAGCAGCTTCCGCCGGGAAAAGCCCCTCGGACACAACTTGAACACGCTCCTCGCCGTACATATATCCGCTCACTGTAGCCGGCGCGATGCAGCGACCAACCTTGAGGAACGATTCCGGAAGAGTGCCACGCGCCTGTCAACGCTGCCGCCAACAGAAGCTGAAGGCATGACCCCCCTCACACGGGCAATGAGTACACTGCCTATTAACCATGTGAGCCAAGTTCCGTAGTGCGATATTCGCCGCCCTTGCACACTCTGTATCCGAGCAAATGTAACCTGTGCCACTCCCGTCAAGCCAACGACGTGGAAAACCCACGAAGCCGGCCGACCAGCGAAGAAGGCTTGTCGTAGGAATGATTCAGCAGAAGTCTCGGCGGCTCACGGGCGACCATCCGAAGCCGTCTCCTCTGCGTCGTCAATGTACCTGGACGAGGTGAGAACTACGACCAGTCTTCTGTAGCTTGTCACGCTAACGTGCGCCCAAGGCTTTCCAGCAGCATAACACGACCTCGCCAGATGCCGCAGAAGTCTCGGCATTTTCGGCCCCTCGCCATGATCTGGAAGACGGTACATCTCAAAGCTCAGCATCGGACACGTCTGGGGGACAGCGCCGAGGTCAGACGCATGCTGCCAACAATAACGCTACAAGACAGGGGATGCTGTCCGCTTTGCCCGCCCGCGACATCGCTACTATGCTCGTGAACAACTACTTTGACCGGATCCACTGGTTCGTGCTTGTGTTCCACCAGAGCGACTTTCGACTCCAAGCTCAGCAACTGTACGATGAGACCAGAACGGCGTCTCAATGTCGAAGCATCCCAACGGCTTTCTTGGGTGTTTACCTCGCCGTCTGTATTCTTAGCCTGAGCTACCTGGATCCCAGTCAGACGGCGACGCTGTCACGTCTTGGCGAAGAAACTGTTTCGCTTCAGGAGCGCCTGCTTGGACCGCTACGTGCAGGACTTCTGGACATCGCGGCTGAGGGCTCGTTAGAGGCGGTCCAAACTTGCGTCCTCCTAGGCAGCTACTATCTATACCATGGACAGCCTCAGCTAGCTTGGCCTGTCTGCGGGTGGGCTCTGCGTATCGCTCAGGCATTAAAATTGCATCGCAGATCGAGCCAGCAAACAGTGGCAGTTCCCAACCTGGACGACCCCAAGCAACGCGCAGAGGAATCGAGGAAGCGATGCTGGTGGGCTGTATACGAGATCGAAACCTTCTGCTCTATGCTGTATGGCTACCCGCTGAGTATCAACGACGACGATTGCGATATCGAGCTGCTCCACCAATATCCTGTCAGATCCGCAGACCCGACGTGGGATGCAAATGAGCGGCGTATCACGGGCCAGGCAACCTTGCTTTCGTACAAGGTCGCCATAGTACAACTATCCATCATCGTGCGGACGGCATTACTGAAGCTGTATAGCCTGGGTGACCGAAGTCGTCCACAGAAACCAGCTCGCCGCACAAACACCTCGGATCGCATGCGCACACTGGTCGAAAGTGTAGCCGTTCTCGACCGGAAGCTAGATGCATGGCGTTCGGAGCTTCCTCAGCAGCTACATTTGGACCAAATGCCAGTGGGTGCGGTGGCGCCTTGCAGAGACTATCTTGCTGGCGCCGCCGGGCCATGTTCAAGAGCATGCTTCCACTACCTTTTCCCCCTACAGACACTCTCTCTGAAGCTTGCTTTCGAGAACGCAAGGATCCTCATTCACAGACCTTTATTGAAATATAGGTTAGCACTGCCAGACAGTCATCAGGCTAACGCGCCTCCTCCGCCAGACTTTTCAGACCCGTGCCAAGCCTCCGTCCGAGCATGCCAGGCTGCTGCATTACAGATCTCCGACATTTGCTCCCTGCCTCTTGTGCACGACGCCGGAGCTACGTATGCTGTCGCGTTTATCTGCCTGCATCTTCTGACGGCTGCCATCACACTGTCCATCTTAGCTAGCCTCAATACGATGAGCCAAGCATCCCATGACTGTAAAATGGGACTTCGACGGTTGATGGAGATGCAGTCCCGACTCACCGGCAAGAGCATCGTCACTTCACAAGGCCTGATTGTCTCGAAGAGACTGATGTCACTTGTGTTGCAGAAGGAGAGGGATGAGATGTTGAACGTGCCGCTTCTTCCAGACCCGCCGCGTGTTGAGATCGAGGCTAGACAGGAGGTTGCCGCAGCCTCTCGTGCGTCTGCTGGGTGCGACGAACACGACGCGCCACAGAGTGGCTCCTCTTGTGCTTCAGCATTGATGCAAAGAGGTCAAGCACAAGCGGTAGATATGCTCGTAACGCAGGACCCCCTTGTTACGCCCGAGGATCCCTATCTCGGCTTCTACGAAGATCTTGCAACCACGCAGGCACTCTTTGATTTTGAACAGGGCAAGTTGATATGACGCCGATTCGAAGTGAGACTTGTCTAACATGAACACAGCTTTTCTTGAATCGCACAGCGAATCTGTCACCGATGGGCGTGTAGTTGCTGGCAGTCTTGGACAGCAAACTAGCGGTTCGCAGGACTATAGCTGGATATGGAGCTCGAATGTCGATCCGGCCTTGTCATGGCACTAGGGCCTAGCAACTGAGCTGATGCAAGCACGATGGAAGGCTATCATCAGTGGTTGCTTATTCTTTTGCATACAAGCGAGCGCGCTGTTTTACCCACAGCAAAAGCTCATAGTAGCAGACTCTGAGCATAACAACCACTTACGACCATACCCATTGGAAGACCCGGGATCCCGCCCGCTCTCGCATGAATAAGCCAGTGAGGGACACAAGCTACGTGAGGGTCAGCTTATGTCTGGGAGTTGAAAGGATATAAATTGGGTCTATTTATCACGTGGTAGGGTCAAAAAACTGAACAACCACCTTCCATATCACCAGACGTCCTGCGACAAACGACCCTGACAGATGGAAGCACCTTGCCCCGGTTATATGAAGACTTTGTCCCGCAAGAAGTACGACATTATTGGCCCAGGGTAAACCAACAACAACTCGCGAACACGAACACCAGTCGAAAATTCCAAATCCATAACCACCACACCCAATCCCCCAAATGACACTGCTTACTCAGATGTGTGGGAAGATCTGCAGCCAGTCCGGAACAAAGTAAACACCATAAGCCATATAGCGAACACTGATAAACGATTCCACAATGAGATATCCCCGCACGGTAACCAAAACCACTATGGATGTTATAATTAAAAAGAAATACCATGCGGCGAGGAACCCAACGAGCCGAACACGGAATGTCTCATAACCCAGCCGGAAATGCTGGAAGTTATACCGCTGGATATAGATAATTTGAAAGCGATAGACTAGACCAACAGGAACGGTAGCCATCATCAGGAGACTCGCTATCCTCCATATGATACTCTCCACTCTTGTAGGAAAGACGGAGTCCCAGGCTGCTAGGTGGATAGCGCCAATGGAGGCACCGACCATGGCGCAGACGAAGTAGCTTGTTTTGCTGAAGCCACTGAAGGTGGCGTCTAGGAAGGCGGCGTACTGTACGATGAGTCTGGGAGTGACTTTCTCGAGTAGTTCCTGGCGATTGGCATCAATGGTTTTCGGGTTGGAGTTTTCGCTGTCACGTTGGGCACCACCCTTCTGGCTGACAGCAAGTGGATTGAGTTTGTGGACCTCAAACCTGAGTGTTTGGAACGCCCGCCTGTATCCAAGGTTGGTATACCGACAATGTTGGCCTGACGATCCATGTCTTTTGTAAGCGTAGGGCTCTGGTTGCTCGACTAGTTTGAAGCCGTACAGTTCATCAACAACCTTGATGTGTCTCGCTGCTCTTTCTGCGCGGCAACGGTCGGCCCGGGTGAGACGGATTGGAAAATTGTCTTCGTCTCTGCGCTTGAAGCCGGACGCCTTCCTCAAGTCAACTCGCCAGTTATCCGCACCAGTCCAGATACATTTCCAGTTCGGCTCCTGGGACACGGGCATGTGGCCGAATCCACATGGAAGATACTTGTTAATACCCAGATCGAAGGTTTCCGGGTTCCCGAACGGTACGTCTACTTCCTCGATTGGAATTGATAGGACTGAATCCTGTGAGCCTGTTGTTGACTTTCCGGGTCCCAAGTATCGATCAGGTTCGTCTGCTGGAGTAGGCTGAGGCGTCGATTCTTGGGCCACTTGATTGATGACAATTTGGGATGTCTTTTGCTTGACAGAGTCCCGACCATCCTCTTCCCTAGGAGCCTTCGATTTGTCCAGCTTTTCTTGTTTCCACTTCAAATTCAGGAAGCCAGTGAGATTCTGTAGGTCACAGAACTGTTCCTGAACCATCAGTGCTAATGCATCTTGAAAGCCTTTTCTAGTTGGCTCGTCGTTGAAGTCGGCAGGGTTAACGAAGACTGGTTGTCGCACGTCAAGGGGTTTCTGTGGACGTGTTAGTCAGTCACGAATCAGCGGGGATGCCTGTCGCGAAAAAGGGACGAAAATCACGTATGATGGAGAGGCAAACTCACTTTTAACCAACACAGGTATAGTAACATCGCAACCAGAACATGGCCAAAGGTGTGCAATTCCAAAAGAGAAACGGGGTACCCCGCAGCTTTTCTGGCAATGCACTGAATCCCCATCCAAGTGACTTGGACGAGAACCACGCACTTTTGCACCAATGCCCCTTTACTCTTGTCTTCTATCACGGTGGGCTCAACCAGGAGTTTTTCCAGGTACCCGGACCCCAGCTTGGCAAGCTCAATCACTCCGTCGGCCGAGAGAGGAAGCGTTTCGGGCATGTTGTGGCCATGGAAGTAAAATTGGACATGGTCTGACGGTTTGATGTCGGAGATGTCGACCTGCAGGCCACCCATGACAACGAAGTAACAGAACTTCATATCGACCATGGCCAGAGCCTCCTACACGAAGGGTTAGCATCTTTACTCATATTAAGTAGGTCTTTCCGTTTGCATACCTCATTGCCTTTCTCTTTGCTCTGTTTGATTTTATCGACTATGGCCAGGGCCTCCTACACGAAGGGTTAGCATTTTTACTCGTATCAAGTAAGTCTTTCTGTTCGCATACCTTATTACCATCCTTGATAATTTCCTTGAGCTTCTTCTTAAGTCTTCGGGCGTCAAGATACTCCTGGAAAGCGAGTGCGAATACGGCCTCGGGACACATTAATGCCACCAACACCAGGGCGGCTTTGATGAGCGTGAAGCTCCTCTTGCCAGAGCCTCCAGGTGGTACAGTCGGATGAATAGCAGTATAGGCGCAGGCAATCAAGGTTACCAAGCATGATATGATGATATCACCGGTACCCCGGACGGTTGGCGAACTCACCCATGGCGGAGCGGGTTTCTCGTTCAGTACGGTTTGATTATCGCGATTATCGTAGATGAACTCACGGACCTCGTCGGTGTTTTTGGCCGCCCACGCGCAGATGACGAAGAGGAAGGTAACGAAGAGGTGACGAATATCCATGGCCGGTCGACATGGGTTGTGTCTGTTAGATCATCCGAGTGAAAAAGTCGGACAAAGTCAAGAATGCCGTCTTGGGAGATCTTGGACAAGCAGGGAGGATGGTGATATAGAAGTATATTTCGCCCATCACATCCCAAGTCAAAGTCGCCTTCCTCGCTGGGCTGTTCCCCTTGCCCTCCGGACGGTCCCCAAATTTTCCTGAAAGCCTGCCATTCAGTTTGGTTAACCCCCTCTTTTCTCATCGAGCCTCATCGCTAATCGCAGTCGAAGATTGGTCTGTTGGAATATTCAATCAATCTGATGATCGTCCCCATATTCGGCTGGCATTGCTTTATATTGAATTGCCACGGAGCCTATCATCTCCAACACAAAGTGAGATAAGCACCTTTGACAGGTCTCGAACCGGAGGGCAGTCCTTTTCACCTTCAATAGGCGTCGAATAGAATTTCTCGCAGATCGACCGCGCATATGCAGCTAGGATTTTACAGATTTTTCCCAGGTTACATACATTCAGGCGCGGGAATGCCAGTGGATGCCGGGATGCCTAAAAGACACACATAAGGCTTCCAATCCCAAGGGGACACGGATGACCCGTTTCGCAGCTCGCCTTTAGACCTAGGTAGGCTCTCGGGGAAGCGTTTCATTCACTCCTACAGCCTTTCTTTCTGTGCTTCTTGCCCAGTCCCTGCCGGACCTGCGCCGTCACAGACATGTTGTTATCAGAGAGAGCTGTTTGGTATAGGCCAGTACTCCGGAATGTGGTCGGCCTGACACCGGAAGAGAGTCTTTTTGGGAAATCCACGTTCCCATGAGGCTCTCATTCGGCCACCATCTCCTGGTTTGGTCTGGTGTAATTTTTTATCCAACCTGGTTACTATTTACACTGGGAACGATGGTCCGGAAGGACGCCAGTGACAATGGAAAAAAGATAGATAAAGATAGGGAATGACGCTTAATGGATTGTATCATAGTACACTCTCGAGCGGCGGAAAGGTGGAAGGGTCTTCGTAGCGCCGCACCTAGCATCAAGCCTGGTGTCAGCGTGCCACATCAGCGTTTCGTCTTTCAAGGATCAAATGCAGCTTTGATGCTGCAATGGAGGACATGCCGAAAAGGCCAACCAGAGGGTTCACTTCGGGTAGCAGGCAGATGAAGAAGGTACAGTTAAGGCAGGTACGTACATAAAAGGAGACCTCTATCGTGATCAGTTTCAAGCCGTAATCCGATAAGACAAGAGCGAGAGATTGATTCCCTTGCCACGCTCTCATCAGACTCGGCAACTATCTGCATATACTAGGAACCTTCTAGAAATAGTCTTCTTACCCAGTGCAATCTTGGTATTGCCAGTGTAAAAGATCTAGAGGCAGTGTCAGGACGGTCAACTTTTCTCGTAATCTACCGGTCGGTGACGACCAGCGTATCCCTGGTGTTGTATTTCTGGTTTCTTTCTCTCTCTTCAACAACCGTTGTAACATTATGTTCCTCTCCCTTGCCTTGAGTTCCTTTTTTTGTTTCGAGTTTAGAATTGTGGCGATGCCTTGAACCAACAAACTTCAACCTGTGCACCTCGCCGTCCTGTGGTCCTGCTCAATCACCATTGTCTCTTCAGCACCTAAGCAACTCAGACAGCTACGAGCACACTTCGACCACACTCCAGATACATCATCAGTCATTATATTCATATTCACTAACAGTATTACACTTAGGAATGATAATAATACCCTCACGCGCCATCCAACCCATCTTTTCCCGTTGACCATTCCATTCATTCGTCGTCATGAGAAACCTGTCTCTCGAAAGATATTACTTATTACAACATACCTCCTTAAGCGTCCCCCCTTCTATATACCGCAGTACTCAAACATACATCCTCTCTGTCCAATCAATAAGCCTCAATCGCACCCACCGTGGCACGCCCACCTAGGTATAAACACTTTCGGTCCACGAGTTCACCTGAAGCCCGCGCTCTGCCATGTCCGCATCCTTGAGGAAGTCGAGCGGCATCCATACTAGATGCCCCTTCACTTGACCCAGCTTCTTCCGGGCATCTTCGGGCGGCATGTATCGGTCAAAGATGTGACCTGGTTTGACGCCCTTGGCGGGGAGGAAGGCATTGTATTCGTCGAAGGTTTTTACTTTTTGTTGATGGTTAGTTGAGTCATTACGAGAAGAAAAAAAAAAGGAAAAAAAAAAAAAGGGGGGGGGGGGGGGGGGGGGCTTATAGGTAGGGGAAAAGCTTACCGTGATCATCAGGATCAGCATGGAACAAGTGCCGGAACACTTCGGTATTCTTGGTCGCTCTACTCGTCCACATTTCCCACAGCTCATCGCTCAGAGGATCCTCCACCAGCTTCCAGCTCTCATGCCGCTCCCACGCATCATTGGGCGAGTCATCGCCCGGTGGTTGCGCATTTGGATCACCACTAGCGTCCAGATCCTGCGGCGGCAGGAGACCGAGATGCTCCCGCCACAAGTACCGACGTAGCGAGGTAGCGTGCCACCCGGCCTCGAACGGCTGGCCGTCCATGGTAGTCTGGACTGTCTTCTTGTCCTCCATAATGATGCTCAGCTCGCTGTCGTGATAGCCCAGCTGGCTGCGATCGTTGAGGTTGCTGGAGCCGCAGATGACGATGCGGTCGTCCGCGATGAGCACCTTGGCATGCACGTAGAGCTCCTCCTGGATCCAGTTGTTGATTTCGTCCTCCGGGTCGCCGTTCCAAGTGACATCGGCCACGGATCCTGTGTGGGCCATGGCGTGGTGGGCGACGGTAAAATTGGACTGGGTGCGGGTATTGTCTTTAGCCCTCGACGGGCTACTGGTTTCCGAGGCGTTCGGGTTGCTGCCGTTGAAGTGGCCTCCGTTGATGTTGCCGTCCAGCTCGCCGTCGGCGTTGGCGTATGCGCTCACCTTTTCATCCCCGCCGGTCCCTTCCTTTTCTACCTTGCTCCTAGCTTCCTCGAACCGCTTCTTCGCATCGTGGCTGTGCTTCTGCTCTTCGGAATCCTGCAGGGTGTCTTTCTGATCTCTTCGGCTGCCCATGTGGGAATCACGGCCACCTTGGGGGTCGTAGGTGCCGTGGATTCCTTCACTCATGACTTCCTCCGCCTGGGCTCGCTGGAGTTCCTGGTACGACACTTCAGCTATTTGTTCCATTCTTTTCTCGGCAGCGGTCCTATTAAGTCGATCGTAACTTCGCAAGTTGAAGAAGAAGATGTGCTGGTTGGGATCCACTCCTTCCTTGCGGATCTGTTCAAAGATGCTGTGCTCTCCACGGCAGATGGACTTGTACTGATAGTCCATGATGGCACGGGTACCCAAAGCGGCATTATCGCGAAGGTCACCCGCAAAGCCAGGAATAGCAGGGATGAGAATGATAACGCGAAACTTTCTGCCTTCCTTGGCAGCACGGACTACGGCGTCTACTATGGCGCGGCCTATCGTGTTGTGGATGGGTGATTGTTCTTTTCCAGTGGCCGTGATGAAGAATTGGTTCTCGATGTAGACGTAGTGCTGTGCGTTGCGAATGATGTCGCTATAAGCGTTCTGGATCGAGTGTTCGGTAAGGATTCCGCTCGACCAGTCAGCACTGGAGCGGACGAGTTGGGCGTGTATGGTGCCTCGGTCGACGATAGGTTTGCTGGCGAGGGGAGTGAGTGGATGAACGACGTACTCGCCCACGGGAAATCTGGGCCTCTGGACTCCAACTAGATCTTCATCCTCGCCTTGCCGGCCTTGTAGCTCAATCCAGTCATAGCGCTTGTCACGCTTGTACTTGTCTCGCTTGATGAAATTCCAGCGAAGAACGAAGTGTTCAGCAATGTCGTAGACACAGGGACCCACCACTCCCATGGCGACATCATGCCACGGCATACGGCCATGCTCTGCCTTGGACAGCTCGTTCTGCTTCCAATCCTTGACGTTTTTGAAGTCCATGATACGATTGTTGTTGAAGTCTTGACCGGGCCAGATCTCGTTGGCAATACCTTCAGGGTGCATGTCAGACAAGCTGTGCTGATGGTAGTCCCAGCGGCCAAAGCAGAGATCGAGGCCGCCAATGAAGGCCATCTCGTAGTCAATGACAATGAACTTTTCGTGATGGGCCCAGTAAAAAGTCATGTCGGCAACGTTCTCCAGGACATTGTGGTCGGGATGGCGCATGACCGTGATGTTTCCGTACCCCGGTGAGCCTTCTGGGCAGAGTGCCTGTAGGGCATGCTTGGTATGGGCAGAATTGCAAGTAATTGCGGCTTCGACTTCGCGGTATACAATGACATAGATCTTGACGCCGGCTTCAGCACGACGTTTGAGAATTTGGTCAAGCCTCCATTCTTGGTTATAGGCGGGAGGACGACGCAGGAAGAGTTCGGGGGAAAGCCACCAATCGGCAATATAGATGGTCTCTTTTGCCTTTTCGAGAGCTACAGAGACAGCCTAGCATGGCTGTAAGCTGGAATTATCTGCATGATCAGAGGAAGTCAACTTACCCAAAAGTAGTCTCTGCCGTCGACATACCACTTGATGTTGTTGCCATCCCGCTCGGGAAAGAAGGACTCGAAACGATGGGAGGTGCAGATGCTTGTTCGCTTTTCGTCGCAGGCTATCTCGTGTTCCTCGTCATGGCGATGCTGGGGGTTGACCAAGTTTTTGAACTTTCCGATTTTGTGCTTCTCATGGACCAGATGTTCGTGTAAACTGCTATTGGCCAGCTTTTCGCGGAGCTCGCGAAAGGGATGCTTGAGCTTTTCGCTGGTGCTCCTTTTCTGTTCGTGTTTAGGGTTCTGAGCAGGACCACCACCTGCAGCCAGATCGGTAGCCATTGTCGTGGCAGTGCTTGATCCTCGGGAGCACAATCTGGCGAAACAGTGTGATGTTGACTTTTGTAAAGAATTGGAGGGGTATCTGGGAATTCTAGGCCAGCAAGGCGGAGGCGCTAAAGTACGTAGGGTGCTTGCTACTCTAGATAAACGACGGAAGCCTGTTCTTTAAGAAGCAGAAGGGTAAGCGCAACAAGGATGCTGAGTGGAAGGAAGGGAAGCCCGCTTGGACTAGGGGGGGAGGATGACGAGAATGCCGTCGAGAAAGAAAAGTTGGCTCGGAGAATAAACAAGGTTCGTTCGAGAATAGGTTGAATACTACATACGTGTGCCTAGGGTGTTCGGGTGGTTCCAAGAAACATGGAGAGGGCGGTTTAGGGCGGAATAACGTGCGAGTGATGCGACTTCCCCAACCCTCGGCATCTCTGGTCCGCCTTGGTCATCACCGTTTCTTGCTCCGCGTAATTCTGGTTGGCCGAGGGAAGAAGTCTCTGCAATTACACAAGAGGCGCAAAGGTCCAGCCGTCAAGTGGAAGACCGGGTTAGGTGAAAGAAATTGAAGGGAAAAAAACATTGAACACCAAAGGGAAGCGGCTATGTAAACCATCATCACTAACATGGCTTCGGAATGACGTCATGCTAAATAACAGTTCTTGTGTTGCCGCATTGCATTGCATTGATGCGACCGCGTGGCCTGTGTGTTTGCACCGCATGCTGTTCCGTTAATTGAAGGTTTGTCTCAAATTGACAAAGTCGATTATAGAAACTGCCATGTTCTGAAGTCGGAGGCCTTGAGGTTCAATTGATACAAGACAGCAGCTGCGCCTCGGTCAAATGGGCTTTCAGTCGTGGAGGGAAGTCGGTCCTCAATCATGGACGAGTTCGAGACTTTCAGGAACGCGAATCCACCGGGGAGCTCCAAGCGCAGAATAGTAGTGGGTCTTGAGCTTCCTTCTGACCAATACTTGGCTACAATTCCGCGGTATCCTCGTCATGTTGAGAAGCATCGTCCTGTTCCTTCGTTCCTACCGCGGCCTGAACCACAAAGGTACTCTTCCCTAATCGATAAGGGGTACTTACCTAGCTAGGTAGCGTAGCAAGGCAAGGGGAAGCTTTCCCTGTCGCAACATCAAGGGTTCACAGTGTGTCCTCGTGTTTGAAATAACTTGAAGTCAATTAGAATATTGAATCTTCTTTTTCCACACCTGCGTTTGGTAACTAACCCCCTCAACACCGTGCATTACAAAGGGACCACCGGCTTCAGTGGACGAGCTAGGGACACAGCAGATTTGCGGGGGAGGGGGCACCTTCTTGGTTGCCGCGTGTCAGGACATGTACTCTTTGCCCTAGCGAGCCTAGCACAGCCGCCTTCAGGTACTTGTCCCCTAGCTCTGGGCGGGGCACGGTCGAATGATTGGGGATGGTGACAGTTTCAAGTTCCACTGTTCCACTCCGCCATGGAGTGACCGACCCCCTTTCCCACCACGTTCCGTCGAGTCCGTTGCTGCTTCTAAACATCTGACTTGTCTTTCTTCATCTCTCTCGTTTTTCAAACTAACCATCTTCATCGTCATCACCACCAATCCACACAACAACCACCACCACCACTACCACCATCATGTCTACCGGCCAGATCCCCCCCGGAGGTACCTACCTCAACACCCTCAAGCGTTCCTTCACCGACGTCCCCGTCCAGGCCGACAATGGGAATGCCATTCCCACCACCGAGTTCCTCGAGGCTGCCGAGTCGCTAGTCTCCATCTTCGATGTGCTCGGCTCTGCCGCCTTCTCCCCCGTCAAGAGCGACATGCTCGGCAATGTCGAGGTGCGTTAGCTGTCCAGCCCAGCCCAGCACTGACCGAGGGGCCTTACATACGCCGAGTGCAGCTAGCTAACAATGTGCTTCCATCTGTTCTAGAAAATCCGCCAGCGTTTTCTTGCCGCCCCTACCGAGTCCGAGACTCTCCAGGACCTTGTTAACAATGAGCAAAAGGCCAAGGAAAACAAGGCCGGCCAGGCCCTGCTCTGGCTCGTCAGGTAAGAGAACATTAGACTGGACGGCTCCAGAAGAAGAAGGAGGAACGGTATACTGACAAGCAAACCTCCAGGGGTCTCGAGTTCACTTGCAAAGGTCTTGCCAACAATGTCGCCGCTGCTGACCAGGAGCTTTCTACCTCGTTCCGCGCTGCCTACGATGTCACCCTCAAGCCCCACCACAGCTTCCTCATCAAGCCCATCTTCAGCGCCGCCATGAGCGCTTGCCCTTACCGCAAGGACTTCTACACCAAGCTCGGTGACGACCAGGACAAGGTCAACGCTCAGCTCAAGGAGTACCTCGCAGCTCTCGAGAACTTTGTCAACATCCTCAAGGCCTTCCTCGACAGCAAGGGCATCAAGAAATAGACGAATCATGCCAAGACGACATACACACGACGCGGCGGCAAGGCGGCACCACATATCATTTTATTACGAGCCAGCATTCATATCCATACCGAGAGGCGGAACTGGTTTCCCGTCCGACTCAGAGACGGGACGATCACGGGCTAGAGGGGACTGGAGCACCATAGCACCGCAGGCCTTTTTGTCTGTCAGTTGTCTTTATCATTAGTAGTAGTTAGTCCGCATCGCGTTGCGTGGTGTCTGATATTGTTAATGCCTATTCTTGAATATCCATTATCCGGTGCTCTTATGCCGCCAAGACCTGCTTCAAGGGAACCCTAGACCTCAATGTGTCTGTCTAAAGCTGACTACAGCCGAGGCTCTCCATCCCGAGTATTTCTCCTCTGGCAATCTGGTTCCATGTCATAAACCGGCCATATCCTTCCGTCAGTATGTCTCTTTCCTCTTCACTTGAAACTGAGCTGGAGCTGACTATGACTCCGGACAGTGTCTCCATCTTTGACTTGGGCTTTGTCCTTGTTGGTAGTCATGCCATCCTGAACTTCTCAGCCCACCCAATCCGCAGGTCGGAAAGGTTTCGGTAACTTCCCTACTATTGTCGCGTTTGACTGATTCCATGCTTGTCTTTGGCAGGGCGATATACCAATATTTCATAAGTGGTCTCATAGGAGATTACTATTCTACCCTAAAGCCCTGCCTCCAGTACTTCCTTTTCTTTTTGGCCAAAGACAACTGCACCACGGGAACCGTTATTGACACACGTATCTTGGCATTCACTGTCTTGAGCCCTACAGCTGCAGCCACGGCCACTTCCGCCAGGGCCAACGAAGCCACGGTCCCAATTAAGAGTCAAAGCCATCTATCAGCATCGACATCCTGTATCGCGATAAAAGCACAATGGATTCAAGTGAGAAGGGCCACAACTCCCATGACTCAACCACAATACCGAGCATCCTCCCCTTGAAGTATGGACCGAGAGTGTCAGTGCCGGAGAAAGAACCGGCAGCAGCAATCCTCGTCCTCATTGTCGGCGGCTTGGAAAGGTGAACCAAAGACTCTCACGATTTTTGTTGCGCCTGTCTTGGGTGGACCTCAATATCGTGTCAAAAAAGAAAGCCGGACCAAGTTTGATGGTCTGTACTACATCTTGTCCTGACGGAGTAATCTCACTAGCACATGCTTCCCACTTGATTCACAGGCGAAGAGGGACATGACAGATAAGAAACTGGAGACCGAACAGGTCTTAGTACTAGGGAAACTAGTGTACGCCGAGTTTAGTGCTCGGACCGAAGTAAGCAGTGAAATCCGGGAGATATTCACGGCCCGCCATTATAGCTAGGTCTCGAAGTGAACCAAGTCAAGCTTCTCAAAGCCGCGATCGAAGTTGAGAGTCTCAGGGTCAATGAAACCAGTCTGAGTAGCTGCCCTAATAGAATGTTTCGATCAGTTTTGAGTTGAGACAACAATCTTATGGCAAAGCCGTTACTATTTCACGCATTTCGCTCCGCAGGAACAAAGTATCGCTTCACCTTCCATTTCTTACAGCGAAAATCCCAAAGTAGTCAAACCCGCCTCCGAAAGAAAATATTGGGGCTGAGAACGAGATTCGACATTTCGGCCATGCCATTCATTCAGCTTACCACCTTACCAACCTCATGCCTCCATAGGTCTCCATTCAGGGTCGATTCAGGTGGTTCCCCAGCACGCCTCTAGCAAGCCAACACTAGCCAATAGGGGGACTCGGCTTACACCAGTGCTCTTGGCTCTCCTGAACTGTCACCGGACCGTCACTAAAAAGATCCACGGATCGACAAAGCTAAGAGCGGGACCACAAGAGACTACAAAAGACTAAAAGGGAACCCTCAGTTCAGCTCAGTGCCGAACTCATGCAGGGACACGTCGAGATTTTCCTTCTTTCTGTCTCGTGATCTTCAGGTCTTTGGGGCCAGAAAACTCTGAACTGGGAGAGATTGAGAAATGCACATTTCGGTGCCAACCATAGAATATCTGCCAGAAAGATATAGGGCCAATGACAAGGGGAAGGCAGGTCTCACAACGGGACATCATGAAGTACGAAGAACGAACAGTGCAGGTAAGGTAAGCATGTCTCAAAGCCATTGGCGGCTCTCGTTCGTTGTACCACCTGCAAAGTATGTCGACCGAGTCGAGTGTCAATCTCCCTTCCGACGCGGGGTGCAACCGAGTCAAGCCTCGCATTAGCCGGTGAAAAGTTCACAGGCCAGCTTCGAATTTTATACTACACCAGCCATTCTTGGCCAGGTACGTACAAGGAGGGGGATGTGATCCGCGATGGGACCGGGGAAATGCATCTGAGTGGACTTGACAAGGGGTGTTTATTTCTCAGTTTACGCAGAAAAATAAAGAGAACGCGGTGTGGAATTCTCGAGGCGGTAACTCCGCCAATACTCACAGGGCCATGGAGGGAAGGGGGCACATCCCAGATCAGATCCGGCATGGATCCATGGATCTGAGCCGGCCGGGCTCCACGGTTCAAGGGCACCACGAACCGGCCGGGGATACAGGTACGGAGTAAATATGTACGGAGTGTATGTTGATCACTCAGATGGCTGGTAACTCTACCTTGTCTGTTCTCGGTCGTGGAGATATATAAACTCTCACGATGTCCTCCCCCTTTGCTGTTTGTGTGTCTTCCTCAGCCATCACCACCAGTTCTACCCCCCCAGGCCACCCTACCAGCCCCGGCATTCGCCTCGAGAGGATTCCAGGACGAACTTCACATACCCTTAATACTTACTTCATATAACTCCCATCAACAACAACCGAATCCAACCCTCTCACCAACCGCCAAAATGAAGTTCACCCTCCTCTCTACCGCCGTCGCCCTCTTGACCAGCACCGCCGTCGCCCTTCCCGCCGGCTCCTCCTCCTCTGGAAGCCTCAGCGAGCGCTCCTACGTCAACGCCTCCTCCACCGCCACCACCTGCCCCTACAGCAGGCGCTCCCCGGCCTACTGCGCCGGCACCGCGCAAAACCGGACGCTCTCCGCGACCTACATCTGCGGCGACTCGCGCCTGGGGCCCGTCGTGCTGCCCCAGTTCTTTTTACCGTTGGATCCCATCCTCGACATCTACGACCGCTTCGGCGGACTGTGCCCGGGCGCCTTCTTGGAGAAGTGGTTCAACCAGACGGGCAGCGGCTGGTGGGACTACCCTCCCCAGGACGGCTTCAGTGTGGATGACGAGGGCAACATCATCGCGGCCAACTTGACGCTGCAGACGGGCACGTTTGTGGACCGGTTCGGCAGCGAGTATGGAAGTTTCCTGGCGCCGGCGGCGGCGCCGTATCTGCAGAGGAGTTTGCCGCCTAGTAATTTGAATGGGGATGCCAAGTGAGTCTTTTTTTTTTTTTTTTTTTATCTCTCTCCTTTTGTTGTTACCCCTCTCTTCAAGGGGAAGTGTAATGGGGAAAGGAAAAGGGGAAAAAAAAAGAGAAAAGGAAGAAGAGACTAACAGGAGATATCATGATAGGTTCCCATGGAACTACCACGTTTACAGCGTCATCAAGCCCTTTGCTGTCCTTGCTGGACCCATCGCTCCGTGGTTCGGCCAGCCTGGCCAGGGCGTGCAGTACCAGACTTATGAGAACGTCGCGACGCTCATTGCTGATGGGTATCTGAGGGCTGAGGATCCCCAGAGGCTGGTTCCTAGAAACTACTAAGTGGGTCGGTGAAGATGGTGGAAAAGGGGATTCGATTCGTGAATGAGAAATGTCTTTGTTTGACATGCTTAACGTTATATAATGGATAATGTCTGGTACACAGTATATACCCAGGGGGTACAATGGAAAGGGGGATTCTAGATAATGATGAGCTGTTTTGGAATGTTTTCTTCGCAGTACATGGTGACGGTAACAGCCTAAAGAGTGATCAGTGGGTGAAAACCTCGGAAAGAACAGACACGAGACGAACCGCTCAATATGTACCAACCTCTCGGCACAGGAACCATCGCACAGGCAAAGATAACGATGAGCACACAATGACACAACGACACAGATAACTCAACAGCTGTCTGTAGCAATATCTCCGTGCCACAACGAGACCAGAGATTGTACTCTACTCCGACAAACTCAAACCCCCCCCCATTCTTACACTAACTTTAACATCCACATTGTAACCATAAAGGTACGTTGTTAAAACAGTGTCATTATTATCTCCGTCATCATCCGTGTATATCATCAAATCATAAACGAGCTCATAAACAAGAAATGTAACAAGCGACCGGATGGGGGGCAGATATCATGCTCCGCCGAACCGACCCAAGAGAAAACCACAATCATATGTCCCTTGAACTCCATGCCGCCTGATTCCCACATCCCACATCCATATATGGTGGTGGCCCAAACCACGAAATCATACAACAATAACTCCCCCAAACACAAAACTCCAGCCGAACCAATTTCGTTACATGAGCAAACAAGCAACTTCAAAAAACACTGGGAGAATATCACTAGCCAAACCTAGCAATCTTCTTCCACCAACTACTCCTCGGCGTAGTACCCTGATCCCCAGGCCCACCACCGCCACTCTTCCTGTTCTCCCTCCCATCACTGCCGGAGCCGGATCCAGTCCGGTCCCCCCCGCGGTCTCCTCTGTCTCCTCTGTCTCCCCTCTCCGCGCGGGGATCACGGTCGTCGTAATCGGCCGCCCGTTCCCCACGCTTCCGCTCCCGAGGCCGAGGAAGCTGTTCCCGGTCGTCGCGAGCGCTGTAGTACTCGCGTTGGTCTCGATCGCGCTGACTGCGTTCGGCACGGTCTCGGGGGTCGCGATCCCTGTGATCTCGCTGCTGCTGTCGAGCATGGTCACGCTCACGCTCACGCTCACGTACAGCGCGCTCAGGTCGTTCTTCATCACCTCTTCTCCTTCTCGTCCGTCTCCTCTCATCATCATGCGCACTAATGTACGCCGCATCTCCCCTTTCACGGTCTCGCTCGCGCTCGGCTTCCTCGGCGGCCGCTTGAGCCGCGTGGTACTTTTGCTCCCTGCGCGCTCTTCGTTCTCTCCTTGCATGCCGAGCAGCCTCTTCCTCATCTAGCTCGTGACGCATAATAGGAGGAGGTGGCGGTGGTGGCGCACCACCGTTGGCGTGTCCGTTGGCATGATCGTCGACAGAGGCACCCAAAGGTCCGGGCGGCGATGGGGGAGCAGGAGCGTCAGCATGGTCCTTGACCCACGACGTGGTTCCCGAATGTGGCCATCCATCATGCTGTCCTTGCCCCTGCTTCCGAGCCTTGGATTGCTGTCTTGAGGTTGGATAGACGTATTCATCTGGCGGCGCGTCTCTCGGTGGTTCGGGTCTGGCCGTGCTCTTTTCTCTCGGCCTCCGCTCCCTCCTGGCCCTGTCCATCTCATCGGCAGCAGCTTCAGCAGCAAGCTGAGCGGCCTTGGCAGCACGGCGGGCCTCTTTTCTCCTTCGCCGTTCGTCGTCATCTTCGCGGTCGCGGTCGTGCTCACGGTCAGACTCAGGAGGCATACGCCGGGTGGCTCGTCGCCGCTCATCTTGTTGTCTACCGCCATTGACGTCACGATGTCCGGCTTCGGCCTCGGCAGCAGCTCGTTCGGCCCGTGTCCTCCTCCGCTCGGCGCGCTCCGCTTCTCTTTGGTCTTCAGCTCGGCGTTCTTCCTCTTCTCTGGCACGGCGATCTTCTTCCTCTCTCGCTTTACGGGCTCTTCGTTCGGCACGACGGGCTTCCTTCTCTTCTAGCCTCCGAGCCTCTTCCTCCTCCTCCTGTTTTCTGCGACGTTCGCGACGGGCTTCGTCCTTTTGGCGACGAGCCTCTTCAGCGGAATGTACGGCGGCGCCTCTCTCGGCTGCCTCTTTCTCTGCACGGCGTGCGCGACGGGCGGCTCTGCGGGCTTCGCGCTCGGCGTCGGTCTCGGGGACGAATGCGGCTGCGGGGTGCCGGCCACCTTCATCATCTGTAGTCTGATATGTAGGAACTGTTCGGCTTCGACGAGGAGGTTCGGGGCGCGGCGGCGGTTCGTGCTGTTGCTTCGAGCCAAAGACGCCAAACAGGCTGAAGCCCGACTTCTTGTTGGCGTTGCTGGTGCTAACGCGGCGAACCGGGGGACGAGCAGGGGGTGCAGCATCGGGCATCTCGAACATGACGTGGTCGTCTTCGGACATGTATTGCTGTTGTTGCGACTCGTAATTAGTAACTGACTGATTCGATTGCGACGCGGCGAATGTTGGGCTGTCGCATACCTTTGCCCTGCGGCGTTCTGACTTGGTCGGGCTGAAATCAGGATCATTAGCACCGGACACAGGCGTGTCATCATTCAAGTCTGCGTTGTCGCACAAACATGTGTTAGCAACATCGTTGTCTTGCAACAAACGGCAACACAAAAACTTACTCGGCTTGTTGCGTGTAGGCGCAGCAGCAGCACCTCGCCCAAAGCCATGGGAAAGAATTCCATTCGCAAGGCCGAGACCAACTCCGAGACCGCGGGCACCGACGCCCAAGATCTTTGCCGCCTTCGATGAGATATCTTCTGGCGGAGGGGAAGCAGCAGCAGGAGGAGCAGGAGGATTGGCGACGGCATTAGTGCTATCCGAGTATCTGCGTGCGATGGGCTTGCCGTTGGGACCAAGTCGCTTCTCGCGCTGGGACATGGATCGCGACAGTGGAGGGGTACTGGTGAAGACGCTAGCGAAGCGCGCTTGCATTGGAGCTGGCGCTGCTGCTACGGCCGCCGCCGCATCCTTCTCTCTGAACCGTGAGGGCTTCTCGGGCGTTTCGATGTGCGCCGTCCTTTTCTTTGCGCTTGGCTCTCGTTCGATCTTAGGTCTCGAAGATGGCTTCTTCCCTTCCATACCCCAAGCTGTACCTTGGCGGTTGATCTTGGGCCTTTCCTTTCGAGGCGATCTTGACTCTGCCATTTCGTCGTCAATTGGCGCATCGGGCGCGACAGGTGGGGGCGAGGGCGGCGCAGGCGGCAAGTCGAACTCGACACCTTCAGGTGAGATCCTTTTGGATCGTCTCTTTGCTCTCCGTTCGGCTGCAGAATCGACAAGTTCAGGTTCTCGGTGGTTTTCGGGGTTGTTGTCATGATGGTCACCATGCATGTCGCGACTGGGTCGGTGATCGTCGTCGTCGTCGTCGATCGGAAATCCGCCGGGGAAACCCCCAGGTGGTGCGCCTGACGGCGCAACAAAAGGCGGCGGCGGAGGCGGAGGCGGAGGGACTGATAGATAATAGTCGTTATCGTCGTCGCGCGAATAGCCTCTGTCTTTGTCTCTGCTCCTTCTTGATGACTTTCGTCGTTCCTCTCTCTGCGCTGGCGGAGATACGGCAACTGCGACAACGGGTGAGATGGCAGGTGACGGTGGCGAGCGCACCAGATATGGCGCGGGCGGGGGAGGGGGATAGCCAGCGTGCTGTGGTGGTGGTGTCGATGGTGCGGCTGGCGGCGGGCCACCATCGGTATCAGCAGGTGTCGCGGCCCCGGCGTCAAGTGACTCGAAGACGCGCAGGCGATCGGCAATCTTGCTCTTGCTCTTGCTCCCCGCAGCCTTCTTGGACTTGGTGGGCTTGGCGGGGTAGGCCACTGGCTCAGCGGTTGGTTCAGGCGACGGTGAGACGGCCTTGGGGGTTGCATCCCATAGCTCAGGAGGAACGCCTCCAATCACACCACCAGCAGCCATGGCTGCCTCGTTATCTTCGGCCGACGGCTCAGGTTCCGGAGCACCAGGCTGCTGCTCATTGTGGTCTTCCCATCCTCCGCCTCCTCCAAACCCAAAGATGCCCCTCTTGGCAGCTCCCCAAAGGCTGAACCCGCCAGGCGCGTGGTTGTTGGTATCAGGCTTATCCTCCTTAGGTTGGCTGTCCACACTCTTGTCCCGTTTCGATGAGTCTCCGAGCAACTCGTCCACCTGCTCGGGAGTGAGCTGCATGTCATCGAGTGGATCAGCCTTGGATTTGCCCTTGGCTCTGCTCGACTTCTTTGTCTGCTTGGCTTCGGCCTCCTCCTCCGCTTGACGAATGGCCCTCTCTGTTGCTTCCTTGAGAGCAGCTGCTTCGGGGTCTTCGCCGTTGCTTTGACCTTGGCCTTCATCTGCATCTTGCCATTCGTCTCCGGGCTGGTCTGCAGCCTCTGGCGAAGCCTCCTCCGCAGCCTTCTTCGCAGCCTCTCGAGCAGCCTTCTCGTCTCGTCGCCGGTTGACATCCTTGGTAAGGACGTCGAGCCTCCGTCCGTCCATGAGAGTAAACCGGCGAGGCGTTTTTGCCTTCTTGTTTGTAAGGGTCTGAAGTTCGGCCTCATCCTTCGCGAGTAGTGCTTCTTCCTCCGCAATCCTCGCTTCCTCCTCTGCGATCCTCGCTTCTTCCGCAAGCCTGGCCTCCTCATCTTTCCGCGCTTGTTCTTCAGCAGCAAGACGGGCTTCTTCTTCAGCCTGCCGCTGCCTCTCCTCTTCCTCCTCTCGTTGCTTGCGTTCCTCTTCCTCTTGCTTGAGGCGTTTCCTCTCTCTGCGTTGCTTGATGATCTGCTGAAGCCTCTGTTGGTCTTTTGTTGTAAACCTCCTCGGTGAGTTGGCCTTTTTGAACCTGAGTGCCTGAAATTCAGCCTCCTCCTCTTCAAGCTCTGCTACTTCTCTGGCAATTCTCTCTTCTTCCTTCTTCCGAGCCTGTTCTTCAGCAGCAATGCGAGCCTCTTCTTCGGCAATACGGGCTGCTTCTTCTTCTGCTCGCTGCCGCTCATCTTCCTCTTCTTGCCGCTTGCGCGCAATCTCCTCGAATTTGCTAGCAAGGATGTCGAGCCGGCGCTGCTCTCTCATCGTGAATCTTCGAGGCGTTTTCTCCTTCTTGAGCCTAAGTGTTTCAAGCTCCGCTGCTTCTTCATCGAGCTTGGCCTTCTCTTTTGCAAGTTTCTTTTCCTCCTCCTGGCGTGCTTGCTCCTCGGCAGCAATGCGAGCCTCTTCTTCGGCGATCCGAGCTTGCTCTTCGGCCTCCCGTTGTCGACACTCCTCCTCTTCTTGGTGTCGACGCTCTTCTTCTTCCCGTTGTTTCTGCTCTTCTTCCTCCTGCAGTCTTCGCTCCTCTTCCTCACGGGCTGCTTGCTCTTCGGCTTCACGCTGAGCTTGCTCCTCCAACTCCCTCTCCCTTTCAGCCTTACGCCTCAAGGCCTCATCCAACTCCTTTGCTTCTCTAGCATTACGTTTCAATTCTTCCTCCAGCTCCTTGGCCTCCTTGAGTCTGCGCCTCGCTTCCTCTTTCTCGGCCTTCTTCTTTTCCTTCTCTAGCTTCTTCAGCTCTTTCTCGCTGAGTTTGGGCTCCTTGTCCTTCGACTTCTTATCCTTGGACTTTTTCTTGTCCTCTTTCTCGGCCTTGACAACCGGCTGAGGTTCGTCATCGTCATCAGCCCAAATGTCGAGCTCTGGTTCGTCTAGTGGAGGTGTTGGTGCCGGTGGTGGTGGCGGAGGTGGTGCTGGCTCGTCATGAAGCGACGACTCCTTATTGGATGATTTGCTGCTGCTCTTGGCGAAGCCGCCCCATCCCCAGAAACTGCTGCCATAGCTGTTGCTTTCTGGTTTGCTGTCATCCTGGTTGTATTTGTCGTCCCTGCTTCCCTCCACAGAGCCCGGCTGGATGGGGTCCGGTACATGGTCCACCACAACCTCCACCGGTGCGTTGTCGGTGCCGGCATTAGCCTTCTTCTTGCGCTTGCTGGACATGGTAGCGCCCCAGACGTCGTCTAAAGTAGGCTCCTCGATGCTGTAAGGCTTTTGTGAACTGTCCTTGGACCGCTTTCTGTGTTTATGGTGGTCGTCATGGTCACTGTCGGTTTCCCAGGATTCGAAGAAGCCACCGGGACGGTGAGAAGGGCTTGGCGGTGATTGCCGAGCTGAGTCAGCTAGTGGATCTCCCGATTTGTTTAGCCCCATGAGGACATCTACGGCGTTTTTGCCCTTCTTCTTATCCTTGTTCGAGTAATTAGCCCATGCGTCTGAGATGGCGCTTTTCTTCTTCTGGTCCTGATAGTCGTCGTCCCAGACATCAGGCGGATCAGGTGCAGGTGAAGCTAACGGCTTGCTGTCCTCATCCAACTCGCCTCTCCTCTTCTTTTTGTCCTTCTTTGGGTCACTAGACAAGCTCCAAATGCTGTCTTTCGCTTTCTTCCGTTTAGAGTCGGGCTCGGGTTCTGGCTCCGGCTTTCGACTTGACCTGGACTCAGTTTTAGACTTGACTTCTATTTCAATGCCCTTCTTCTTCTTTTTCTTGTCCTTGTCTCTCTTAGAGTAGCCCCATTCGTCATGTGATGGTCTGTCTTCGCGATCCGACACAGCAGCGTCTTCAGGTTGTGCTTCCAGCTCGGGTTCCGCATCAAACTCGGGCTCTGGATCCTCCAGTTCGGAGATGACCTCCTCCACTGGTTCAGAGACATATGGCTCCGGGGACGGTGCACGTTCGGCATACCCCTTCTTATCCCTCTTGCTTTTCTTTGATGATGAAGCACTGTACAAGTCGTATTCATCCTCCTTGTCATACTTTGATGATTTGGATCTCTGGGAAAGTTCAGGAGGCGGCGGTGGCGGCGGTGATATGGGCTCACTGGTCTTTCCCTTCTTCTTTCTCTTGTCCTTTTTTGAGATGGGATAATCCCAATGGTCGTCTTCCACCTTTTTCTCCGGTTCCGGTTGCGGCTCTGGCTCCGGCTCTGGTACTGGTTGGACCGGCTCTGGCTCTTCAAGAGGTAGATGCATGGGAGATGTATGCCTACTCTTCTTCTTATCCGTCTTGTGAAGAAAAGAGGAAAACCAGCCGCCGGGATGCTCACCCTCCTCATCTGATTCAGGAAACTGGGGCGGACCAGAAACTGGCTCTGGCTCCGGCTCGGGCTCCGGCTCCGGCTCAGCTACCGGTTCAAATTCGACTGGTGGTGGCGGTGGTGGCTCAGGCTCCGTCTGTCCCCTTCTCCCCTTCTTGTTCTTCTTGATCGGGACATCATCCCACGGAAAAGTCTCAACTGGTTCTACCGGAGGTGGCGGCGGCGGTGGCGGCGGTACAGCTTCTTCTGAAAGTTCCGCTCTTTTACTCTTCTTCTTGTCCTTCTTGGCTGTGGTTTGGTAATGGTTCCATAAGTTGTCCTCCTCCACTGGCTTATCGGTCTCGAACTTGAACTCTTCTGTGGGTCCCACTTCCAGATCTGGCTCCCTGGGAGGTTCGTCAGCAGTATCATACTTACCTTTCTTCTTTTTGCTCTTCACAGGGCTCGGGAGACCTGGGGGCTCGTCCCACCAAGCCTTTTTCGTTGGCGGCTTGTAGGGCAAGATTGGCTCCAGCTTTTCATCGTCTATTGGGTCAATCTCCAGTTCGGGTTCGGCAATGGGAGACGATCGTTCTGCCGGTAACAGTTCCGGATCGGCCTTCCGTGTCCTAATCATAGGCTCTTCAGCGGCGCCGATCCTCGTCTTTTTCTTCTTGGCGCCGAAGACTTCCCACGGATCTGGATTCGCCTTTTTGAGCGTGGGTGCAAATGCGTCGAGTCTCGATGATTGTCCCAACCGGGTCGAGCTTTTCTCAATCTTCTTCTTCACAGCAGGGAAGGTTTCGAAGAAATCATCCTCAGGCTCGAGGTCAGTGGTTTTTGTTAGCTCCGGCTTTGGCTCTATTTTCGGTTCCACTACTGGCTCTTGCCATGCATCTGGTTCCACATCCCATGCGCTAGTGTTGTTCTTTGACTTTTTGCTCTTCTTCGTGGAAACCACGAAGCCTTCATCGTGATCATCTTTGCGCTCATCCTTCTTTACCCCCTTGGCATACATGTTGTCAACCCGGTACTTGTCATCGTCGCTGTCTTGTTTTTTCTCGTTTGCCGAGTACTTCCCATTCATGCCGGTTTGCTTGTCGTCCAGGTCGCCCTTTGTGTCCAACTTTGGCTCAGTCACAGCAGGCTCCTCTCTTGTCTCCTCAGCGGCATCAAAAGAGCCTGGGAAGGTTTTGGTGTTCTTGGACTTGGCCCACGGGTCGTTTTCGAGCTTGTCTTCATGCTTCACCTGCGTCTTTGGCTGTTCCTTGTGGCTGCCCGCTCCCCATTTGAGACCGCCGCCCCAAAGAGCGCTCCACGGAAATCCCGAAGGTTTGCTATCTGAAGATGTTCGCTCCCCGGAAGATCTGTTCTCTTCAATCCTGCTGTTACCCGAAGACCGGTTGTCGATGGACGCGTTGTCTGTAGAGACGCGATTGGCGTTTACTGAGGTTGCAGTGTCGAGTTTGATCTCGTCAAGGTCATTGGATTTGTCCGAGTTGCCATGGCTCTTCGCCTTGTCATCCAATGACCGCGGGGTAGGCTTATCTTGGGTGACAGAACCAATAGCATCACCTCGCTTTCCTTTTTGCCTTATCTTGCCGGTTGCTTGATTCCAGTCATCGTCGAGTGGCGATTTATTTGTACTTTCTGCTTCCTTCTCTTCGTCATCCTTCTTTTGGCCCTCATCATCGTCGGCTTCTTTCTTGGGCTTGTCATCCTTTTTGTCACCGTCGCCTTTGTCTCCTTCATTGCCTGACTTGCCTGGACCTCCTCCAGCACCATTGCTGGCATCCCCGCCGTTGGATTTGCCGTCATAACCACCATCGTCGCCTTCCTTCTGTGAACCTTTGCCACCATCGTTATTTGTTTGCTTTGGTTGCTGTGCACCGCCACCACCGCCGGTCTTCTTTTTCTGTTTACTCTTCTTTGCAACTTGTCGAAATTCGTCATCTTGGTCGGGGTCAAGCCAAGGCCATGGACTCGAGTCGGGATATGAATCACCGTCTTTCCCACGCTGCTTCGGATCGGATCGGGGTATTGTCGCAACCGGTCGGGGTATACTGCTGGAAACAGGTCTAGGAAGGCTGCTCCGGGAGGGCTGTGACTTTTGCGCCCGCTGAGCGGTTGCTGTCGGGTCGCGGGGAGTATAAGAAGACCATCTCGAGTCCTCTTCTTGTGGCGCATGCAATGCTGATGGGAGTCGGGATCGTCTTGACATTCCGTCGAGCGTGGAGACTGGATAGGAACGTGAGGGAGACGTTGCAGCTCGCTGTGACGCGCCCTGTTAGCATATATAACCCAGAGTTCGGACGATCTAATGACCAGACGATCTGGTGACTTTCCAGATTGAGCGGGCTGACATGGATCAAGCATGCAACGATGAGGTGCCAGTGGATTTTTGGAGCACCCCAGGCCCCCATTTCCCGCTTGCCACTATGGAAGCACGCCAGTGTTTTAAGAGGCGATCCCCTGGGGCAGTTCCACAAAGGTAAAGACGAGAACAAGCAGGGTTGGGACGAAAGTTGAAGATATACAAAACTCACAGTTCTTGGACCGCGCAATTCTACCCAGCGTTGCGCAACTATGTTCAATCTTGACTTAATCACATCACCCCTCACAGCCTCTTCCAATTTTTCTTCGTTCCACTCATACCGCCATGTTGGCCCCGCCGGACAAGGCCCCGTATTCGACCCATATGTGTCGCATATTGCCCAGCTTTCGCGGAATGTCCAAACTTGAGCGGCGGCCATATCGGCACTTGGGTTTACTGATCTGGATCGTCGGAGAAAATTACCAGTTCAAGAGGCATTGGGGTGGATGCGCTGAGGCCAGTGTCGAGTAGAGAAGGTGGATAGTGATGGTGGGAGTTGTCAGGTGAGGTTCGAGGAAGGCGCGTAACGAAAGAGGCTGCGGTCCGGAGAGAAAGTCACTATCGGCTCGATTTCCAAGTAGCTCAAGGAAACAAACCACCAGTCAAACCGAAGCTGGTATAGTGTTCCGAAAGAGGGACATCTGTTTCTTGGGATTCCCGTCTTCTCCTTCAGTCTCTGTAGTACCCAGAACTTCCTTCTCCTTTGAGTTGCACAAACTTTTTCTTCTTTGGAGGAATGAGATTCGTTGCCTGGCTGTAATTGGAGTTGCAAATTGAGCCAATGGTCTGCTCGGATCGTGAAGAGAAGACGGGTTGAACGAGGGAAGATGCGTCTTTCAGGTTGTGCTGTGCGACCATAGCGCAGTTAATCTTATTTTCGGATTGCCTCCTACGCTGGCGCAGCTGGGAGTCAAGGGAGGCAAAGAAGCCGTGCTGAACAGCTTGATGGTTGAGGGGCAATGGCCAAACAGAGGCCAACCGTCGGTCAGGCAAGACAAGACGGTCAAGTAGTCATGCAGGACATCAAGTACACTGAGGTACCGTTTGCTCCTGTGTTGATGATGATGGCGTGGGCATCGACCTTGGTTCATTCTCTTCTGTGTCGTTCCCCAGCTTCTGAACACACCGTTGAAGTGGCAAGAGCAGACCACTCTTTTTGGCTTGGAAGCGACAATCTGCGATTCCCAGCCAGCTCCAATTGATCCCTTCTCCCCTCCTCATAGGAGGAGGGGATGGCAGGTCGACCAGCGCGGCCGAGTCACCGGAGTTGGCAGCAAGGTGGGCCATCAGAGGCTCCGTCCGGCACTATCAGTCTGGAGGTGCGGTTTACCCCGGTTGACACCTTCATGGCACCAATACTTTCCTGTTTCACCAGGTGGGAATGGTGTGCCGGGCTGTTTGTTGAATGGCTGGGGAGAAGCATTATTGGCTGCTGTATCTGGAGGGGTGCTTTTGGTTCCAGTCCAGTTGAAGGGCGGGATGATCCAGTTGACCCAGGCTGCAGCTTGTCCATCTGTTTTCTCATTTTGTTGCCGAGCTTTCCCCTCCAGATTTTGAAATGTTAGAGGTATTTTATTCACCTTCAAGTTGGCCAAGAAATGGAACATGGGGACTTTTGGTTCCCCCGCCTATGGTAGGCCACCAAAATGTTCCGCATCGACAAGCAGCCAGGCCGACCAGTTGCCCACTCACTGAATCGGACCCTACCTGCATCTCGCTCGATTGTTGGACGCTACCCACCTACTTGATGCGTCTCACGCTACCTGCTGACCTGATGGCGCACACACCATTGCCATGCTGAGCGTTGACGAGTCAAGTCGAATAGCCAATGGGTTTCGGTCTAGGGGAGAAATTGGCTTTGAGGAGGTGGAAAACAACTAAAGGTATCGCAATGCTCAACGACCCCTCCCTTGTCCTCCCTCAATCGCTGTGCGCCTATCGCGCCGTGGGCGGCTCCCCGTGGCTTCTTCCATCCCGTCTGTTTGTTGTTGGCTGGACCCACTTAGCCGCTAACTTTTAGGGCCAGTTTTAGTTCTGGTGGGTCTGTTTATCATCCGAGAACTGCGAGACAAGCCATGTGTGCTAGAGTGTAGTGTAGGATGGCGTCATGATCCCAGAACAGACGATAAAGAGGAGCTTTGCAAAACACCTTGAAATAACGGTTCCTTGACCTTCCTCTACGGCAAAGTTGCAATTGGAGTTTCCAATGTGTATCGAAATTGACCTTTGCAGTTTGCAGTTTGCAGCACGCATCATGCGAGCCATGCGGCAGTGACAGCGCCTACCCGTACCCAACTACATACTGCACATGGCCGAGCAGCGACAACGAGTGGTGTTTGCGAGGGACAAGAGAGGGCCTGTTTCTTGACGGCTGGTGAATGGCTGCTTTGGCGGGTAGCGCAGGGAGCTATTCCTGACCTGGTAGCCATTGGGCTGCATCAGGACGCTGTGCGACATCTTGCGGCGGGCTCCATTTTGATATTGGCCCTGTGGCCGTGGAGTGGAGGGACGATGGAGGAGTCGTTCGTCCTGTTGTTTGCTCGGATGAACTTCTGCCATGTACCCGACAAACCCTCTTCGGCACAATTCGACGGAAGCCGTCAACAACATGTCGGCGTCGTGAATGGTGGATAGCGAGACGAAGACGGATCGAGGAACTTTTGGAGATACTTCAGTTCCATGTCCCTTCGATGTTGCTGCCTCCGCCTTGTCGATACCTCCAGCGATCCACTGCATGAAGAAGGCCTGGAGCTTCAGTGGGCTCGGCGGGATTGGATCCCGTCATTGGGGCCTCACCGCCCCAACTTTCCCGTCCTTGTTCTGGAATCGAGCGTCAGATGAACGCTTCTTTGGCTGGCAGTTGGTCGAGCAACCCGAAGAGGCGAAGAGTTATGTCTGGGAAGTTGCAATTTCTGTACCAAAGTCATAGAATATGGGATTCCGAAAGGTTGATGGAGTTGCTTGTGATCATGATCAATAGAGGTACAAAGAACTGCCTGGACATCCAAGACAGGGGCACCAGACGACTTATTGGCCGACACCCAAGACCTGACATAAGATAGGTAGTGCACTAACGCATTGAGCAGTCTTTGACAGTATCAAAGTGTTAGTTTTTCTATAGCCATGCCTCGGCCGCCTGAACCACACAGCGTACCTACCTCACCGATCATGCGATGATGGCGCAGCAACAACAGCTGACTGTTCCGTACCACAATAGCAAATCAAGACACGATCTGTTAGACCTTCCAGCTACGGGCCGGTTGGGGAGTGTATACCAGGCGCTGTATACTACATACTCTCGTCGCTTGTCCTGCCCCTGCTACATCTCATACGATCGGACGTCAAGGTAAAGCGTCCACTTCAGCCGCTAAAATTGGGTCGCGATGGCTGTGAGCTGTGCTTATATTCCGGAGTTCGGACTGTCAGCCAAGATTAAAACAGAGCATATCGGTCTTTTTTTCTACTGTCATCTGGATTTCCTGCTATTGTTTGCTTACAATCCTCCATAACACAAAATCTCAACTCTCAGAGACAGTAACAGACTTGCGGTCATCAGTTCGTGATACACGCTTGTCGGCATCGCAGATCAGGAATCGCCCACACCACTCAACCCAGCTCAACCGCCTGATATCAACCCTTTGTGTGTGAGACGGACATCCTTCATTAAAATTAACATAAACCGGACGTTTTCATCAACACCTATCGGGAGTCATCGGGCCTTGGCAACGACGCCCGGCCCCGTTCACCTCCTCCCGTCGGGTCTCCGCATCGGCCTCCCCATGTCCCATACGGACTTGGCACTCTCATCACTACAACAACAAACCTACCACCGCACCGTCAACCATCAACAGCAACAACAACTACTAAAACAAAGTCTCATCGCCACCGAGCGACTCCTAACTCAAACATGTCCCATTCCCACCCTTTGAAAATAATAACCCGCATTCCCCTACCACCACCGACCCCCCCCTCCGCCCTCCTCTCCGCCCTCCACGCCTACGTCCCCCTCATAACCGCCAACCCCTACCTAAAATCCTACATCTCCCTTCCCCTTCCTCTCCCCACTTCCTCTTCATGTTCCTCACCCGCTCCTCCCCCCTCCTCTACCTCTCCCCACCCCCTCCCTCCATCCCTCACCGACGACCCATCCTTCTTCCACCCCCCGGGCCCAGACGGCTTCAACCCTCAATCGTTCCTCATCACCGACTCCGTTCCCCTTCTTCCCCTCCCGGACTGGCTAGGCGGTGGCTCCTTACTAGGAAGCAAAGAAGTTTCCGTGCCTTGTACCTTTCAGAGCTTTGGCTACGGAGTTCGGTGTAAGGCAGTAGCGCCGGCGGCAGGGGCGGGGGCGGTGGTGGTGAGGAGCAGTTATGAGGTTCGGCATCGCTATCGGGCCAAGGGGCGGCCACAGGAACATGGACAGAAAGGAGGAAACGAAGAAGGGCAAGGACAAGGACAAGGACAAGGACAGCAGGAAGGCGAACAAGGACTAGGATTGGGACTGGGACAAGGACTGAGAGCTGGTCTACGAAAAGTGGATAGCGATGATGTTGCGAACACAAACATCAAGTCCAAACAACCAACAGCAGACGACAACAGAAAACTAATCAACAAAGTCACCGGCACCTCCATCGACAACTACGAGTACGAACTAGTCGAGATCGCCACCATTGAGTGTCCAGCCATCGTGCGCCCTTTTGTCAAAGCAAAGTTCGAAAAGGGCCACCACGAGGTTTTACAAAGGGTGGTGGACCAGGTCGTGGCCAAGTGGATGCAAGAGTTGAGGTCGTCCAAGGGGTCTGGCGCAGCGTCGGGAGCGGGAAGGGGGAGGACTTTGTTACAGGAGATACAACAGACTTGAAATATCTATGTACATGGAGAAATGGGTGGGGTTGAGGAGGGATGACGAGAGATATGGTAATGGTGATGGTGATGTGATATTAATGTTGCGGTTGCGTGGGGCGGGTTTTCGATCAATCCGAATGATGAGATTACGAGGCGGCTCAATGCATAGCCATCAGAATAAGACTTGTAGCTGTTACGGGTTCAATAGCTGTATCATATGCTGACTTGCGAGGGATTTGATGATATCAACTGTGATCAGCTTATTCAACAACTCTATATAAGTAACATGGAGTACATCGTCATACATGTAGCATTTATGTGTCCTCATCAGACATTATTTCTATGTTCGCTCAACGTCCGCGCATGCAAGCGCTACGCAAACGGGTCTTTCAGCCAAAAAAAAAAAAAATCCCAGTCAAATACAAAGAAAGAAGAATTGCAACAACGCTGGGGGATAAGTGTATCCAAACAGAGAAGTAAATGTATAAGACAACAATAACCATAACCGCGCACCACCGTATAATCTCATCTGATCCAAACAGTGACCGATAATCATCTGTAAACAATAAATAAATAGAGTATACCACCCAACGCCCTCCCTTTCCCCGAAGGGTTGTTCGCCTAAAATGTCATGACACTATGCCTAACGGCCGCCGTAGTCACTCGCATATCCCAACTCCCCGTACCCTTCTTGCATGCTTCCGGGGCCGAACCCTGTCCCTGGACCACTTACATAGCCTCCCTCCTCGACATCATCGTAGTCGCTAGCTTCGTAATTACTTCCCAAATCCTCTTCTAAGCCGGCTCCATCACCCATAGCCGCAGGCCCAGCGGGTAGGAGGGCCAAGGCAGGATACTGTGCCAACAGCGCCTGTGGGAGCACAAAGGGGTCCATTTGGAACTCGCCATTGGGGTCCATGCCGGGCGACATCATCATGCCGCCCTGCTGTTGCATCATGCCTTGGGCTGCATTCTGCATTGCCTCAGCATACTGCCGTTGCCGTTCACGGTTCTCCGCTTCCAGAAGAGGTCTGATGCAGATTCTTCCTGCCTCCGACCGGAAATGGCGACCCAGAGCATCCGCCCGCGCAAATCTTCGGCCGCAGCCCCATTGTTGACCAGCAACAGGAAGTTCACCTTTACATACGAACTTCTTCTCGCCCGAGTGTAAACCTTCGTGACGCTTGCGATCGTGCTGGCGCGCGAAAGCCTTGTCGCAGACGGTACATTTGAAGGGCCTCTCGTCGGTGTGTGTACGCAAGTGGGAGCGCAGGTTATATGCCCTGGTAAAGCGCTTTGGACATACTTTGCATTGGAAAGTAGCGGGGTGCTTCTGAGCCCTTCTCGGGCCACCTCCATTTTCCCCAGAACCATTATAATTGGGGTCGGCAAGCCGAAGTGCTATCACGTTGTTGGGTACTGACGACGTAGACTGGCGTCTCCTGCTATTAATAGAGCCGGCTCCTGAGCGGTCCATGGGCGAAAGTGAACGTGCGCTTGACGGTCTGAGGTCCGCAGCCGAGCTCGGCGAAAGACTTCCCGAGGGAGAAGGAGATCGGTAACCGCTATTGTTGAAAGGGTCCGTGACCGCTCGTGGTCGCATCCGCCCTCGAGCTAGCACCAAATTGTTAGCTAATGTCCCATTTTCCATCGCATTATCTCAAGGCTACATACCTCTGTTTGGTAGGGCTAGTGAATTATTGTCCAGGTTAGTGGGCTGATCCAGCCCGCTCTTAGCGGGCGCTGGAGCGAAATCGATGTTGATTGCCGGAGGAGCTGGCATGTTCTGCTGGGCCTGCATACCAGATGGGTCATCCAGTGACAGTTGCGGGAAAGCCTCCTGTTGCGGCTGCATGTATGTCGCTGGCGGCCCGAAACTGTTTGCTGGTGTGTGTAGCATAAAATGGTTGGGTTGGTTCGGATCGATCTCGTCCGGTGATTGCTGGGGATGGATCCGAGGGGAGACCGCTGGACTATGCGACGGACTCCTGCCGATGTGGTCGTCCGACAGACTGAAGTTGCTGATCCCGTTCAACTGACTGTATAGGGCATCGGCCTGCGGCCCTTGAAGAGGCGAGTGGTTGTTCTCGATCGGGTCGAAGCTGTCCAATCCCCCAAGGTTGGGCGAATGGGCTACCGAAGAGACATCACTAAGCTCCGAGGCTGAGCGTCGGTGGCCCTGAAACTGAGGCATATGGCTCCAGTCCTGCCCTGGAAGAAGAGCAGCCTCTGGGCCCAGAGACGCATTGCGCGAATGCCTTCCTGTTGTCATGGGGAAACGGCCCTGGGCAAAAGCTGGAGAGTTTATCTCTGGACTGAGCAGATGAGGCGGCTCTGGGCTGTGAGAGCCTTGGGCCATCATATTTGGATCCGGATTGTTGATGGACTGATTATCGGTTATGAACAGCGATCCGTTGAACTGGCCCGCGGTCGTGGTCGTGGGGAAAAGGCCGTAGTCGGCGTCGCCAAAGTTGGATGCCATGAGATTCGGAGAATAGGCGGGTTGCGACAAGCCACCAAACGAATTGTCCTGACTTTCTAACTGGTTTGTATAACCTTGGTTGAAATCCAAACCAGGCTGTGAGAAGGGCGAATGTTGCTGGAACGGGTTCGGGCCGCCGTAGGAAAATTCAGGCTGAAAATGCTGCGAGGCAGAGGGATCGATAAGGCCAAGTCCCAAACCGTTGTTGACGCCATCGTTTGGATTAGGAAAGGGAGTTGGAGACGGCGAGTGGTTTCTTATGTGAGACTGTTGCTGTTGATCGTGGACCTGTCCTCCGCCGGTGGACGCGGCCGACAGCGATCGGCCACGGGCGTCGGTGTACTGTTGGTCCATAGGAATCGCGTGGTAGTCGGCAAGCGGACGGGATTGAGAGTGCGTGGTGTTTCTGTCTTTAGAAGCGCTGCGAGTTGCGAGGCAGTCTCCCTCGAGTCAGCCTTCCGGGACACAGTGGCAGTGCGTGGGTGCGTTTAGGTGCGTGGGTGCGTTGGGGCTGTGCTTACATGCTTGCGACAGCCAGTGATGGGACTGACACCGGCAAACCGAACCCGACTGATAGCTTGGTGACCGGTGCGGGACCGGACGAGCAGGACCAAATAATGGAACCCAGGTCCTATGTATGGGTTCAAGTGCTGGGCTGTGGAAGGTTCAAATTGAAAGCTGTACTCGATGGTTGTGCAGTGTTGGGACTTGGTTGATTTGATTGAGACGGGGCACGTCTCGGTGATCGGGATGACGAAAAGAGTAGTGGATAGATACAGTACGGTAGATTGCCGTGTTAAGCGCCTGTGTGCCTAGCTAGCTAGGACTGAGGACGGGAAGTATGAGTGGTTGTGTGGAAGATTGGACTGCCCGGCTGACTGGAGTGGATTGGACCCTTTGACCCGACGACGAAAGGGGATCACAAGTTAATTGCATTTGGACTTTGGAGGGCGAACAGATGGTATGTATATGATCTCCATGAATGGTGGAGTGAATGGATGCCCGGGGATGCGATGGAGATTAGGTATGTTTGGATGAATGTCGTCGTTGGTCCGTCCTCTGCTTCGTTTGCCCCGACGACGACACCGTGACGGAGACCTTCTCGGGAAGAGTCGAGATTGAAGGGGAGATCGGGAATCGAAGGCTTTCTCGGCTTCCACTTCAGGCACGAACTGAAGCCACCCAAAGGGCAATCGCGGGGTCGTACGGTCAGGGCAGGGCATGGCAGGGACAGACGGGCAGTTGGGGTGATCCATTCATTGGGGTTCAGACGCTGTCAGTTCTGTGAATGGTTGGGTTCGCTCGTAAGGCTGCTGCTGCTGAGTAGACCCACTTCGCTTTCGGTGGGGCTACCGTTCGGGGTTGGCATCTTAAAGAGGTAGAGAACTCATAAAAGTCAATTCATTGATGCCCAAATTTGTGAGAGATCCTCATTCCCGTCTTCTCTTTGCAACACTGGATGCCACCAGATAAATGCTGGATGGAATCCCTGAGTAAGCGACGGGAACAATGTCAACTTCCCTTGATCTTCCTGGGCACGCAGACCTGTTTCTGAACTTCTTCTGCCGGTTCGCATCCCGTCCACTCACTCACAGGCATAGAGCCTGGAAGGTGTCAACAGCACTGTCCATGGAGGCCGGGGCCTGTCCTGGCATGTCTGGCAAGCCTGGGTCTCGCTACCATCGTTCTGGACGTGAAATTGCACCACCCTTTCTTACCTCTAGTGAAGAGATATCTTCTCGTCAGCGAACCACTCATATGTCGAGAATGGTGCCCTCCATCTCCAAGACCAGTTTGCCACTGCACCTAGTTGTGAGAACCAGATACGTGGTATCAATCCAGGGGCAAAATAGAGTGTTGTGGTATTTGTTCGGGCTGGTGCCGCGGACAGGTACCTACCTCTTGCCTTGGACAAGCAAGCAACAGGCTGGCTATCGTGATTGTGACATGCCGTTGCCAGGGTACATGACAAAACAGCTCTCTGAAACACGCCGTCAAGACGTGCTGCGGGTCAGAATGCAGTATCCATCGAGACATATCACATCCATCGCGGTGCTCAGCCTCAGTCTTCGGTTCCTGGAAGTGTTCCTATTCTGGTTCATCTGTTCCTGTTGGTACCTTGCAGTCGCATCCCCGTCATCCTGTCGGTTCTATCCTCTGGTGGGTCCGGTCCTCGGCGCTATCAGCTTATGGTGAGATCTCCGGCAAAATCTGTTACCCAAAGTTCACCACGCTAACAAATTGCACTTCAGTGGCTTGTACACAGCCACAGCCCTGTAATTTCGTTCGACCAACATTTCTTCTTCGAGCCATTATTTAACTTTGATATATCGCTGCATAATACCATTGTTTCATCATTCTCCGCTTGCTTTCGAGGATGCCTACACTAGACGTGTGTAAATATAGACACTCTAATGGACGTCTTGAGCGATAATCCTGGGTATACGTCAGCAAACCACGGGAAGGTCCAGAACTCGCCTTCACGATATATTCGGTTGATCATGGCTGAGCACATAATTTAATCATTGATAGAATTCGAGTGAGCACGATCGACTACCTTGGTTTTCCATGCGTTGAGTAGAAGTTGCAGTGTGAACTCGAGCCGGATACTTACCCGGGTAACAAATCGAAGAAGCTTAACATATCAGGTTTGTTATTGCTAGATATAGTTGATCATTGAGAGATCAACGACCTTCGGAGTGAAGATCCGAAACAAGTACACACTTTGAAACAGTGAACTGCTGCACAGAGAGAAGAACCCAGTGTCTTTTTACCAAAACGCCAGAAACAGCAAAGAGAGTGGGGGGTATCTAGTGTAACACGCATAATACAACTTGGTCCAAAAACGCCTGGCTTCATGAACCCAAACCACAACCATCTGTCAAGACCTTCCGCCCAAGATCAACCGATGACCTCCGCCCTTTCAAATCCCGTCGGCTTCAACGCCGGATTGACCGGTCTCCTCCCGCCCTCGCCCTCCTTATAGTCGCTCACAAACGGATTCGGATCCTCCTTCTGGTCCAAATTGCTCAGTGTATGATTAACGCCCCTATGCACTGCCTCGTCCGCGCGAATATAATGAATCAAGTCCTTCATCGTCCGCTTTCCCTCCGGCATGCGCCAGTACCTCACCGCCATCTCCGGGATCTCAAACTTTTCATCGCTCCACTTTGGCAAGTGACCTTCCTCAATCTCCCTGATGCACCGCGTATAGGTATGTACGGCCTCCTCCTCGAGGTAACCGACAAACCGGTGGGTGATTTTGGGGGAGATCAGGTAGCTGAGAAACATGGCGTTGAAGAAGACGCCCTGCGCTCCCAAGATGAGCGTCTTCATGAGGAGGCCGGGTTCGCACATCTTCATGAAGGTGAGGAGGTGCATGCGCTCGTTGTACGACTCTTCGAGTAAAGTCTCGATCCAGCCGTTGTCTCGTTTGAGCCGGCGGAGGGAGTGCAGGTGGCGGAGCATGCCGGCTACCATGCCGGGAACGCCGGCGATGGATTCGAGGAAGATGAAGCGGACGAGCTATATGGATTCGCGACATTTGGTTAGCATGTGTTGCCATTCCGTCCTCGTAGGGCTCCATAGAACGTACCCATTGGGCTTCGGTCAGAGGTTTATCCGCACTGGTGGCGGTCGTCGGGTGGTGTTTATCAACTTGCTGCTCTGGACGTATGCCCGTCGCTATATCCGTGGCCCATCTGTTTGATATTAGAACACTTTGATTCTACGTCTGCATCCGCGTCCGCACGATACTTGAGGGGCAGTATGGGAACACTCCTTGGGATTTACCTACCGACAGATTCGTACGAGTTTCCATGCGAGCCAATCGCCCACAGTCTCGGGTTTCCGGTGCTCGGGAACAACCGAGGTCATCTCTTCCTCTGTCCATCCATGATGAGGCCACGCGGGTGGTGTCTGCCGGATATAGGCGGTCTCTTTGGCCGGGAAGAAATCCTTCAGTCGAGTGACGCTAGTTGTCGAGAAATTACGAGGTGATGGGGAAGAGAGGTTTGTCTGTGTTGGATGCAAGGAAGTGGCCACTCGAAGGCCCCCAAACAGGAGAGGCCGGGTGTGGCAGGTCGATATCAGGGCACGGCTTAGTTGGGCCGCTTGTCCTGGAGCGTGGAGTATGTTTACTTTGGGGGTGTTCATCGAGAGTTTAGAGAATGATGTAAAGTTGTAATGGAACTCGCTTGAGGTTTGTGATGATGGTCCATATGTGTCAGACAGCAGACACAGGACGTTTATATCGTCCTTTCCTACCCCCAGTTGCAACTTCTTTCAGGGAAAATCTGGAATACGAGAGCTGACTGAAAACACCGAGTTTGTCCGTCCCTGGTCTCAAAGCAGCAATAGAGTTCCGACACTGCCCAAGCAATCTCCATTTTTTTAGCATCAAGACAATCCAGGAACAAGCAAATGGCGGCCGCTAGCGAAAGGGACCCGGAAAGCTCCAGATCTTCAACCAGGACAAAATCTCATTTTGAATCCTCAAAGTGGCAACCGGGCATCTATTGTGGTGGTCAGCTGGATGTCGTCGTTTGGCGGTGTCGGGACCTCCCGGGTGACAAGCCATAGGGCGCAGTTCCACTTCCGCAACATTTTCGGGATTAGCCTTGTATCTCGAAGGACGGCAAGCCCCTGAGCAGTCAGACTGAGCGATTGTGACTCAACACAAAGACAGCCACATTAGATTTCGAGAACAGTGATAGTTGGTTGGTTGGTTGACAGGGCACTTGGTCGAATTATGTGTTGGATGTCCTGCTGACAGTAATAGCGAGCGGAGGGAAACGGAACACCAGTCGAACTTGTTCTCATAGGACACTCAGCATAACTGAGCGTTGGCTTGAGTGATTCCGAATCTGCGAATGTACAAACAAATCTCTTTGGACATAAGTTGCGAATGGCTTCAGGTTAAACTTCTAACTTTGCTGTGACGTCAGTGGTAGTTATCGGTATGCAGAGTGTAGGATCGAGGGAACAATTGTAAGTGTATAAATATTATGCCGTGTCGGAAGCGGGGCAAAAGTGGTGTACGAAATATTGACGATGCAGAGCATTTTCGGGTGACTCCTGGTCCAGGAAATTTGGTGAAAGGGCAGAGCTTTAGGATCCACCTAGTTGTTTATGAATCCTTCTCTTCACATGCGTTAACAGACTTCTCCAAAAAGCCATCCTTCTAGGCTGCACCTAGCACATGCTGCTTGACCGAGGCCGTACATATATGGTGCATGCATCGTGCATATACAAGATGTCCGAAAAGATAAGAGAAAGAAGAGAAAAGAAAAAGGGATATAAGGACGGGCATGTTGGTGAACTGATGGTTTTTGTGAGGACTCGGCACCGACCCCTGACCGACGGGCCCGTGCGACACAACACTTACCCGGCATAAAGCCCTCTGGAGGGAAGGCATTGATATATATACCAAAGATGGGAAGGCAGAGGTTATTCAGAAGGGAAGGTAGCAAGGCGTACGAGGAAGTCAGGTACTTGGTAAAACCTAAACGGGAGGAATAGTTGGGGACAATTCCTGTATATTTAAGACTAGCCGCTCCAGGCGTCTGGAGGTTCTGGTTTTCCTCCTCATCTTCATCATCTTCTCAATAAAATCCAATTGGTCACAAAGCCTTTTCCTTGACAGTTTTGGCATAGTATTAAAATCCTAGACGGAGAAGAACCTTGAGGAACCTGTGAAACGCCGTTGCTGTTTCACTGTTGGTCTTCGAACCCCGCTAACAATTATTTTGCCCACTGCGAACGGAACCACACTCAAGGTGCCTGACCCCTGCTCGCTTTTTCAACTTCTCAAGACTGCGATCGGCTTCTCTTTTGCAGTTTGTACACAACCAACCACAGCACGCAAACTTTTCCTCGTCGCGCCAGACATCGTTGTCGCAAAGACCCGTTCGGTTTTCTAGATCGTCACTACCAAATCGCAAACATGTCTGGAAAGAAGTGGGGTAAGTCTTCCTCGCTCTCCTTGCCTTTTCCCTCTTTGCGCAAGACGAACCCCGCGAACAGTGTATGTCGGCGAAAGTGGGCGACCCCGATCGCCGTGACAAGGCTGCCTGATGCCTGCGCCGGCTTGCGATAGTCGCTGTCAACATCGCCATATGCCTCGAGACTTCCATATTTGAGGTGAATTGGACTTCAGCGACGCGGCCTATATATACAGATCAACCAGAACCAACTCTTGCCTCGACTTTCCTGTTGCGCCACCACAACCTGTCTGAAACCCAGACTAACTAACCCCTCATCACCACAGACGAGGAAGAGGAGGAGTCTTCCGCCCCCAACTCGCCCGTCCTTGCCCCCGGCCGCCGCCGCTTCGACGATGAGGAGGGAAACGAGAGCGACGTTCTCGACTCGTGGGATGCCGCCGAGGACTCCGAGGTAGAGCGCGAGAAGGCGAAGAAGGCCGCCGAGGCCAAGGCCAAGGCTGAGGCCGAAGCCGCCGCCAACAAGAAGTCCAAGGCGCAGCGCATCGCCGAGCGTCAGGCCGAGCGCGCCCGCCAGCTGGCCGAGGATTCGGACGCGGAGGAGGAGACCGAGGCCGAGCGCCGCGAGCGCCTCCGTCGCGAGCAGAAGGAGTCCGATCTCAAGCACGCTGAGGACCTGTTTGCCGGCATCGGCATCAGCAACGACCGCAAGGTCGTCAGCAAGGGCACCATTGTCCAGATCGACCCCAAGGACCCCAACAACACCATCGACATCTCGACCTTGGCCTTGTTCAACCCTACCACCAAGACCCAGTTTGAGACCCTCCGCACCACTCTTGGCCCCATGATCGGCAAGCTCTCGCCCAAGCCGCACTACACTCTCTTCCTCCAGGAGTTCTCCAAGCAGCTCGCCAAGGACCTCAAGAGCGACGAGATCAAGAAGATTGCTAGCACCTTGACTGCTCTCAGCAACGAGAAGCTCAAGGAGGAGAAGGCTGCCGAAAAGGGTGGCAAGAAGAGCAAGGCTGCCAAGACCAAGACCTCACTCGCTGGTGTTGGTCGTGGTGGTGCCATTGCTGAGGCCCACGACACTTATGATGATGATGCTTTCGGAGAGTAAGTTGGCTTGAGGTGGAGTGAGAAAAGATACGCGTGGGGAACGATTGCTAACGTTTGGCTCTAGTGATGACTTCATGTGAAAGATTTCTACCGATAAATCACGATCGTCCGCTTCGTGAGGAAGAGAGGCCTCGAGTCCCTTTTCCCATCAAGGGATGTAGAATCATCCCCTTCACCGGGTATAATCCTCATCCCTACCCGGGAAGCATTCGGAGCGAAGCAAAATGTAGCGGTTGCGTGTGTTTTAATGGCGTAAAAAAGAAAGCGTAGACTACCACGACACCCGCGCAACGGTCACGGCACGTCCGCCGTCCGGACGTAAGGTTCAGTGGCATGATGTCTTGGATGGATGCATGAGGGATCAGAGTCGTCATCAGTGCCAGACTGGACGAAAAAAGGAGGATGGCCTCTTGGGGCACTGATCGAGTCGCGACTTGGGGGTGACGGGAAAAGGCAGCGGATACCATATAGCATGGGGGAAAGTAGATTTAGAGTGCATTCAATAATGAAGGCGAGCATTACGTTTCGAAAGTCCAGGTTGCATATTATCCTGGTGTGAGGTTCTCTTATCGATGCCATGGTTAGAAATACAACCAACACTCTATTTCAGTCACCATCTCGGAACCTTACACCAGTGAATAGGTGATATTCCCAATCATGAACACCACGTGAACTTTTCAGACAAGGTTGCTGTACCCTAATCAAAACACTTAAAACTCCGATCGCGATGTTGATCTGCCCTGAGCAACCATCATCACTGATAATAAAACCAGGGCACACAAAACACCTCGCCTCCCGCATTCATATGATTCCAGCCAGTAATTCTTTCCGTCCGGGTCATTAAGAGCGTAAACCAGTTTCAGATTCCCTCCCTCCTGTTCATAACCATAACCTGCCTGCCTGCCTGCTTGCCTGTCTGCCTGTCTGCTCCTTCGAGCTCCTGTTTTTCAGAGCCATATAAGTATGTTTGATGTATGTATAGTACAGTGAAATACCGCTTGGAAAGGTATGATAACCCCCAACAGTAAAGTAGAGAAGAGAGAGAAAAAAAAAAAAGGATAGTACAACACAACCCCGTATCGTCACAAAACAAGACTTTTCCTCTACCCGCCTGATGTAATATGGGCAAAAGTCTATACTGGTGAGTGTCATATTCAATGACTGCTCACATCAAATCTCCCGCTACGCCAGCCAGCAACGCATGTACCACGAGACTGACCGTCCACAGTCCCACACGCTTGAATCTCCTTACTCTGCTTTGTTGATCCTCTACGTTTCTTGCAAAGGCACGGTACACTTCGGCGCTCATGTCGTCCATGAGCCCACAGTCCCAAACGGTCCAAGCTCCGTCAAAGTCCGTCAGCCGCTTTACGATCCGGCAGCTGATGGGGATGTAGGTGCGCTTGGCGTTAATGTAGGCGACGATGGGCCGCACTAGGGCTTGGTTCACGTAGCTCATGTGTGGGTTGTTGAACAGAGGGACAGCGGCGCGGACGTCGTTGAGGTGGATGCGAAGGTCCATGACTAGGTAAGAGGGGGTTTCTTCAATGGGGGCTGGCTCTTTGGGGGTCGCGGGAGGGATCAAGGGGGGGAAGTGCTGCTCCGAGGTGGGGAGCTCGTCGTGGTGGCCGGTGAGGTCGATGTCAGAGGCAGATTCCGGAATTGGCCCGCTTTCGAGGGTGGGGCTGTTGGTGTTGTTTCGGCTGTTGGGAGAAATGTTGCCGTCTAGAATTTTGAGGTAGCGGTTGCTGGTTACGGCTTCTTCCATTTTGTCGTAAAATTCGGCGACAACCTTGCTTAGACCCTCCTCAGGGTCCGCAGGGAACATGATGTCGGCAATCATATCGACATTGCCTTCGTAAATCCAGCCAAACGGTCCTTCCACCCCGCGGTTCAGGTGGTCAATCTTCAGCCCATCAATCCGTAGTCTGGAGAACTTCTTCCAGGCCGAGGGAGAACCGAACTCGTCTTGGTGGTGACGGCCGTTATCTGCTGCGGACACACCGTGGATCTGTCTGGGATGAATGGTGAATAGTGATCCATCGAATGATCCGGACATGTGATTTGCTGACAAAAAGTCGTAGAACAGCCATTGTTTTCGTAGCTGAGGAAGCTCGCAGGAGAAGATGGAAACGGAAAAGGGCCGGAAACCGCCCGGTTGGTGGACGGTGACCAGCAAGTCTTCCATCTTGAAGTGATCCAGTTCAAAGTCGCCGGGGTTATGTTCCTGTCTGAAGTCAAGGGGGTTGAGGTCCTCATTGCCCCAGACAACCGAAGTCCTGTCAACAACACCTCGGACACCCTTTATTTCGACGTCCTTGAGAAGACCCTTTCCGTTCCACCATTTAAGGAAAGACAAAGCCACGTTCACGGTGTCTATAGTGACATCAAACTGGGTGTAATTGCCATCGTCCTCTTCCACGGCAGTGCCTTCTTGCTCGGCGGCTTGTTTAGCAGCAGCTGCTTCGGCCGCAGCTTCGGAAGAACCCTTCTTGACGGAAGACTTGGGCTGACCAGGTCTCCGAGAAACGAAGACATTGCGGAAAGTGATGACACCATCTCCCCATTTGGGCACAATAGCCGACTCGAAGACAACAGTAAGGCCAGCAGATTGGGTTAGGTAGTCTCCGATCCACTTGGCCAGCGTTTCCTGGGCAAACACCGTGTTGATAAAGAGGATGATGAGGGAGAAGAAGGTGGTCGTGCCAACAAGAATCCAGACCAAATGACCGAATAAGAAAAAGGACACAAACGCTCCCCATTCGTCGGCGTTCCAGGGGCGCATGCTCCTGATGGAGAACCACTTGAATCGGACCTTGAGACGCGACCAGAACCCGCTTGCTGCCGCCAGAAGCTCTTCTTTTGTGGGCCGATGAGGCAGATGGGGGAGGTGAGGAAGGTGAAGGTATTTAGACATGGAATCTGCTATTGATTCATGTGCGGGAGTCGGCTGGGGACCAGAACCGGAAGCCGTCTCGGTATGCGGTGGTTGCTGTGGTTGCTCGGACTTTTGCTGAGGAGAAATTGTAGAAGACTTGGCTTCGGCCTTGGTCTCGTCATGATCACCCTTGGTCTCTTTGCCCGAACTTTGATATCGCTTTCCTGCCATGCATAACGTTGTGGTCGTGGTATTCTGTCGTATCCTTCGCAAGAGTAAAGCCTGCCGAGCCAGGTGGCTCATTTTTGCCTTTTGCGCGGCATTGCCGGATAGTGCGGATGCCTCTACCGTACTTGTTGGAGAGGGGCTGGTGATGAGCCCAAGAAGGAGTAGACCTCCGGAGGTACAGCTTCGTAGGACATTATGGGATGGTTGTGACTGTTGATAGTGTAGTCTTTGCGATTTTGTTGCTGAGGAGAAAAAGCGACTTGCGGAAGAGGTAAATTGTCGCGTGCTCTGCTGCTGTCCGTATCGCTGATGGGTCCCCAGCGAATTCGAGGGGCCAAGTCCAAGACTGTGACGGCTAAGTAATGGCTGACAAGTTGGAAGCAGTATCGTGGCTATGAAGAGATTCGAGGTGGTGTGAGGATCTCGTACTGAAGACCATAGCTGGCGGCCCAGCTGGGTCGTCGTAGCGCTAGTAGACATTGTTGAAATTCATACTGTCGACCGAGGAAGGGTCCTATTTCTTTTTTGTGTTTTTGTTTTCAGCGACGATGGTGATGACGACAGCTAGGTGCCGTATCCATGGTCGGTTCTCGAGGCTGAAAATCAGATGTTGTTGCTTGGTGGTGGGCCGAGTCTAGAATGACATATGATGGTGCTCCTGCTCTGACCAAGAACCTGGAGTTTGAAAAAGCTGCCGGTCCAGGTCCCGTCAAAAGTGCGTCAATGACGCTAACCTTGGGATTACAGGGATTCCTCGGTAACTGTTAGTGCATGGGCGTTGCGATTGGCAAGGGTCCTAGCCCACATCCAGCCAACCGATAAGCTTCACTTGTGTGCTCTTTTGTGGATCCACTGCTTTTTGTCAAGAATTTCCCCTCTGCGCTATCAAAATCGATAAACATCAAAATTCTAAGAGACCGACGGCGCAAAAAGGCAGAACTTCGACTCCCAGATCTCCGCAATTCACGACTGTAACCCAGCATCCCGACACCTCTTTTCGTCGCCCGTCACCAGTCTCTCCTCCACCCGATCTTCGATAAATCTGCCATTACTCTTGGCCGGCGATTCCCCAGAATACTACCGCCGACTTTGATCAACAAACAACTCGACTCGGCCCCTTGACGATCACCCACCGATAAACAACACATCTCGCCCAACATGCCTGCGCCAACAGCACTTCGTCAGCCTGTCGAGGCTCCCACCGCCCAGATTCCTATCCAGACCGAGCAAGAGGACGAGCTCATTCTCGATGTCAACGAGGCCGTCAACCTCACCGATCCCAGCGCCGCCGCTCCCCCTTCCAATGACCAAGATGCGCAGATGGCTGTCGACGAGGAGGGTCGCCCCCGCTTCGCCCCCGGCCAGGACGTCCAGATCATTCGCCGCGCAGAGACCAGGAAAATTGGTATCCCGCCAAACCGCATGTCGGCCCTCAAGGCCAATTGGACCAAGATGTGAGACGGAAACTACGGAAACATGGGCGAATGTTTGGGCAAGGAAGACTGACTGTTTTCCAATCAGCTACCCCCCACTTGTAGAGCACTGCAAGCTCCAGGTCCGCATGAACATCAAGGAGAAGCGCGTCGAGCTCCGCTCCAGCAGACACACCACCACCCCCGAATCCCTGCAGATGGGTGCTGATTTCGTCTCCGCCTTTGCCATGGGCTTTGACATTGACGACGCCATTGCCCTGCTCCGTCTCGATTCGCTCTATATCCAGTCCTTCGATGTCAAGGATGTCCGTCAGACCCTCGGCCCCGATGCTCTGGGACGTGCGATTGGTCGTATTGCAGGCAAGGATGGAAAGACCAAGTTTGCGATCGAGAATGGTACGTTCGCCCTAACGGGAGAATTGAAGAGATAACGCGGAAGTACTGACAAGATGAAAACAGCCACAAAAACCAGAATCGTCCTCGCCGGCTCCCGCGTTCATATCCTCGGTGCCTTCGAAAACATTGGCATGGCCCGCGAGTCCGTCGTCTCCCTCATTCTCGGACACCAGCCCGGCAAGGTGTACAACAACCTCCGGATCATTGCCTCGAGGCAAAAGGAGAGATTCTAAGCTCTCTCTTTGACGAAAAACGGCAATAATGTGTTACACTTCTATTGCCGCTATTCTCACCTAATGAATGGTTCACGCGTGGGGCTGCATGGTTCAGTCAACAAAAAATCGACGGTTTTCATCACATAAGGGGCGAAGGTGGCATTTCGGGAGCTACGCTTAAAAAGGGTTCTGGCGTTTAGGAGTCCATTATGCTTTTGCTTTGAGTCTGGAGAATTTGAAATGGGCGATTCAGTCAGTCATGTTGGGGATACCTACGAAGGTGTGTAGAAACGGGAGGAAGAGGACGGGATATTGGGGAGCTACCGCCTTGCGAATTTTATCAATGTGTGGTTATGATCTATACCCGGAGGACGAGAAGAGAAGACAATGAAGAGAGATATTCACCAAAAGGCTGTTTAGTGCATATTGGCTGGCAAGATCGATTATGGTGCAGAGAAAGTGAGGTGAGAAATGGATATCGTGCGCTCATTTGGTTGAGATTCGATCCATAGTGACGGCAAAGCAAGCAGAATGTAAGGAGCTGATGTGATGGGCATCAATGTAGCCAGGCGAGCCACGATAGATTGGTTTCTTCGAGTCATACAAGAAGTAATCAGTGTACTTTCATTCATTCTCTCATCTCGCTTGATCCACATAAGTAAGCTGTCTTGTTTCTTTTACAGTCCAGATGGCGAACCGTATATCGAAATAGCAAATAGAGCATAGTCAAACCCCTCGATATTCACTCATGATAGGCGGGATGAGACCATCTTAACCCGAAGAGGCTCTTTTTGTGCTCTGACTGACCAACTCCCATGAGTCATCACGCTTGTTGAAATAAAGTGAAGGCAAGACGTAGCAAAAAGTGATATACGTATGGGTATCTGCTGAAGAGCTAGGGTACCACCTCCGCACCATGAACCATGTCCTGGATGGACTTGCAACACTCCAAACTCCGTAATCATCTGTCACAACATCAAGCAAAAGCAATAATCCACAAGTCACCGCCGATTTCGTAAGCCTGACGAATAAGCGCGGTAAAACTCCAATCATCCAACCCCATAACAGCTAAAGAAATGTGCGAATAAAGCCTCCCAAAACCCGGTCTCCATGTTTATTCTCCCGGTCATACACTACTTGATGTAGACCTCAAACTGATTGGTCTCGTCCCTCTCAATGTCCATCGCCCCAACCAGCATGTTCTCGTTCAGCTCCTCGCCATCGAACTGTATCACAACAGCCTGCTCCGGCTTGATATCTCTCTGCTTCTGGAAAACCTGCACCATGGTACTGACCGGCGTATCCTCATAGACGGCGATCTTGAGCGGTTGGAGGTCTTTGGCCTTGAGCACCACTTTGATCTTGGTCTTCTTGACCTCAGCAGCCTCACTGCCACCCCTGGACCATCCATTGGCACCAGACGCACCGATTCCGCTTTGCTGGTCCTCGTCATCGTCATCGTCAATCAGCCCCAACTCCCTCTCCCTCCGCCTCTTCTCCTTCGCAAGCTCTTCCTCGTAAAACTCCTCGTGCCAAACCTCCAGCACCAGTCCAATTTTCCCCCCCTGGATGACATACCCCTCCATGGCCTCTCGGCTCGTCATGGCACCAGGAGGCAGCTGCAGCACGCCATTGGCATCCACCTTGACTCCCAACGAAGCAATGGTGCTGTTGCCGTAAATTCGGTTCCCTTTAAACGTCAAGAACAGCTTGCCCACCATGTCCTCGGGGATTTCGCAACCGTGGAGCACCTGCTGTCGGATCCACGTGTCTAAAATCAGCTTGAGACCTTGCTTCATCCGTCGCCGCGCAGTAAGCGGCTTGGTGTGTGGCATTCGGGAAGTGACGAGAACGTCGATTGTCCAGTTAGCCTGGTCGGCTTCTAGCGCGGCAGCTTTGGTGACCCATTTGGCGAAATCATCGTCGTCGTCGGCCTTATCGGCGACGGTGGTGGTTTCATGGTCTGGGTCGGTTGCGGATGGTGCTGGTGGTGGAGAGGACGAGAAAGAAGCGGAGCGCTTCTTGGGGCGAACTTCGGAGACTTCGAGGTCCGAGTCCTTGTCGGAGTCGAGGGCAGCGGATTCCAAAGGTTTCCTCTTGGAGGTGGAGGATGCGCCGGGGAGGTTGAAGGAGGTCTCAAACCCTTCCAGCGGCGAGCTGCCGCGCTGAGTGGCCCGGGTGCTGCGGCCGAGTGCGGTAGGTTTTGGAGAGAAGCGGTCGGGGTTGCGGCGCTTTGAGTGTGGGGAGTACAGGTCGTCCTTCCCATGGTCGTCTTCGTCGTCGCTAAAGGCGAAGCGTTTCTTGGATGGCGTCCCCGACTTTCTTGGTGTGGTTGAAAGAGGCTTTCGGGGAGTCGGTACCCGGGCTTTGTCGGGTCGTACGATCTCTTTCCCTTTGCCCTTGACGTCCATGATCAGGTCGTCATCGTCGGAGTCGATGCGCGATGCAGACGTCCTACTCAGTGCCGATACGCTCGAAGAGCTGGCGCCGAGAGGTGCTTCATTGTCACCTTCAGCATTGGACGACACCCTCCTTTTCTTGTTGACATGCCCTTCCTTTGGCGACTCGGAAGGCTTCACCTTTTCCTCTGATGATGCCCGCTGCAGGTCCTCCAGGACCATGGGGAAAACGTCCTTTGATCGCCGAAAGAGGGCGAGAGGGTCATCCTGGTCAGAATTGTGCTCTGGCGCATGGCTTGGGGGTGGCTCGTTGGCTGGTGTGCGTGCAACGGTGCGCTTGAAGGGCAGCGCTCTCCTTTTCTTTGGTACGTCAGTTGCCGTGTCCATGGCGGGCAAATGGTGATGTGCTACGTTTGAGAGATTGGTGTGTGCAAAGAAATGTGACAGTGAGGTGGTGCGCAGTGATGAATCGCAAACCTAGTATGTAGATGCGGTTCGGATGCGCAGAGAAAACGAGAAAGTGGGATGACCAACAGGGTGGTGGTGATGGATTGATTGTTGTTCGAGGGAGAAGTGGGAGATCGGTTGTTGCTTGTTTTCAAAGTTTGTTTATAGTCGCGTCGAAAATTCGGACGTGCAGGTCCGTACAATTGTCCATGTAGAGACGAAGGGCGGCTGTTAGGTTGAAGATATCGTGAATCAAAGAAGACGAGGCTGGACAAAAAAAGACGGCGTTGATGCAACCCGGCGCAAAATGCGATCCGCTAACGGCAGACCATCCGAACTACGCTGGGCGGCGCACAGTGTGGTCACTAAACAAACAGTGCTGCGGGGCGTGTGGGGGACTGCAAGGCTGGGCCAGTCCCGTCTGGAGAAACCTAGGAAAAAAAAGGTGGGTCCTAGCCGAGGTAAACCGCGTACTGTGAAGGGAGGCACCGCCGGCAACTGAAGCTGCCCCGAACGAATCCTGAGCGAGCGCCGAAGCTTCAGTTGATCAGGAAGTGACAGCGCCGGTAACTGACACTGCCCCTGCCGAGTGACCACCATCGAGTCCACCACCACCCGCGGACGGGGCAAAGATGGAGATCCCTTCTCTGACACCCGTCTGACCCCATGCACTAAGTCTAGTTCGCAACTCGCCAAAGGATGGAACGAATGAAACGGTGTACGTGGTGTTGAAGGTCCTCCTTGGAGTCTCAACTCGATAATTTGGTTGTCTTATATACCCCATCTGTTTCTGTCTTCTACCTCTATCCTGCTTGACTGCTTCCATCAGCAACATCAACAACCATTATTTGTTAGTGATTATATTTTCCATCGGCGGTCAATATCACCCAACATGAGTGTCCCAAAGTCAGAATATCTCAGCTCCGTATGGGCACCCGGCATCTTTGGTAAGTCTCGGGTGAATTTGTGCAGAGATCACAGTGTCGCTAACAATCATCATCACAGCCAACCGGGTTCTCTTCGTCACCGGTGGTGCCGGCACCATCTGCAGTGCGCAAACTCGCGCCATGGTCCATCTGGGAGCTGACGCATGCATCATTGGTCGCAACCCAGAAAAGACTGAAAAAGCGGCCAAAGACATCGCCAAGGTCCGCTCTGGAGCTCGTGTCATTGGCATTGGCAATGTCGATGTCAGGAACGTGAGTGTTGTTGCTTGGATGAACCGCAGTTGGAAAAGTCTCGCTGACCGAGTTCACAGTTTGACAACCTCAAGGCGGCCGCCGAGCGGTGCGTCAAGGAGCTGGGAGCCATCGACTTTGTCATCGCTGGTGCCGCTGGAAACTTCATTGCTCCTATTTCCGGTTTGAGCCCCAACGCCTTCAAGGCTGTCATCGACATCGACACCATTGGTACTTTCAACACCGTCAAGGCCACTATCCCTTATCTCATCGAGTCGGCTGCCAGGAACCCGAACCCCAACCCGAATGGCCTCACTGGCGGTCGCATCATCTCGGTTTCCGCTACCTTCCACTACACAGGCATGCCCCTGCAGGCCCATGTGTCCGCTGCCAAGGCCGCCGTGGATTCCCTCATGGCCAGCGTCTCTCTTGAATACGGCCCCTACGGTGTTACTGCCAACGTCATTGCTCCCGGTGCCATTGAAGGTACGGAGGGTATGGAGCGCCTGGCCAGCAGCGCTGCCGACAAGCAGAAGATGACCAAGGCTGTTCCCAGCGGCAGATGGGGAAGCCGCCGTGATATCGCTGACGCTACTGTTTACCTATTCAGTGATGCTGGTAACTATGTCAATGGTACCACTCTCGTCGTTGATGGCGCTGGCTGGAGGCGACAGGGAGGAAACGACATTGGCATTGACGAAGGCATGGAGTATCCCGACTTCCTGCTTACTGGCCAGATCAGCAAAAACCTGAAAGACGGGAGAAAGCAAAAGTCCAAGCTTTAAAACATGGGATTCCAAAAAATGTTATCAGTTTGTCACACCGGAGCGTTTGTGATACCATCGGGCCATGCCACGGCAGCATGGTTGCAAGGCGTTCGGGTCGGAGCAGGCGTGCTAAATGATTGCATATTTCTCTGCTACTGGTGACGAGTTCGGTGTTGTATCAGTCAAATCAAACAAAGATCCTCGATGAAGATTTCCAGACGAACCACGGGCATCTACAATGACGGGCATCGGTCGAGTTTGTGAGGTGTGAGTCCCAGGTGTCTCCGGGCCGAGCCAAATTCATGATCCACCGTCTCTTATCGCTGCCGGCAGTTCGGCCGGGGGTGGCCGGGGGTGGCCGGGGGTGGCCGGGAGGGGCGGTAGGTACCCTGCCATCAAAAATCTTAACGGGCGAGCGCGATCACATACCCCACCACCAGAGCGTACCTCTTAGTCAGGGCCGTTGACAAGATTTATAGGGCTTATCTACTGGGATTCTACGTTTGCGGCTCAGAAATGATGTGGATGTTGTCGAGTGTCTTTTGTTTACTTTCAGATCTGCTAATGTCTGGTTTAGATAACAGACGAATCCTTTCTCCGCGGTACTTTATTGTTCTATACTTGTAGTGTAGTGTATTTTGCTACCATCAAAGTGATGATTCATCGCTGTTTACACCACCACACACATCCCGAGCTAGCCAGCTTCCAAGGTCGTATGAACACCTCGATAGCTCCAGCGGAGAAACACAGCATGCCCCGAGGAAGTCCGCCATCGTTGGCCACCCCCTGCCAGCACCTGCATCTCCAGACTCCTCCTCAATGGCACCTGCTGTCCACTCTGTCTTTTTCTCGTCCACTGGCACTTGACAAAAGAAAGAAGCCAAATCCGTGTTCGATGCCCAAAACATAGAAGCTTTCCAAGTGGGGTTGGCCATGCTTACCATGCTGTGTTTCCATCCCCCACTGTGTCGATCATTGGTTGAACATGAGGGGCAAGAACATGATAATATCTCTTTCTTATTATGGGTTGAAGTCCCTAGGATAGCTTAAATAAAACTTCTCTGCCCTTGGCTTCAAGAAACTGTTCCTCTCCTTTTCTTGTCCAAGCCTTTCACTAGGGGTTTCATCGATCCATCGCATAGGTCATCACATCTCGGAAGTTCGGGACAATACCACCCGTCAGTCACCATGCACACCAAGGCTCTTCTTCTCGCCTCCATCCCCACGGCTACGGCTGCCGAGACCATCCTCGGTGCCTACATCTTCAGCCGTCACGGTGACCGCACCACCAAGGCCTACTCTCCAACGAAGCTCACTGCTCTCGGTGCTGAGCAAGTCTACCTCTCCGGCTCTTGGTATCGCTCCCGCTACATCGACGAGAAGTCCTCCACTCGCATCAACGGCATCTCGTCCGACCTCGCCGATCTCACTGAGCTCGCCGTCACTGCCCCCGCCGACAATGTTCTCCAGGGTAGTGCTGGCTTTTTCCTCCAGGGCTTGTACCCTCCTGCTGGCTCTGTTAACTCTCAGAAGCTCGCCAATGGCACCACGATCGAAGCTCCTCTGAGCGGGTACCAGTATATTCCCGTCAACTCTGCGACAGTGACGAGCCGCGGCAGCAACCAGGCCGAGTCTAGTGCCTGGCTGCAGGGAAACAGCGGGTGTCCAGCTGCCGTGAACAGCAGCCAGGCGTATTTCCAGAGCAAGGAGTACCTCGAGCTTCTGGGGAGCACCAAGGAGTTCTACCAGAGCTTGTTGCCTGTTTATGAGTCAACCTTCCCCAGCGAGAGTGCCACCTTCAAGAACGCTTATAGCAGTACGTACTCATTTTACTCCTCCCCTCAGCCTGTTCGCTTGAAGCTAACCGTCAACAGTCTTCGACTACATCCACGTCTCCACCATCCACAACGCCTCCATCCCTTCCTCCAACCTTCTCACCCCTTCTAACCTCCAAACCCTCTCCGACCTCGCCAACATCCACGAGTTCGGTCTCGGCTACAACGCCTCCTCGCCCATCCGCGCCGTCGCCGGCTCCGTCCTGGCCTCGCACATTGTCTCCACCCTCAACTCCTCCATCTCTTCTTCTTCTTCTCAAAAGCTCAACATCCAATTCGGCCCCTACGGCACTTTTGGCTCCTTCTTCGGCCTCTCTCAGCTCCCTGCCGTGTCGCCGGACTTCACCGCCATTGTCGACTATGCCAGCTCCATGACCTTTGAGCTTTTTACTACTTCATCTTCCTCTTCTCCTTCGGAGAACGAGGTCTTTGTCCGTTTCTTGTTCGCCAATGGTACTGCCTCGGACAGCAACCCCGCCAAGGTATACCCCTTGTTCGGCCAGGACAAGACGGAGTTGCCGTGGACGACTTTTGTGAGCGAGATGAACAAGATTGCGCTCGAGGGAGGCAGCAAGGAATGGTGCGATGCTTGTGGAGAGAAGACGGGACAGTGCGCTGATTACTACCCTGCCGAGTCCGCTGGTGTTGCTGCTGCTGCTAAGAGTGGCAGTGGAATGAGCAATGCTGTTGCTGGTGTTATTGGTGCTATGGTTACCCTGGGTGTGGTGCTTGGTCTGCAGGCTCTGATCTTGGGCGTAGGTGGACTGAGGTTGACTAAGAGGAGAAAGCAGGATCCCAGTGAAGTTTTCCAGGTTCCGGCTGGCAAGACTAGCTTTTCGGATACTTCGTCTACTCAGAAGGCTTAAATCGGAGGGGACGGTTGGGGTGGTCGTCGACGTTGATGCTGGTATGATGACATGATATGTTATGAGAAAATAGCGAGCAAAAGGGGGGAGTTCAGGGAGTGAACAGCAGCTACTCGCTTGGGACGAAATCAAATAAAGATTTTTAAATAATGTTGATGGCCGTAAGGGATGGAGTGATTGTGTATTTAATTCCTGCGAGTGTCTCTTACCCAGAAAATCCTTCGTGAACACTTCTCCACATCTGCTCTTCCATCACTGTGTACAACACAAAAAACAAGGGTATCATATTAAAGATTAAATCGTATACTATAATGGTGCCGCCAGCCGGCTATCGCAAACGGCAAAGCTCCAGGATGTCATGGCGATATGAGAAGCTGCGCAAGCGCTTTCCGTAGATATCTGAGCATCAAAAAGTCAGTAAGCGGTCCATTTTGTTCTTGAATGATTCAATCAACTTACACAGCGGAATAGTAAGCAAGCAAACAACAAGCTGCACACTTCCCAAGGCATTGAAGATCTTCGCAGCTTTAACACTGCTCTGGATGAGCCAAGGCCACGCTTTGAACGTCAACGCGAAGCTGAAGAAGTTCTTGAAGATGATCATAGCCGTAAAGCCTTCAATCACGATGTCACCTGTTTTTTGAAAGTCAAGTCAGTCAGCAATCAGTACACCAGCCAAAAAAAGTCTCGCCACCAAATAACCACCACTCCAGCAGCACAAGAAGAAGAAGAGATACTCACGATACGCATCAACAATATAAAGACTCCCCGCCACCGCACCAATTACCATCCCCGCGACCTCCAGCCCAAAGAAAGTCAACGGCACCGCATAATGATACTTGCCGTACAACATCCCATCCAACGTAATCCCAAACCCATACAGCCCCGCACAGCCCAGCACCATCTGGGGAATCACCAAAACCAGCCTAAATTCCGGCTCATAGACACCCCCGTTCCACTTGGTCATCAACCGCGCCGACCAATCCGATAGTCCACCAGCGATAGCGAAGCCGATCAATGCCCCGACGAAGGCACCGGTGTAGGCGTACCCCGTTTGTACTTCGTCCCACCACAAGGGAACAGAGATGAAGAAGAAGGCCATGAGCACACCGATGAAGACGGTCCAGCCGATGAGAAGGCCTTGGATTAGGCAGGCCCAGAGGAAGGCCGGGTGCAGGAGGAGGGGGAGGGGCCGGAGGGTGAGTTTCCAGAAGGAGTCGGAGGATTTACGGCCGTTGAAGAGGGCGAGGGATTGGAGGAATGTGGCTTTTGGTGGGGTGGTGGTGGTGGGAGCGCCAGTTGTGGAAGCAGGGGCTTCGGTTGCGGTATGGATGTGTTCTTCGTCCTTGGGGGCGGTGGTGCTGTCGGTGGAGGTTTGGTGGGAGGGAGCTGGGTATCGTTTGAGTTCCTGCTCCTGCTCCTGGTCAAGCCCACGATCTTGGGGGGCATCATCGTCTTTCTTCGTTGCCGAGAAGCGCGGTGTCGGGTCACGACGGTAAGCGGTCTCGGGACAGAACAAGTAGACAGCCGGGAGACACACGCCAGAGAAGATGGCGACAAACCAAAAGGTCCATTGCCAGCCCATGTCGTTGCTGATCTTGCCGACTAGAATGGGAGTGAAGAAGGCACCGCCAAAGACAGCCAGGTTGGTGAAGGCCATGCGCTTGCCACGCTCATGGACAAAGTACAGGTCGCCGACGGCCGCGTTGACGAGAGATTCGAAGGGGGCGGCCGCAACGCCTTGGAAGATCCTCGACCATAGAAAGTTCGTGTAGCTCTTATTGCCCGAAGCAGCTGTCCAAATGCTGGTGACGATCAATAGAATCGTGCCTAGGACAAACAAATGTCTTTTGCCCCATATACGACTGGATGGGACAAAGAGGAAGGCGCTCGCGCCGCAACCAAGGAGAAAGTAACCAGTGAGGAGGGAAGCTTTGACAAAGGTGACATCTTTGAGAGTGCTGACAAGGAGAACAGTGTCGGCCGCGAGGATAGGGCCTAAGGCGGTGGCGAAGACCGAAGTGATGGAGAGGACGAGGGTGATGAGGTCGCGGCGCCAGAGCGGCCAGTTCAAAGGATCATTTGGATCATCTGTTGGTTGAGGGACCAGGACGATGGGCACTGGGCCGCTTCGGTCGCACTTGAGATGTTCATGGGCGCCGTCGGTGGCATATTGTGGTCTCTCTGGGTCATCGAAATACTGTGTTGTCCCTGACAGATTGGCTAGTCAGTACACAGGTCGTCCGAGTTGCTGAAGGCTCGAGAACTATGAACAACTTCACACACCAGGGACATGTTCAAGGACTCGGTCCTCGAGAATTCCCAATCCCATCTTGTGCCTCGGTATCTGAATCCTCTACGGGTAGGATTCAGTGTGTGTAGCAAATTGGATGAAGAGCTCAAGAAGCTTTCAAGGTGTGAGTGGCATCGCGATCAAGACCGACTGATTCTTTTGGTCGCGGCTCGTGCCGTCAAGGTAGCTGAACTGAAGCAATGAAACCCGCAAAAAATCACAATGAGATAAGCAAGTGCGATAATGAATGTCGACAGTGCCTCGTCTACCTGCACGTAAGCAAGTGTTGATCTGGCTTTGACAAGTGGATGGTGACCAACGAGTTGGGCGCAGTCAAGAGGCAGTGGAAATTTCGAGGAGATGAGAACTGCCTCTGACTGGTCGTCCAGCTAGCTGTTGAAACCCAAGGTTACCTTTTCCAGGGCTTTTCACACGCCTGCTTCGGAGCTTACTGGCCAATATCACCGAGTGTCTGTGTGTCTTGGCGGGAAAAGTATCGCCGATGTCAGCCACCAAAATCTCATGAGAGTGCCGGATCTGGTGATGGTTCCCAACGCCATGATTTTGGGTTTACTTTTCGAGATACCGCTCTTCTCCCATTATGGCAGCTATGTGTTCGCCCTGTCAATACCCATAAAGTGCTAGACAGCCAAGTGAACCAACCCACCGCCATCTTGACCGACTGCGGTTTCTCAACATATTTGATTCAGCCTCAGATGATCAGCAACCCGCGACGAAGAATCTGGGGACTGCACCGACCCCGGAACCAGCCCCTGAAAGCTTGACTTTGGTCTGTTGTGGGCTCTCGCCACCGTTCTATTGGCGCTGTGTGCAGCGGAGTTGGTGTCCATCATCTTCCCCGATGGTGAACAGGGCATAACCCGGCACGTGGGCACCCTGGTAGTAGTGTAGTGGTGATGTTGATGGTTGCTTGTAAGCTTTTCAACAGATAGTTTTTGAAGTCCTTTGCGGATAGTTGCGATTCTCGAGGTTTGAAAAGAACGGGGAACAAACTGCGCCGAGGTTTATGCGTAGAGACAACCCTTTTGGCTTCGAGGAACCTGCGGCCAAGTAGACACAGCCAAGCTCAGATACCGAAGATCGGATGCCAGCTGGTCTCCTATCAAAGAGTAAGATCCCTACGAGGTGAGACGTACGAGGGAGTAACTCCGGGCCCGATCAGCAGTTCCAGTGGTCATTGTGGGTTCGCTTTCCTGTTTTCCATCACAACACTGTCGGATATACACAGTTATGGTTTCCAGGCAACACGGCTCACGTCCTTCGTTCTAGTGTACAGAGTTTAAGGGGCGCGTAAATACACATACCACAGTAAACACATTTTAACCTTTCTGAAAAGGAAACGAACAAGTTCCAACATAACGGCTGCCTGATCTCTCACCACGTTGCTTAGCTCAATTCAAGCTTCTCATTGGCTTCCACTAGTGCTACCACTATGGTCAGGTACCTCCTCCATCCTGGCTTGGATCGAGTGGCCAGGCGAGCTGCCAGGGGTTCGCGGCCATCGCTACCACTCTAGGGGCGTTGATTGGCGTCTCTTCAATGGACATCGCCAATTGGAGGAGAGAGAGTGACATATATGACGAGAATGCCCATTCCCGATCGTGTTGTACATTCTGCTTCTTCTTCTTTCTTGTCTCTCTTCTTGTGATTCATCCAGCTCCGTTTCCTCTTTTCATAACAACGTCCAATCCAACCACCAAAACACCATCACAAACACCGCAAATATGAAGTTCACCGCTGCCCTTTTCTCCCTCGCTTTCGCCAGCTTCGCTGCTGCCCAGGACCTTGGTAACCTCCCACCTTGCGCTGTAAGTTTACCAATTTCCACCTTCTTCGCCTCCAGTCATTTGATCTTGGTCCGTTGAAGAACGGAATGAACATTACTAACAACCCATAAACAAACAGACCGAATGTGCCACCCCTTACCTCACCAACGGCATCGGTAACTGCGGTCGCGATCCCAAGTGCATCTGCACGGACGAGACCTTCATCAAGGACATCCAATGCTGCCTTCTGGAGAAGTGCTCGGCCAGCGATATTGATGCTGCCGCCGGTTTCGCTTCCACTGTAAGTTTTTGACGTCCTCCATATACAGATCGTCGCGAAGCAAGTCAGATCAGGCTTCTAACATCACCTTGAAATAGTTCTGCAAGAACAACGGTGCCACAAACTTCCCTACCAAGGCCACCTGCGCGACCGTCGCTGCCACCGCCACCACCGGTGGCAGCGCTTCCGCTACCGCCGTAGTCACCACTGGTACCGGTACCGCTGCTGCCACTACTGTCACTGGTTCCAACAGCGCCGCCGTGTCCTCGGCCGTTAGCAGCATTGAGAGCGCTGCCAGCAGCGCGGCTACCAGCACTCACACCAGCAACCCCGGCCCCAGACAGACTGCCGCTGCCGGTCTTGGTGCCATTGGTGGCCTCGTGGCTGCCGTTGCCCTTCTTTAAGGGGTGATTATGGTTTTGGAAATACTGTATAATGTAATGGTCATGGTGAAGTGACGGGCCTTTGATATGCATGAAGCAAAAGATACGATATAATGAAATGTTAATACCACGGCAACTTCGATCAAGTACCGCTATACAATGCTTGTGTGACCCCTCACTCATCGAGCGAGCAAGCTTAAAGTCAGCCCCCTCCCCACGGGTGCTGTCGGATAAATCAGCTGCTTGTCTTCGTAGGATCGTAGGACGGCAACTGATACGAAGAAACCAATGGTGACTGGCAACAAGAATACACCAGGAGCTCAGTGCAGTCGCACAACCAACAGCCCTGCACCTCGACTTGTACGAAGCCTCAGACGAAATAGCAAATAAAAAGGGGTATCAAGTAAATGTAGCGCACCATAAAGAAAGCACGCTCGCCAACTCGCAACCTCTCCCGAGCCGTGATCCACTTCTTATCCCATCCTCGGGCTTTCACCACCCACGACTTCACACCCGTTTGTGTCCTGGCCACAACCCTCCCATTACTTCAACCACCACTACCACCCAAACTACCTCCCACCTCACTGCGTCTTCCCCCCAATCTTCCTAATCACCACCCGTCCATTGTTCAACTCCCACCCGACCCCAAACCGCTCCACCATGTCCTCCCACTTCATCCCCATCGTCTCCTCCAAATACTCCACCCCCACACTCAAATACGCCCTCCCAAACGCCTTCAGGACATGTCCTCTCATCCCCGGCTCCGCAAACTCCATCAACTTGACTCTGTACCCATCCACAGCTCTCTTGGTCCGTCTCCAACTCACCCAGTCATCCGTCACCAGCGCTTTGAGTGTAGCATCCACTTTGGGTTCTCTCAATTTATACCGATTCCTCAGCGCATATGCCTCGGCCAGGTCCCCCCGGCGACAGGCTGTGTCCAACACAAGATAGGACACAACCTCGTGGTATTCGACGGACGTCAAGGGGTGCGTGGGGGAGCGGTGAATGACGCGCAGGAGGTAGAGAAGAGAAGGGAGGTAGGTTTCGAAGGAGGAGGAGAGAATGCCGAGGCGCACGGCGAAAAGGTAGACTTGTGTGGTGAAGTCGTCGAGGCGTGAGGAGGCGACGAGGGCTTCACGGAGCTTGCGGAGGGCGGAGAGGATTTGGGAGAGGTCGGAGGGTGGGGGAAGTTGGGGTGTGGAAGCTTCGTGGGAGTGGGACGAGGAGGAGGATGGCGGTGTTGATGTTGAGCCGGCTGGGAGAAGCGGTGTTGACGTGTTAGTGCTGGTGGTCTCGCCGATGGCTAGACGGGAGAACTGCTTTTGGAGAGAGTCGCGGTCGCCGGCGTCGGTGCAGAAGGCGAGATAGCGCTCGGCAATTTTGGAGTAGTAGGCTTCTTGGGTCTTGTGGTTGAGAAGTCTGTTTGGTTTGAGGTTGATGATGTCAGCATTGTAAGAGCAAGGTGAGCTAGAGCGAGAGATGGGGTAGAGCAGGTATCATCACCTCTTCTCTCCCTTTGAGGGGAGGCCGTATTCGGCCAGAGGATCGATCTCTGCGGGCTTAAGCCGTGAGAACTGATGCCCCGAGGACGTTCTTCCGGCCTTATTTCTCTGCATCTCTGTCGATGTTTCTTGTGGTGTTTTGTTGGTTTTGGATGTCGAGAGCTAAATCCAGTATTGTTTATCGCGAATTCCGCTTGTGTCACTGTCACAAGGGAATCAGATGGAGTCGCTGCTGGAAGGCATGTCCCGCAGTGGGTTGCGGGGCAGCACAGCGGCTTCCCCACGCTGTGGCAGGGGTGCTGTTGCGTGCCGGGTCGTGCCTTGACACCCTGATGGCCTCTGGGAAACCATTTCCACGGCAACAACTGCCGTGATCCGGTCATGTTTGATTTATCTATTGTATTGTCGTCTTCAGACAAGCGAAGTATCTGGTGGATGATGGTAATTCGTTTCGAATCTGAACAGTATTTCATCTTGAGTCCGCAAACAGTTGAAGAAGAATATTTGAAACCAATGCTCAGTCCCTTCCTCTTCCATCCAACAACGAACAACAAGACGGGAAGGGTTAAGCGTCGATGAGATGACATTTGCAACCTTCAGTTCAATATGCGGGGTATTAGGTAAGTAGGGGATAATAAGAAGCCGATTGGGATGGTCGACTGGAGATGTACCTCGGCTGGGTTCTGTCCTTCCTGGATGATGTTGGAGTAGTACACATATTCATGGTGATCCTGTGGTCCTCGCACCAGAGCTTCAGTTTTTTCACGCGTTCCTGTCACTAGCACAACCTCATCGGGCAAGTATAGTAGGATACTCGACCATCACTTCACCATGGCGGACAGGATAAAGCAACTCGCCAGCCACCTCAACTACCCCCAAGGCCTTCTCGCCGGCCAAGTAGTCATCATCACCGGTGCCGCCCAGGGCATCGGCGCCGAGTGTGCCAGACTCTTTGCCAACGAAGGAGCCAAGGTTGTTGTTTCTGACATCGACGCCGCCAAAGCCCAAGCTACTGTGGATAGGATCAATGCCAACGGAGGCAAGGCCATCTCTGTTCCCGGTGACCTTCTCAAGGACGACTACATCAAGAAGCTGGTGAAGATGGCTGCGGAGTTCGGCAATGGCAAGATTCACATAATCGTGAACAATGCTGGTTTCACATGGGATGCCGTCATTCACAAGGTAGTACAATATCTCTGGTCGGGAAAAAGGTGCTGTTGATGCTAACACAGAAACAGATGACCGATAAGCAGTGGGAGACCATCATCGCCCTCCACGGTACTGCCCCCTTCAAGCTCATCCGTGAAGCAGCTCCCTTCTTCCGCGTCAAGGACGGCGAGCCACGCAACATCATCAACATCTCTTCCACCTCGGGCCTGCACGGCAACGCTGGCCAGCTCAACTACGCCATGGCCAAGGCCGGTGTGGTTGGCCTTAGCAAAACGATAGCCAAGGAGTGGGGTCCGGCTTTCGGTGTCAGGGCGAACACCATTGCCTTTGGACATATCGAGACTCGGTTGACGGCCAACAAGGAGGCTGGTGCGTTTGTGGAGGTTGATGGTCAAAAGGTTGCTTTGGGTATTCCTCAGAAGCAGAATGCCCAGAAGGCTGGAGGACCGGTCCCCTTTGCAGATATTCCCCTCAGGAGGCCCGGTTCAGCAACTGAGGCTGCCAGTGCTGTCTTGGCCATTGCCTCGCCCCTGAGCTCGTACATTTCTGGACAGACTATCAGTGTGACGGGCGGCAGGAATTGCTAAGCGGGTTGAGGCTGTGGGTTGTTGTAGCGTAGAGCGCAAGATATCCAGAATGATTCATGCCCAAAAACTCAACGTAATCATCAGTCAATTAGCGAAGCCATCCAGAAAGATATGTACGCGGAACAAGAACGAAAACGCCATGCAACCCAGATCCCAGCCTTACTTGTACATCGGCCCAGCCCGACCATTAGCTTTTATATATTTCGAAAGAAAGACCGTTACCCTCTTGTTCTTCTTGTGGTATTCCTCGTCCGGTTTACGTGGACCACCAAAGCTGCAGAACGCCCTTGGCATATTCCACAATCTCCTCGCCGCCGAGCTTGCTGTCGCCATACACTCTGTCGACGAAGGAGATGGGCACCTCAGCGATCGAGAAGCCTTGGGACTTGGCCGTAACAGCCAGAGCCATCTGCATGGTGAAACCACGGATGTCCGTGCTCTGGAACAGCTTCTCCAGCACGTCCCTCTTGTACAACCGGAAGGAACCGGTCAAGTCGCTCACGCCGGGGCGCAGCACGGTATCGGCAAAGATGTTGGCGCCCTTGGAGGTAAGCTTGCGCTTGAGGTCCCAGCCGTAAACACCACCGTCGCCGGCATAGCGGGTGCCCGTGACAATGTCGTAGTTGCCGGCCTTCTGCTTGGCGATCATCTGGGGGATGAACTTGGGGTGGTGGCTGAAGTCGGCGTCCATGATAATGATGTAGTTGCCCTTGGCGAACTGGAGGCCGTGGACGTAGGCGGTGCCGAGTCCGAGCTTGCCTGTGCGGGTCTGCAGTTGCACGTGGGGAGCGTAGAGCTTGACGAGCTGGGCGGCGACATCTTGGGTGCCGTCGGGGGAGCCGTCGTCGACAATTACGAGTTCCCAGTCGATGTTTCTGGTTTTGAGAGCAAGTCAGTGCCTGGAAACCAAGGATATTACCAACGCCAATTGGGATGAGGTAAGGCAATAGACTGGACTGGTAGTGACATACTGCTCGCTAAAGGTGCGGTTGAGCAGCCAGGTGATGATGGGGAGGTTCTGGCGTTCATTGAAGGTCGGCAGGATGACCGAGTACACATCGTTGCCGGTGGTCTTGGTGGGAGCCATGGTGACTGATTATTACGAGATTATCGAAGTTGTAGAAAACGAGCGGCTGTCGACGAAGGAATGGATGGAATTGAATTGTCGAGATAACCCTAAGGAATGGAGGAAGGTGTCTACCGTCGATGATGGAAGATGGCTCGCGTACGGTTCATGCAGTCAGTCAGTGGAGGTTCGAGGTGTCCTTTACGCGGGCTGGCTCAGGGGACCCGGTCGCTGTTACGCTGGAAAAGCGCTAGGCTACGTGGTGCCTGCCCTGTAATTAATGCCTGCCAGGGCCAGGGCTGCACTGAAATCTACCAAGGTACCTCTACCCCTGGAGTGATGCCGATTTCCTTATCGATAAGCTCCCGACGTCTGAACGGGCCCCCTTTTTTTTCTATACTGGCGGAGAAACACCACCAAGAAAGAGACGTGAACTAGGCAATCTGATCAATCCCATGGAGCATCACGCTCTTCGGCTAGTAAAGACATAGAACTCTGTATTGGACCAATTACCTCCAGGCAGGCACAAGGTGAGCATAGAAGAAGTACACATCACACCACCGGTCATCTCAAGGTCACAACGACGGAAGCTCCATGTTTTTGGACGACTCGTTCAATTTCATAGCACGGCATGAAGTATCCTCACTTCACCACCTCTTCGCTATATACAGAAAAACAACACTTAGAGCAACAAGGCCCCGAAGGTCGTGGTATCAAAGCTGAATCACATCAAAATTTCATACACTCGTTTTTGGCCCTCGTTAATCCTCCCCTCATTTTTGTCTTCGCTCATCTTCGTCAACATCGAACTGTTAAAAGAAAAAAAAGAAAAAAAAAAGCATAACAATGTCTAACCACCACGACGTCAGGCATCCACTGGTTAGCCAGGTGCTCGCAAGTCGAGCCGAGGCCGGGTATCTGTCGCAAACACAACGACAACAGCAAAAGAAAACTCAAAATCAACACAACAAGGTTAAAAAGAGACATCATCAACATGCGCCCTTTAGACCCGTAGATCATCGGCAGCAGGGTTTCCTGCCGTCGAGCTCGTCATGGTCCTGGCCAAGAAGCTCTTGGTCCTCCCGAAGCTCCTAGAAAGTGAGAAACTCATGGTCCGCTCTCTCTTTCCGCCATCGTCACCCTGGCTCCAGGCGCTCTTGGGCACCTTGTGGTCATCCAGGATGCCAGTGTGGCGCTTGACGGCCTTCCAGCACTCAATACCAACCACATACACGATGGACATGCCGATGATGACGCCCCACTCCCAGCTGATGTTGGTGTGCTTGAACACGTTCCTGTTCAGGCCGGGGATGTAAACGGTGGGGAAAACACTAACGAGGCCGATCAGGACGGCCCAGAACAAAAACTTGTTGGACCAGAGGTCGTGGAACACGGCAAACTTTTTGTGGTTGTCCGGGTCGAGGCGGAACATGCTTCGGCGGATGCTCTTGAACTCCCAGGCGCTGAGCAGGATCAGCCAGGTCAGCAGGGCGAACACGGCGGCTCGGGCCCGGAACACCGGGATGCACGTGTCGTTGTACCCGCGGTTACAGTCCTTGCCCAGATCTCCGCCGTACTTGCCGTAGACGACGATGATAAAGGTCATGAGCGTGCAGGTCCCCATAAGAATGCCGTACACGATCATGTCCCACAAGATCTGGTTCGAGAACACACCCCTCTTGCGGTCGTGCGGGGGCTTCCTCATCACTTCCCGAGAGGCGGGCTCTTTGCTCAAGCCGAAGGCCGGGAAGGAGGAGGTAACCATGTTGATCCACAGAATGGCGAGAGGCGAGATGGGGAAGACGGAGAATCCGTCCTGGTCGCGGAACCCGAGACCAGCAATGAGCAAGATGACTTCGCCGACGTTGCTGCTCAACAAGTGGAGGATAAACTTTTGGATGTTCTCAAACATGCGGCGACCCTCCTGGATAGCAGCAACGATACTGTTGAACTTGTCATCAGTCAGCACGATTTTGGCGGCAGACTTGGCAACATCCGAACCAGATCCCATGGCAATACCAACGTCCGCTCTGCTGAGCGATGGCGCATCGTTAACACCGTCACCCGTCATGGCCATGAAGGCTCCCCTCCGTCTCAAGGCCTCGATCATTTTCGTCTTGGTTTCAGGGGCGCAACGAGCAATAACCAGGGGAAGCTCTTGTAAATTGTCGATCTCTTCGTCTGACAGCTTGTCGAAATCAGTGGCTTTCATGACGGCACTCTCAGCCACGCCCGCCGGCAGCACGCCAAGGTTGCGAGGAATGATGCCGATTTCCCTAGCGATGGCTTTGGCCGTTTCCGGGTGGTCTCCCGTGAGCATGTGAACCTTGATGCCAGCTTCGGCGCACGTGCTGATGGAACCAGTCGTCTCACGGCGGGGCGGGTCGTAGATGCCGACCAGACCAAGCAGTACCAGGTTGTCCTCAACTTGAGCACGGACGGAATCATCGCCTTTGTGGGCTTCATCCGGAGCAGAGTACTCTCCATCCCACGGCTTGTACGCCACGGCAAGGACACGTTGGCCTTGGGAGGCAAAGTCAGTCATCTGGTCCAGAATGCGATCCCTAACCTCTTCGGACATGGGCTGCTGGGCGTCGCCGGTTCCAATGTGGGAGCACAGATCCAGGACACGCTCAACGGCACCCTTGGTGAATACGATGCTGTTCTCGGGAGAATACCCGAGCTCGTTGTCCTTGGGCGCGTTGTAGACGACTGACATGCGCTTGATGCTGCTGTCGAAGGGGAACTCGGCAACCTGCTTCCAGCCCTTGCCCTCGATGGACTTCTTTCCATGGTCAAACCGGTGGGCGAAAACTTGAATGGCAATTTCTGTGGGTTCTCCGGTTGTCTTCCAGCCCTCAGCCTCTTCGTCATACCGGACCGTGGCAAGGTTGCAGAGCGCGGTCGCATGAAGGAACAACCTGAGGTCGGGAGTGACCTCGGCATCCATCTCCGATGCCTTGGGCTGCATCGGCTTTTCCTTCTCACCTTCCGGTACATCAAACTTGATGGCCTGGGTAGTTCTCTCCTGGTCGTAGTCACGTTCCTTTTCCTCCTTCTTCACCTTGGTGTCATCCGGAGAGAAAGTTACCTTGCCCTCGGTTGGGTTGTTGGGGTTGGTGGAATCGCGGACGGTATAAACGCTGGACGGGGGAAGCCATGCCTTTTTGACGATCATGGCTCCCTGTGTTAGCGTGCCCGTTTTGTCGGAGCAAATGTTGGTCACGCCTCCGAGGGCCTCGAGAGCAGAGAGATCTCGAACCACCACATTGGCTTTTCTCATGACAGCGGTGGCCACGACCATGGTCATGGTCAGGACAGCAACCAGGGACTCCGGGATGATGGCAATACCAGTTGAAATGGCGTACAGGATAACCTCCGTGGGGATGTTGAACTTGTTGACGGCAAAGACGATGATGGCCAGGAAGATGGCGCAGAAGAACAGGATATACGCAAGCTTGGACAGCTTGATCTGGAGCGGCGTGCCTTCGGTCAAACCGAGGAATTTGCCGATGAAATCCCACGTACGCAAGCCAGCGCCCTTGACCGGCTGGAGGTGGCCATGCTTGGTGCTCATCGACCTACCTGCCTTGCGTTGCTTCTTGTTGGTGGAAGCAGCAATCTTACCAACTTCGGTCTTCATGCCAGTTGCAATAACGATTCCGCGACCACGGCCCTTGCGAACAATGGTGGTAGCGTACGCAATGTTGATACGATCACCGATGCCAAGATCGCCTTCGGAGAGTGCTGGCTTCTCGGTGCCCGGAACCACAATGTCATTGGTCGTGATCTTCTCGACAGGTTCGGCTTCACCTGTCAACGAGGACTCATCACAGGTCAGGTTCATGGCCTCGAAGATGCGGAGATCGGCAGGAACGGTGTCGCCCATCTTGAGAAGGATGATATCACCGGGAACTACCTGAGCGCTGTGGTACGGTTATAGGTCAGCGGGCCGTTCGGTTCTTCTTTCGGCGGATATTTTGGCAACTTACTTTGGAATCACAGAAGTCTTGCCATCACGGAGTACGCTAGCACTGGGGGAGGAGAGGGCGCGAAGGGCGTCCATCTTCTTTTCGGCGCGGTATTCTTGCCAGAATCCGATTCCGACATTGAGGATGATGACAGCCGCGAGAACGCCAGCTTCGACCCAATCCTTGACACCAAAACTCAGGGCCATGGCAAAAATCAAGACCTAGCAATCACGTTCAGATGTCAGCATTGAGCTCTCCCGTCATGAAATGCTTGGGGAATGGGGTACGAACCAAAACCATGGCATTGCATAGCTGTCTGATGAAGATGGTATACCAGGCAATGGTGTTGCCTACGTCCAACTCGTTCTCGCCATACTGCTCCTGCAGCTTCGGCACCTGGTTCGTTGAGAGACCATTGTCGATGTGTGTGTCGAGGGCCTTCTCAACCTCTGGTACAGAGAGAAGGAAGGGATGTTTGGGGTATTGGGGTTCTGCCATTATGGCATGGGGGTTGATGGTGTTTGGAACAGTACTCTGGGTCGTCGCCAAGGTCGTTGAGATGGTAACGCAACAAATCAATGTTTACAGTCTGAGCTGAGACGGCTCACAGATGTGTTGCCTCGTTGGGAGGACGAGGAGTCTTTGCAGGAACTTGGAGGTCTGAGCACCAGTCTGCTGAAATGCAGAGTTATGGACTGGGATTGTTGGTTCTTCTGTTCCTGTTCCCGAGCGGCAGGAAGTTGAGATTTGGGGTACATCAACAAGTGTTTTCGAAAAGTTGGGCACATGACTTTCTTAAGTACATACGCGGCTCCATCGGTTTTCCCCAGTGCCGTCAAGCTGGGTCCAGTTTCTCCAACATCTTCAACCACCCACCCGTCAACCCTCGCAGCAATATGTCTGGGCATAACGACAGCCAAGCAAACACCAAGAGGTTTATCCTAGCCGGCCAAGAAGGGTTTGGGCGCGGCAGAGCAGTTCCTCCAGTGAGCTTCAGGGCTGGGCTTGATAAGACCCTGTTGGGAGTGGCGATCGTGATGAGCTCAACTTCGGATGATATGGTCTCGAAGTTCCCAAAGGTGCGGGCACTCGACAAAGAGAAGCCTCTCCCGCAACCGGCTGTGATAGGACCAACATATTGCGGCCGAGCATTGGCATAGATATTCTCAGAAGCAATGGGCCTTGGCACCCAGGCTTGGCGTCGACTTGGACGGTGTGACAGACTTGACGTTCTGGAAGGCCGGACAGAGCATGAGGTTGTTTGTTTACTTGGACTACATATCACGCAAGAGTGGGGTTTCCGTGCCTGTAGTCGACGGTAGCCGCGCCGCATGGTGGAACTGTATTCGATGGAATGTGATGGCCGAGAACGCCCAGCACCGACCAAGGATGTACACAGCCCCCTTTTGATAGGACCCTTGGTGTTGTCGGAAGGATCTCATCCACGCAATGCTTCACGTGGCGATCAAGATGACGGCAATCTCTCTTGGCGCCTATCTTGGCCCGACTTGGCCCATCTTGGTCTTGTGCTTGGCTGCCGCAATGGGATGGAAACTATTTGGTTGGCAGGTGGAATCGCGGGGTTGGGGTAAGGTTAATAGGCGGCCGGGGGCAACTCTCGAACTTTACATGTACACGTGTACCTTGTGGAGTAAACACCGACAGAAGAACGAGCAAGACGACATCACAGACAACATAAGGAATTCTGAATTAGTGCTCTGAGACCCGTGTGATGAGTCACATATAGTGGATGGAAGACGGACACTCAACTTTGAGTTATTGATGGTGGTGGTCGGGAAGCTAGTATGGTCCGGTTTCAAGTTTGAAACATCCAAGGCTTGTAGCCTTTTCTACTATGGTGAGATGGGTAAGTTTAACCCCCATGTCATGTCGATGAACACACAGTGCTCACGAAGCTTTCTCTGTAGTGGTCCGTGCAAGATACCTGACATGGGGGTTAAACTTTTGCTCCCAACCACAGTATATGTAAGTGCTTCAACTTGGCCCTGGGTGATGAGGCTCAGTTTTTGTGGGGATGCTTTGCTTTTCTGATGTCTGATCCAAACATTGATCACATTACCTAGTGTACTTATACAATCGGCAACCGCGGTTATAGGTTTATCAGATGTGCAGGAATATCGTGTATTCCCCAACTGTCGCTTGGAAGATGAAGCCGTCACGAAGCCGTTGGATGTGTAGTGTAGAGGTAGATAGTAGTGGTAAACGGATAAGTGCTAGTAGTCACTGGTGCATTTTCCCATTGCGTAACTGGGGAGGGGTTCAGTTCTCCAGTAGGTAAGGTTTGTGGTGGTGATCAATGCTCCACAACCCAGCCCAACTAGGCAGGCAAAAGCATGTGGACTTTGAATAGGTAGGTACCTAGCAACAAGCTCTCGGGCCTCGTATTGTTCCGGCTATTCTGGCCCTTGCAATGCGTTATGCACCGCTACTCACGGTTCTTTTGGGGTAGAAACAAAGGTTGTGATTGGTCTAACGTGCTAGTTAACGGTTTGTAACCGCGACTCCTAACTAAATACTACGAGAGCTGGTCCGTGCGCCGGAGCGCGCCTTCCACCCTCTGATTCGTCGAGGGAACAGCAACCGCCTTGGATGAACGAATGGGGGATCTCGCAGTTGATCAGTGCACATCAGCAGCCCACAACGGGAACCGTGGAAGCCACCGCGGTCCTGGTCCATCTTGCTGTTCCTGACCACGGCACCACGAACTGTCTTCACCTTGCTCCTGCAACTGAATTCCATCTTGGACTTTCAAGACACTCATCTCCAACCTTGCAATCATCCATCGTTTTTGCCTACTGTTCATCATCGACTACACTATCACCATTTGTTATCATAACATCTCAACGTCGCACGCACCCCTGCGCATTTCCCCAGATTCTAGACCCGCCCAAGCCTTCCCTCTACCACTCAAATTGCACAGCGCACCCACTGTTACTGTCTACGCGGTATCCTCCCGAACTACGTCATCGCCGCCTTTCAACCATCACAATGTCCGCCCAAGTCAACGAAGGTGAGTTGGAGATACCCTCGCGACACGAGCCCAATATTCTGCATAAAAACAATTGGATTCAGGCTTTAAACTGGTGCTTCGAGTTCTTGATTAAAAAGACGGATCTATACGGTTGCGCGCCATCTTACTCGTTACACGGAGCGCATTGGCGAACCCTTGTGCGCTCCTCTTCTGATTCGCCCGCGCGATATCATCGCCTTCACCACCACCATCGCCCTTGACAATAACCACCTATCCAACATCAACATCAGCATTCGATTTACCAGTGCCCTTCCGAAGCTGATTATCAATCAAACCCCCGGAATTGCCCCTAAACACAAAGCTACATTCAAACTGACAACTCGCCTCTTCCTCTTGGCGTTCATCACACAGTTGAGCAGCAACCCACCGTTCCCTCCACCACCGCCACCACCAAGCCAGACGACACCGGCTCCGCCTCAGCCGCCGCCCCCGTCCCAATGGAAAAGGAAGCCGCCACCACCACCGCCGAAAGTAAGCCTTCTGCGGCAACCGACAATCTCAAGCCCGCTACCGACGCTCATCCCGACGACAAGAAGGATGCCGAGAAACCCAAAAGCTTCCCCACCGTAGACGAGGTCGTCTCCCAAAAGATGGCTCTACAGCCCACCGCTGCTGGCTCCGAGTTCCATGGCCTCGAGTCCGCCACTCCCTCCGCCCCGACGCACACCATCTTCGACCCGTCTCCCGAAAAATACCACGACAACCCTCGCGATGATGCCGTGCCTCCCATGGACGGCGTGCCGGAGTCGTTGGTAGAAGAGTACATCTCGGGCGATGATGACTGTGAGGGCCCCGGGACGGGCCCGTCTATGGGGATGAAGGCTCCGGACCCAGACAAGGCTGCCAAGAAGGAGTCAACCGAAGACAAGACCGAGAAGAAAGTCGACGAAGCAAAGGAGGCTGCGGTGACCAACCCCGATGAAGCTGCTGCGCCATCGGGAGAGAACGGCACGAACGGAGTAGCTGGAGCAGCAAAAAAGGATATCGAGGGCGATAAGGAGACCAAGACCATTCCCTCGGAAACCGCACAAGCCAAGGAAGACGCCAAGGCTGCTCCTTCCCCTGCCCTTGCTGCTAGTAAAAAGAGAAAGGCGGACGATTTCGAGGAGGACTATGATGACAACGAGGCGGAGAAACATGATGCGAAGAAGGCCAAGACCGAGCAGGCGAATGGTAATGGCGTCGGCGCTGATGGTGCAGCATCACCAGTGAAGAGGGCCCCGGGGAGACCCAAGAAGACGGCGGCAGCCAAGGTTGATAAGGCGGCAAGAAAGATACTGAAGCCCGTGGGGATGACGCAAAGAAAAACGAGGAGTCAGGGGCCTCCTTGATTACAGGTTCTGTGCTGTTTGTCCAAGGGTTGACATGAGGAGGGAGCGAGATACACAAAATGTGAGTTAATGGGATTTGTCGTTGATTTGTACGATGATGTAGTGCAAGTGGGAAACAGTGATTAGACGTATATCTTGGTTACATGGAAAAGGTATATGGTATGGCGGAAGCGTCGCAGTTTGACCTAGGGCACTTGGCATTTTCTGGAAATGGTGTACAAAGCTTACTTGGGGATATGATGTGAACCAATTAGTCATTGCAACTTTAGTTTCTCTCTTTGCTTCTTTCCAGGCTTTCATCTTTCTTGCTATTTTTGAGGAGAAGGGATGATATAGTACTGTCTTTACAGGTCGACGCTTTCCGTTGGACAAGCGAGATCCGGATGATGGCTGGGCCACTCCCCCATTCTTTCCACCTTGAATCCTGTTCATGTTCATGTTGTAATCTCTGCTTCCTCTGATACTTTTATTGTAGGCAACAGCAATTAGTATGTAAAGTCTCTGTGGCAATGCATGTAACATATCTTCTCTTCCTTACTCAGCTCGCTCGGCGTCGAAACAACAACAGAGTCTCGAGACAGTAACGAAATTGACCTTAATTTTTTTTTATTTTAATTTTTTATTTTTTTTTTATTTTTTTTGTTTTTTTTTTTGGGGGTCGGGGACTTTAATTGCTCCAATATCACGCTCAAGCACAGGCAGGCTCTTCACGGGATCTTCTTACCTTCGGGAAGCTACTTGGTTTGCGCCAAAATAAATACATGAGTGTCACGGTGCATAAAGCTTAGAGGTATTTGCGATGCCAACACTAGAAGCGTAAAATTTATATCATCATGTTTTTATCTGCTTACGGTACACAATCTAATCATCCTCCAGATTCACAGTTGCAGATTCCAGCTTGTCCCAAAGCGCCAGAAGACTCGCATCTGCCTGCGTGGTTTTGGACGCGGCGGGCTTTGAGGGCGCTGCCATGCTGCTGAGCACTGAAAAGTCACCCCCCCCCGGTTCCGGCTCCGGCTCCCAGCATTGCCGGCGTAGCGGGCATAGCCATGAGCATGCTGAACCTGTTCTGCTCGTTGTCGTGTTCAGGGCACACCCGGGGGATCTTCTGCCCTTGCGACTCATGGAAAAATCTGGACAACTCAAACTGGTGGTATGGGGCAGGCGCCCTACAAACCTCCATTTCTGTGGTCGATTCTAACTGTGGAAAGCACATCCCACACCACTGGTATCCTGGGTATTTTTCTGTCACTTTAATGTCTGCGCGGCGCAAAATCTTGCCACAGAGCTTGTTAGAGCAGCATAGCGTATCGGGTAAGCTGGGCCAGTCACTCCTAAAGTCGTAGCTACCGGACACAACCATCCAGCCACTGCTCTTGAGGCCCAGCTTTCGACAGATATCGTTGCACTCATGTGTGGATTAAAACCAAGGTCGCCAACGCAACTCAGACTCCAAAAAATGGAAGAAATCAAGAGAATGGCAGAGGAGTTTGTCATTGAGGAGCTCAAAAAGAAGAAAATTCCCGTATTCTTGCCCGGCGAGACCGAGTATGAGCGCTCCGTTGCGAATGCAAATCTCCTCTACCGCTTCACGAGACCGCTCTGCGTTGTCCAGCCCAAGAATGTCGGTCATGTTCAGACTATTGTAAAGGAGGCCAAGAACAGGGGCGTCCCCATTACAATCAAGTGCGGCGGCCATTCTTATGCAGGGTTTTCGACCACTGACAAAGGCATCTCGTTGGACTTGCTGAATATGAATCGCGTCAAGATTGACGTACAGTCCAATACCGTTACGTTACAGGGCGGTGCCCTGTGGGGTCATGCCTACAAGCAACTTGTCAACAATCGCATGAATGGCTTCATCATCAATGGCGGACGGTGTCCCACCGTAGGTGTGGGTGGTTTCCTCTTGGGCGGCGGTCTTGGTCCGTTCACGAGGAGCTTCGGGATGGGCTGTGACACACTGAAGGAAATCACCATTGTCACCGCTGACGGCAAGAAGGTCACTGTCAAAGACACCGACAATCCTGACTCACCAGAGGGGAAACTGTTCTGGGCCCTCTGCGGTGCGGGGGGCGGCAATTTCGGTGTCGTGGTCGAGTTCAAGATGTATTTGCAAAAGCTGAGCAACAAGAATGGGTCTGTGGTAGCTGGGAGGTACACCTGGTTTCCCAAATCCGATAAAGAACGCTCGAACAAGACCAAAGACAAACTCATGGATAAGTTTATGGACACGATGAACGATTTCTATGCGACCAGATGGCCAGATCAAGTTACCATTGACACATCCTGGATCTGCGATCTCAAGGAGACAAGCAGCGAACTGGCTGTTCGCTTCCTTGTTTATTACGACGGTACCAAGGGGGATTTTGAAAAGCTCATTGCCGACAAACTTGGTGCTGACAAGGCGGAGAACGGAGGGGGAAAGTTAGCAGAACAACTTGCGCGGCGAACCATGTCAGAGAAGTCAACCCGTTTCCTTCATGAAACACTTGTCTCCCAGTGGTCAGAAGAAACCATCAAGGCTTTCCCAACCGACCCAACCTTCAAGCTTTACTCCTCGTTTGTATTCAAGAACGATCCCGAGAGGATCAAGAAGATCACGTCAATCATCCGGGAAGAGATGGCCATGTTCAAGACCCGGTTCGCGGGTGAATCAGGTCTTTTGCAAGTCACTTGGATACACTCTGGCGGGAAAGCGAGCAGAAAGGATCGTTCAGCCTCCGCCTTCCGCTGGCGTGATGGTGTCTACCAGACATATATCATGCTAGATTGGAGAGAAAAGTGGATGGAAGGGGAAATGAGGGACTTCATGAAAGCCTTCAAGAATAAGCTGAGGCCCTTCTCCATCATGTCGCGCGCTGCCTTTATCAATTTCCCCGACGAAGTTCTGTCGTCAGGCACCGCGGAGAGGACGTACTACGGCAATAATACCAAGAACCTGCGGCTCGTGAAGCAGCAATGGGATCCTGACAACTTCTTCGAATGGAAGCAGGGAATCAAGTTGCCGCAAACAGCTGAGAAAACACCCGTGAAGGCGAAGCGAAGATCAAAAACATCTGCCGCGTCTCAGATACCTGCGGAAGCATTCAATGCATTTAATTTGAGTCCAGGCGCATCTTCTGCATCATTAGGGGCAGAAAATGCTTTCAATATCAATGCATTTGGGGCCCCCGAAAGGGATTACGATCGTAAGGACGGGCTCATGGATGGGGATGCAGTGTCCAGTGACGATGAATCTCCGGTGAATGAGCAGGACTTGACGGATGAGCTGGCAACAAAACAATGGGAGACCTTTACCCTCCCCCCGGCACGGAGCTTGATGAACCTTGGCTCCAGAGGTGTTCTTGGATTGACTGACTTGGGATTCTGATATCCAATGTTTAGTAAGTATTAGAATACTGGGCGAGGGACGTTGGGCAGAGTTCAGTTCTCTTCATGTCTCTAGGTAGCTGATATCATAGAGGGGAAGAAGAGGAGGTTTACATTCTTTGACGGCAGGAACGATCAATGAGGGGTAAATCAAGATCGATGATCACCAGCAACCACCACTCATGATGGGGAAAGAAGGAACGGACAGGCGAACAAATGTGCCTTCCTTTTCCTGGCTCCAACTGGAAGCAATGATGTGCTGTATCCATAGAGTAGGCAGTTCCAACTGAACTGAATCAAACTTGACATCGAGTTGCTGGAGCTTTTTTGAGGTATACGTAATTACCACGCGGCCTCATGGGTCTGTCTGTCCGTACCGAACTTCAAGGTTGCTGGGTGGGACATCGCCACCGAGTTTTCAACTGATAGGCCGAATCCTGTCTGTACGCAACCACACTGAATCGGGGAAGACGTTGTCTCTGTTTCTCAATGCATAGCATTCCAAGTCGAGGTAGGGGTAGATTAACCAGCGGCTAGCTGAAATACCACTTCGACAAAAAATGAGACTCTGTCGATGAAGTGTTACCAAACTGTTTTTTGACTTCACAAATTCGTTTCAAAGTTGCTCGAGGGTTGTCACTGAGGAGCTGGCGGAAATGTATATCTTCTGCCCGCCCCTAGCGCCCCCAGTTCGCTACCCAGCGCTTGAGTACGTCGCGATGGACATGGAGATCCGGACGGCCCTTAAGCCCGAACTTGACGGGGATCGGCTCTCGACCGCTAGGGTGGATGCGGTCAGTGATAGGTATCTCAAAGACTGTGCGTTTACTTTTATTCCGTCCGTATTAATACACCTGAAATTGACGGGTTTTCGCTGTCGTTAGAGCGATCCCTAGCTCTGATCAGAATGTCTTATGAAACGGCAACGATATCAGATATTTGTTGGGGTTATAGTCGCCCCTTCGTCTAGGCCGAGAACAAGTGCCAAAGCTTCGTATATGCCATAATTCAGACCCAGAAAGCTCAAACCAATTCCAGGTGCCAGGGTTACGGGTCGTGAACTAAAGCCGAAACGAGTCAACGACCCTGCTTAATTTTGCGCCGATCTCTTCGATGGGATGGGATGGGTCTCTGTTGATGTCCTGAGGAACTGTTTGTGGAGGCGACCAATCTTGTAGGGGATAGAGTCCCATGCGGAGACGTTCGAGACTTGAAGAATGGAAAGAAGCATAGACTACCTCGAAAGGGAGGCAGCCGATGGAAGGTCTTGTAAAAGTTCAGTCTCGTGTGCATATTGTAACCTTGCATTGGTACCTGAACAGTGAAGAGGCTTGTTGCATCGCGATCTGAGTCGGATCTTCATGTACGAAATCGTCAAAGGGCATCGAACTCTCGTATTTCTGTCTATAGACGCGAGCCAAATGGCCCTTTTTCAGCATGCGAATGGAATGTGGTGGGACATGCTGACATGCTCAAGTGGACACTGACACCCTTGACAGCGGCCAATTGGCAGCCTGTGACAAGCCGTGGTCTGGCCGGTGATTGGCCAACTTGGATCCAGATTGACCCATCTGCTTGTTACAGGCTGATGCCAAAACCCTCCCCAGCTTCCACTTCCATGCCTGGCGACGGCCGGACGGCAAGCTTGCGGTGCGGCCAGTCTTGGGTGAGGTCTTGGAGTCATGAAGTGTCCATTCCAGGTCCATTCTTGAGCCGCCTTGCTGCCCGTTTGGTGGATCATATCATGTCAGGGGCAGCCAATAACGACATGAGCGTGACGGGATCCCTTGATCAAGAGAGGAACCCCTTCGAAGACGGACGACGGAGAAGTAAAACCTGCAAGTCTGCAAAAAGAAAGCGTTGAATATGGGGTGAAGATGTGGGGCGTAAGTGAAAAGGTGACTGAAGAGTGAACGAGACATGATGAGCACTGGATGGGCTCGGTTGCTTGCCCGTGGGACGGCGTCAAGACCCTGAAGAACTCCATTTGGGGACCGGTGGACGGGAAGCAGAAACAGAGTTCCAAGTTCCATTCCATTCTTAGCACACTGCGGGCAGCTGCTGCAACACACACTGCCAATCTGACAATCCGGCCCCACGGAAGGTCACAGATCCAACGGCATGTGGATGTGGGCAGGGTGGAGGAACCACCACACGAGCCTCTCAGCGGCCCCGAAGCCTCCCCGGCGTCCCCATGATTGATGCACAAAAGACGGGCAAAAGCAGTCATTGGCCCGTCCATCCCTCCTTCCAGAACCCGTCCATCCCCAATTGTTTGGCTATCACTTGCCTGATGCTTGCCTGTACTTTGTCTGTGGCTGTCCATCATCTTTTTGGCGATCTTCCGACACGCGTGCACAAGAAAAGTGGCCGAATTGATATCATCACCTATCCCCATCGATCAATCGACATGGTTGACCAACTCAACTCCTCCATCCCATCCATCCACCACCACCACCACCACCACCACCTTCGTTTTTTTCCCACTGTACCAAACCCTCGATCATAGCAACAACTGAACCCTCAGGACCTTGCTAGGGACCCTCTTTGCGCACCCTACTAGAATACCCTCACTAATACCGACTCTTGTCGCCCCTCTCGCTTACTGACTGGGCTCTCCCTCCTCCTATTCAGCACTGGCGGCAGGGTCCCGGTCGGCCACGCATTTTTCTGAACCAATTTGTTAGCCCTGGGACTTGGCATTCACCATACGTCACATACGTTCCAGATCGTGGTGCTCATTTTCCCTATTGACCCTATTCAGTCCGAGTGCCCCGGCACGAGTTACACACGACGACGATCGTTCAGTTCCAATTGTTATGCGCACAGCATACAACAAAACTATTCTCTTTGATCGTCGGCGCCAAAGAGAGTCCTGATCTCTTTGTTTGTGGTTGCGCGACACGCCTTTGAAACAGGGCCGGTCACGTTCCCCTTCAACCGGCATTCGACGCCTTCTGCGATACGACCAAACGCCTACATACAACAAACATCGTTTCTTTGGCGATACCGGTGTCTTTCGAATTCGCCGAACCAACGGAAAGCAGTGGGACGAAGACCAGTTCATCCCAACTCGAGCTTTGCCGACCAGACGACTCACGGGCCTGCGCTAACACGCAAATACCGACGAACCACAACCCACCTCTCCCCTCGATCGCTGTCGCTCTGATCACAACTTCTGCTTTGACTGCCCTGGTTGGGCTCGTTACTGGGAAACAACATGGTGGATATGCTGGGCACAAAAGCCAACGTGCTCCAAAGCCGTGATCCCATCAGTGAATTCCTCCAACTTTTACAGGATCCCTTTGCCGCCCAGGTAGGTGTCGTGCATCTATCCATACAAAGAAAGAAGCAGAAAAAAACTACGTCTTCACGTCATACTCGTCCCTACAGATTGCTGATGTAATTACGCTCCCAGCTCTCTTCCAACTCCATCTACGCTGCCCTTGGTTCTTCCGTGAGCATCACCGTAGCCGTCGCCTTGGGCTTCTCCCTGGTTAGGCCACTCAACACTGTCGTATACGCACCCAAACTCAAACATGCCGACGACAAGCACGCCCCGCCCCAGCTCGGGAAGGGCTTCTTCTCCTGGATCAAGCCGCTGTGGACGACCACGGAGCAGGATTTGGTGAGGCTGGTCGGCATGGACGCCACCATCTTCATGCGCTTCACCAGGATGTGTCGCAACATCTTTTTGTGCCTAGCCGTCCTGTGTTGTTGCATTCAAATTCCCATAAACTGGTATAAGAACGCTGCACCCGAGTCGCCTTGGCTGCAAAAAGTTACGCCCATGAACGTGTGGAACCAGTGGCAGTGGGCCACAGTTGTCATGTCCTGGGTAACTACCCTGATTGTGTGCTTCTTTCTCTGGTGGAACTATAGAAAGGTTTGTGAGTTGAGAATCCAATACCTCAGGAGCGAGGAGTACCAGCAGAGCCTCCACGCCCGTACGCTCATGGTATGTTACACCCGTCCCCCATCGCATTGTTTCTTTGTCCTAACCAAACGACTACCAGTTGTACGATATTCCCAAAAATTTGACTTCGGATGAAGGTATCGCTCGAATCATTGATAGCGTAGCACCGAGTTCATCCTTCTCGAGGACTGCTGTCGCACGCGACGTCAAAATTCTGCCCACCTTGATCGAGGAGCACGAAAAGACCGTCCGGAAGCTGGAACAGGTGCTAGCCAAGTACCTCAAGGACCCCAAGAACCTTCCCGTTACTAGGCCAGTATGCCGGCCCTCCAAGAAAGACCCTTCATTCTCAACCTATCCGAAGGACAAGAAACTGGATGCTATCGACTATCTCACGCAACGAATCAAGTTGCTGGAGCTCGAGATCAAGGAGGTTCGCCAACGGATAGACAAGAGAGGTTCCATGCCGTACGGCTTTGCGTCTTATTCTGATATAAGCGAAGCGCATGCGATTGCCTATCTCTGCCGAAGCAAAAAACCACAAGGCGCAAGGGTTACTCTCGCTCCCAAGCCTAATGACATCGTCTGGGAAAACATGCCACTCAGCTCAGCCTCTCGTGCCACGAGGAGACTGTGGAACAATTTATGGATCACTGTTCTCACCGTGGTATGGGTTGCTCCCAACGCCATGATCGCCATCTTCTTGGTCAACCTGAGCAATCTCGCACGCGTTTGGCCTGACTTTCAGAAGTCTCTAGAAACGAACAGAAACTTTTGGGCCATTGTACAGGGTATTGCTTCTCCAGCCTTGACTTCCTTGGTTTATATGGTTCTCCCCATCATTTTCCGGCGGCTATCCATGAAGGCCGGCGACATGACCAAGACCGGTCGAGAACGCCATGTTGTCGCCAAACTATACTCCTTCTTCGTCTTCAATAATCTCTTTGTGTTCTCTCTGTTCAGCGCTCTTTGGTCTTTCGGGGCCACGGTGATCAAGAACACTGCCACGGATGATGACGCGTGGCAAGCTATCCTTGATGCGGACTTTGGGACCACCGTCTTCGTCTCGCTTTGCGGGATTTCTCCCTTTTGGGTTGTTTGGCTCATTCAGCGTCAACTAGGTGCTGCCATCGATCTGTCGCAGCTTTGGAAGCTGATTTACGGCTCTATCATGCGAAAGTTCACGAATCCGACTCCCAGGGAGCTGATCGAGCTCACGGCACCGCCGCCTTTTGATTACGCTAGCTACTACAATTATTTCCTTTTCTACGCCACCGCCGCCCTTTGTTACGCTCCCATCATGCCGCTTGTTCTCCCGGCGGCAGGGATGTACTTCGCCATTGACGTTGCGCTCAAAAAGTATTTGCTGATGTACGTCTTTGTCACGAAGACGGAGAGCGGAGGAATGTTTTGGCGCATCTTGTTCAACCGCATCCTCTTTGGACTGATGTTATCTCACCTGATCGTATTCCTTGTAGTGTGGGTAAGAGGCTTTGGGTACAAAACCCAAGCGTACGCCGTCGTCCCGCTGCCAATTTTGATCATCATCTTCAAGTTTGTCTGCTCATGGATATACGATAATAAGATCACCTACTATTCGACACGCATCATCAAGCACCGCAATGCTGAGGAAGGTTTCGGCCTAAAAGAACAAGGCCCTAGAAACGATCGTCTTGCCTCGCGCTTCGGCCACCCTGCCCTATACAAGCCGCTGATTACCCCCATGGTACACGCCAAAGCTCAGAATATACTGGCAAGCGTTTACCAAGGTCGGCTATCTGATGGCCGTGATGCAGGCCTTGGCGACTCAATGTCTGTGAGCGGGTATAGCGACACATACGCCCTGGACAGTATGGCTTCTGGAAAGATTGGGAAACTGTCGTCTGCTGTGCCCGGGTTCGAGGTCGTCCCGGAATCCCGACTGGACTTTGAATTCTACAAGAATCGCGACGAATTTGCTGCTGACCATGGTGCTGGCGAGTTGTTCGGACGCGCATCTGATATCGTCCGGCCAGACACACCAGGAACCATGGCTACGGGATCCGACAACAATTCTCGACCAGGTACACCAGTAGGAGGAATGGGCTTCAGCCACAACCGCAGATTCTTTTCGAACCAGTCTGATATGGGCAACACTGCTTATGTTGGGGGATACATGTCTCCATCGCAACAATACTCGTCCAATAACCAGGCGCCCTATTCGCCACCCATTCTAGGTCCCGGCGAAGCGCCCGTTCGATGCCGGAGCCCCCTGTATCACATGGGTGACAACGGCAACGACAGCTCGAGCAACCTCGTTTATAACGCGGCAGGCATGCCGACTTCAACACCAGCAAGTTTCGATATCCCAGACGATGGCCTGCATCGGGAAAGGAGTTTCGATAGCACCAGGTCTCGTGGTGCACTGGGCGGGTTTAGTATCCCCAACCCACGCGCGCCAGGCGTGCTGGGTGCTTCTCGATATGGTTATGGCAACGTGCCACAAACGGACGACGACATGATGCAGACGCCACCTAATGCAATTCAAAGCCCTCATTTCCAGCCCAACCAGGGCCAGAACGACCCGATGCAGTATGACTATTTTAGGGGTAATAGGAGGCAGGGACCTCCGCCTGGCGCGCCAGGTAGAGGTGCGAATGGAAACGTGAGTGGGAATAGTGTATGGGGCGGGAATTAGAAGATCTGTATCCCTGGAAGAGGAAAGCCGAGAAGGACGGTCAACGAAGTTTTCGAGTCGTCTACATTGAACAAGGGAAAGAAGAGGGATATCCTTAAGTTTTGGGTGCGGAAGACAACTGCCGAGTCGGAGCATGAACGGCTGGCTTCCTCAGCTCCTGGAGACGGGGAGAACTAACAGAGACACGGGACGGGCAAGTTGCATTTATGGGCACTTTGGGCCCCTTACCAAGCATTGTTTCGGCGTTTTTATACGGGTGTGTGTGAAATGATAGATTACGAGAATCAGGGCCCTAGAAGGGTTATTTGGGTTTTGGATGGCAAAGGCACAGATGGGCTGGTGCTTGTATCATGAAGTCCATGTTTCACATGGAGACACGAGCAGCAGGTCCAGGAAGACGTCCTTTTGACGTCTATATATACAGTATGTCTTTCCAGCCACGTTATTTATAGCGTACCGATTGTATAGTAGTTCATGAATGGGCATTGAGTGTTCCTCTACGTAACTGAAAAGAGGATGGATCAAGGCCGGATTGAGCGGGGAAAACAAAAACATGTCGTTCCTCTCAGTGTGAACACTCAACACCGCCAACATCGTATTGATCAACTGCGTGGACATGTCCAAAACTGTACGTGCCATTCATATATATTCCCATTTGGTGGTATCCCATCTTTTGAAGCTCCTCGCTACATGCTTTAATTCATCAATCAACGGAAGACTGCGTTCTGGAGGGCACGCATAAAATATCCAGTAAACCTTTTGCTCTGTAAAAACGCCGTTGTGCGACACTGCTGCACTTTCCTTTATGCTCCTCCATGTCCGTCCATCCATGCATCTTATCCGTCCGTTCCGATTGTGTAGCCGGTTCGGTTCGTAGTATAATACGAAAGATGGATTTTATTTACTTCTTGCCGGACTTCTTGATGCCCTGGGCACCGGTGTTGAGGGGACCCTTGCCGCCGGCCTTGGCGGCGAGATCCTTGCGGGCCTTCTCCTCTGTTGTCGGGGGGTGAAATGTTAGTTTCGTGTGTTTCTTTGTGTATTTGTTCATCGGTTTTGGGGCTTTTATGGTAGTGTAAACGGTGTAATGCGTGATATGGTGGTGTAATGCAAGTCCGTGGTGTAGGGGAGGGAAATGCGTACCGGCTCTCTTTTTCTCGAGGAAAGCCTTGTCATCCTCGTCGAGCTCCTTCTTATCCTTCTTAGGAGCCTGTTCGCAAACCAGAGTCAGTCTTGGATTCTGCGTCATCGAAGTTCGTCGTGTTTCCGCCAAGCTAGGCCGCGACTACTAGGGAGGGTTGAACGCCGTGGGGAAGGTTTTCGCGACTGCTGTGGTGAATGTCCGCAAAGGGCCGCCAGCCAGTGGTTAATCCCTCCCATAGTCGTGGCTCAGCGATGCCAAGTGTCGTCGTCGCTCTCGTCCGTAACACGTCATATTAAATCGATGCATAGAGAAACGCACCTTGAGGGGCTTGGCCTTGCCACCTAAAGAGGATATACTGTCAGCATGAGGCTATCACCATATTTTCGTTGATCCCCCACTGTGAGCGCCGTCGCACAGCACAGCGAGCGACAACGAATAAGCGACTAGGAAGAAAACATACCAGCTCTGTCAGCGCCACCCATTTTGCCGGTTTATGGTTGGTATAAAGAGTAGAAACGGTGTTGTTGGTGGGACGTCAAGTTCTGCGACAACAAAAAGAGAGAAGAATTGGCGATTTGGGGAAATGGCTTCAGGCGAGAAAGACAAAGTGCCCCACCGATCAGCAGGTGAAAGCGGCCGCCGATAAGAAAGGCTAGAACAGCAATGGCACCCTTGCGACTGGGCGGTGGCACGGCTGAACTTCGGCCACGTTTGGCGCTAACAGTTAAGCACTGCAGGGGATAGGATCCGCTGTTAGTGCAGCATGCGGTAAGGCTCTGTGTAACCCCTGAAGCGCGACTGACTTCCGGTGCAGCAGCGTCGTTCCGTCATTACCAGGTATCTCCCGCTCTATCGTTCCATTGCCAGGCTGCAGCCCTGATACTGGGGTCCAAAATCTCCATCCAGCACCGTCTTAGCCTTCAGTCAGGCCACTCCAACCAACTCTCGTACAACACACTGCTAAATCCATCTTCAACGCTACCACTCTCGGCGGTAGAACTGACGAAGTTGAAAAGCTAAACTGGTTGGGCTCTGCTCTCCGTCTCACGAAATCATTGCTTATCGATCACGAAGCTGACGCTCTCTCCCATCTGCCCATTTCCCCAAAACAGCCAGCAGCGGAACCACTTCCTTGTTCAGTTCTCTCGGTTTTTCAACCTTGGCAAAGCTGGCACAACCAGACGGGCTATTTTCGCGTTAGTTCTCTAAGTCGGACGTTCACATTCAAGCGGTCGGTTTGCACACAATGGCATTTCCCGATGTTAGCTCGGATGAAGGGGAAATCGCAGAGGCAACTCCCCTGCCTCACTCTAAGTTGAACGGTGATATTGACCGGACCGGCAGACCAAGAGCTAGACTCGAGCGCACTCCCGAACCCTCCAAGCTCCCTGACCATCGTCAGTCACCCAGAGTCGGACACGCCCGCCAAGGCTCCTTCAGTCGTCACAGCAGGTCGCCACGCTCGCCTCCCCCTCCGCGTTCGCCCAGGGGCTTCAAGCGTTCGCGCGATGATGATCGCCATGACCGAGACCGAGACCGGGACCGTCGCGATCCCCGACACTTCCGCGTTCACTACGACGATGATAGAGGTAGTAGCCGATACCGCGACCTAGATCGTCCGCCCTCGCGCGGCTCGATTAATTATAATGACGATTGGTCATCTTCGGCCCGCAACCGGTACGGCTCATCCAGGGACGCCCCTCCACCCACTCGTCCGTCCGCCGACCGTGTAGATGACCGTGGCCGTGACCGCGAGCTACTGGATTACGACCGCGAGCGCGACCATGATTCATATTCCGCCAAGAGGCCTCGCAATAACAGAAGCAGATCTCCAAGGGGCGGTCGCCGCGACAACAATAACAGAGGACGGCGTGACAACAGGGGTCGTGTCGTTACGTTTCAGCCAGAAGGAACCTACCAAGATGGCAAGGATGACAGGCGTGGGCAAGAGATGTCTAAAGGAAATACTCACACGGCGGCTGCTTATTCTACCAAGGAAAATGCTAAATCTGGTCAGGGTGTTCCGGTTGAACGAGGTGTCAAGGAACTAGCTATCGCACAGGATGGGTAGGTTATTCGGTCATTATATGCGCTACGAGTCGAGAATATCTTGCTAATATTTCTTACAGTCCACCTCAACAGGAGGCATCCAAAGAGCCCGAACCCGACATGGACTGGGACCCGTCTGAGGCGATGGACGAGGAAGCTCGTGTCCAGGCCGAGATCGAGCGGCGGAGACGCGCCAGACAGGCAGCTCTTCAGCGCGGTCTGGGTGCGGCAAGCCCCAGTGTCCAGTCATTACAAGGTGATAAGCCATCGCCCACCCCCTCGTCGAGCCGTTTCAATACCCCCGCTCCCCAGAAGACAGAGCCCAGCAGTCCCAAGTCGAGTAAGTCTATAGTCCTTCTTGTACCTGTCCACTCCAGCCGCTAACTATCCTTAGGGAATGTTACCATGTCGCCTACCCAGTCACCCGCCCAGGTGCCGGACACCATGTCTCCTTCTGCGTTCAACTTCTTCCTGGCAGAGCAAGATCTTGCGAGAGCCAATGGAAACGATAAAGTGGAAGTTGATGGTCCCTCTGCCGCTGATTATGATCCTACCGCTGATATGAAGGAAGACGAGCGCCGTGACGAGCTGCGTCACGGACATGTTGGCTTGCATGGAGAAGCTAAACATCCTGCTCTGGCAGATGTTGCCAAAGAAGAGCAAAATGATGAGGAAAAGCAGCCTGAGAAAGGAGACGACGACGACGATGAGTTTGACATGTTCGCAGACGATTTCGACGAAGAGAAGCTTGTGGCTCCTGCAGCTTCGAAGAAAGCTGGAAACGATGGCCAGGCTAATGTCGGCGGCGGTAAGCTCGAAGGTGACGATAAAGACGGTTACTACAAGATTAGGCCCGGCGAGCTGTTGGATGGACGATACCAGTTGTCGACGGCTCTTGGTCGTGGAATGTTCTCGGGAGTCGCCCGCGCTTTGGACCTCACGACGCAGCAGACAGTTGCCATCAAGATCATGCGTAACAACGACGCTTTGCGGAAGGGCGGTTTCACTGAAATTGCCATCCTACAGAAGCTGAACGAAGCTGATCCTGAGGACAAGAAGCATATCGTCAAGTTTGAGCGGTCCTTTGAGTATAAGGGTCATCTGTGCATGGTTTTCGAAAATTTGAGCATGAACCTCCGCGAGGTGCTGAAGAAGTTCGGAAACAACGTTGGCATCAACTTGCGTGCCACACGCGTTTACGCTTACCAGATCTTCCTCGCTCTTGCCCATATGCGCAAGTGCAGCATTATCCATGCTGACCTGAAGCCTGACAATATCTTGGTAGGTCTCCTCAAACACACTGTGATGGAGACACGATGCTAATTTTTCCGATGTAGGTAAATGAGGCACGCAATCTTTTGAAGATTTGTGACCTGGGTACGGCGATCGACCGGTCTGACGCGGCCACGGCCTCGACGGAGGTGACACCGTATCTCGTCAGTCGATTCTACCGCGCGCCAGAAGTCATCCTAGGCATACCATATGACTACTCCGTAGACATGTGGTCCATTGGCTGCACCTTATATGAGCTGTACACGGGCAAGATTCTATTTACGGGCGACAGCAACAACCAGATGTTGAAGACCATCATGGAGATTCGTGGCAGACTGAACGCCAAGTTGTACCGCCGTGGTGAATTATGGGGCATGCACTGGGACGACATGGGCAACTTCCTCAGCGTCGAGCGGGACAAGGTCCTTGGAAAGGTACGTTGTTTTCTATTCTTTTTGTCTGTTTTCATTTTCCCGAGCGCTTCCGTTCTGCATGTGCGAGGCAATCACATTGCAATCAATCCATGAGATATTCCCCGATCGTCACCCTCCGAGTTTACCATCTTTTCTTCTTTTTATGGAGGAGGGTTGTACGGAAGATGATGTCTGACTGGAGATGCCCCTGGCGTCAGGTTGGCCTTTCTAGCCGATTCCCTTCAACCCCCCCCCCCCCCCCCCCCCCCTTTTTTTTCTTTTTCCTTCATTTTTACAAAGAAAAACTTTATTCATTTATTTATGGAGAGGAGAGGGAGGCGCCTTGGACGGGGAGGCCGGTTGAGTGGGACGGCGCTTGTGTGCGGCCCGGCATGATGTCTCCCATTCCCATCTGCGGTGTCGTCTGAGTATCACCTCATCCTCTCCAGCCCTTGTTGGTCCGGTCTTTTGGCATGATGAGGATCTGATGTGACAGGGTTATGAGGCCAGGCGGCTTGCATCCTAGATCCGATGTGGACATCCCGCGTGGTTGGTCTGCCTAGCAATCTTCCGACGTGCATGAGAGAAGGGACAGACAGAGAAGATTTGATGACATCCCCAGTGGGCGTCGTGCTGTGCCTCGCCTGCACATTGACCGCTTGGCAATGTCACCGCAACCGCATAACCCCCGGGGCATCGTGGCGTTTCTTCCCCTATCCTAACTGGAGAGCATGCAGTCCTTCCCGTTGTCGTTTTTTGTGACGGCGGCACGCGGGAGACGCCTGTTACTCTTTGCTTCTTCAACACGCTCTCTCCATCCCTTCACTCCGCAACCACACTTCCCCTTCCGCTTCCTTCCTTCTTCCAACAATATTTGCCAAATATACCTACCCGAATTGGGAATCAAACTAACTTACTGCTCCTTTTTGTACAGACCACTGTCAAGACCCTGGCCACTGTTAAGCCGACCCGCGATTTGCGGGCCCGTCTCGTGGCCGCCTCCAGCGGCATGAGTGATGCGGAAACCAAGGAGCTCAATCACTTTATTGATCTCCTCGAACGCTGCCTGGCGCTCAATCCGGACAAGAGACTCACGCCATTGGAGGCCCTCAAGCATCCCTTCTTCGGGCAAGCGGTGGCGGCAACGGCGGCAGGTCCGTCGGCCTCAAGTCACTTCTCACATGGCCACGCTCATGCGCATGCGCAGCGCACGGCAGGTCATGCTAGAGCTTAGGTAGTAGGCGGATTGTGAGGCATACGGGCAGCTGGCAACGAGTAGTGTGTCGGTATACTATATCATTTACATATTAATTTTGTATATGGCGAGGCTCATGCTGTGAGGCACGGCTTAGCATAGATACTTTAGTGTGCGCCAAGTACGATAGGGGAATTTCATAAAGCTGTTACAATGAGGTGAATCAAAAAAGCCATCAGCGGCAGGTGAACAGCGTTAATTGACGGCTTAACTGCATTCATAACCACTTTTTCTATGCGACCTGTTCCGCACATCAACCCAAACTGAATCTTTCATACAGTCCAACAGCGTTGTCGTTGTCTGTTGGTTCTGCCTTTGCCCACTGGGTATAAGGCACCTATTTGCTGTGCCATGCCATACTGTGATATGCTTTGGCATCTCGTTGCGTATTCCGTCCATACATTTGTTTGAATTTCTTTCCAAATTCCCCTTGCCGCTTCCCACCATGCAGCAGCGGCAGCAGCAGCATCTCGCTCGCCTTGCCGGGAAGCCGCATAGAGCGTACCCCGATGGACGTCTCGTCACATCACACATCCACTCGGTTTCGTTTCTTCCAACTTGTGTTGTTAGTGCCTATTTGGATCTGCGGGAAGCCGAGAGCAAGCAGGTGCGAAAAAAATGACAGGTCAACAGAATTATCACATAGTCGGGCCATATATTTCCAACATTGCGTAGTTTCATAACTCACACGAGATTAGGACCAACACCAACAAGCCGACTGATGAGAACATAAGCAAGCACGGCAGGGACAGTTGAACAGGAGTGGAGGACGAAGGAGTGAAGGGCGGTAGTGGTGGATCATGTGCCCCTCGTTGATAGTGTGGTTGGCGGTGGTTGACTGACTACGTATTGACTGGTTCAGGTATCTACGCTTTAGTAACTTTGCCTTCTGCATTGACGGTTGCGTAGCTGGCTGGCTAGACTAGAATCACAACGACTAGTTCCGTTGGTAATGTTTGACATGGTTGACAGAAGCCAACCCCGATTCTCCGAAAGGGACGGGAGTCGATTTGGATTCAAGAGGCCGTAAAAGTCATCAAGGCTTTTATTCATGGTGGTGTATGGACTTCTGTTTGTCGCCATCTTGATGTCCTTGAGGCTCATCTGGGGTTGGTTGTTGGTGATCTTGATCTCTCTGTTGTGAAAGCAGCGTGGGCAGCAGGATGGGTGAGGTTGATTTCACAGTGGAAGTACGGAATATAGCATCTGCGATCGCCGAACTTGGACGGCAAAATGCATGATCACTGCTATAGCGACTGAACTGGACTTGATTTCTGTTAGTCGCTCTTTAGCTGGGACCGGATGGCCATCGCGGTGTGGCGATGGTGAAGTAATCTCCAAACTTGCGAGGACCTGATACAGATTCCACAAGTAGGTACTCATGGAAGGTACGAAGTGCGCAATGAGATATTATTCGTCCGTGAATAATATTTTCACGGAAGGCGCGCCTCACACCAAAAAAATCCAACTGGGGAAAACTACTTCAAGAGGTCGCGTGTTCACCTCCTCACCCCTTCACCGTGTCGTCCTTCCTTCCCTCCCTTTCATGTTCTACGTTTCTACATCTGTTGAAACATGGTCATGAAATTGCCAATATCCCGCCAAACGGATGACCTGAATCTGATACAGCTTTTTCCTTGCCCTTCTAACCTAGTAGAGCCTCTGAAGTGGAGGTTTCATCACATCCCTCGGGTTTGACTTCAAACTTGCACACACCAAAGAAACGTGATCAATCACAACTTCGAATGTGTACAGTTGGGATGCTTCCCGGTGTCTCGCGCCTCATTCACTTACTCACTCACTTAAAACAGCCTGGAAAGCCTGGTGAGTTGCGCGCGCCCCGGCTGAGGCTACCGGACCAGCAGCCTGCCGCCCTTGCTACGTATTTCATGTCTCTCATGTGGTGTAAGCAAAATGTAGTGACCCGCCCCAGACATCTTCGAAGACGGGCGCGCCACTCGCTCGCTTCACTTCCAGTTGCTATACTGACCCCTACTGAAATCAGGACCCGTGTTTCGGTATTGGTCACTTACCCGCTCCAGTGTTCACTCACTCACTCATTCACTCACCCACTCATTAGGTGGTTAACTTCTAATGTGCAACATCACTCCTTCCATCTACTGACCAGCCAACCAACCAACCGCACTGAGACCGTACTGTACGACTAACACATCTCAATCTATTCTCCGTAGCACTTGTACGCTCTTCGTAGAACTTCAAGTGATGCCCTACTCTCTTCTGTTGAGCGCTTCCTGTTTCGGATATCGGTGTGTGTCTGTCGGTTCGGCTCGCTAGGTATGTATGAACTTCTTGGTGAATGAGGAAGTAGTGCTGAAGCAATGGCCCAGGTCCGATTCATATATTCAAGGATGTATGTCTTGACGTATGTCTATCTGTCGTCAAACAGAAACGAGCGCCAGACCTTCTTTCGGTGTCTCCTGCGGGATATCTGTGGTTTGGCTTTGACCCGAGTTTTGGTTCGGGGGCAATGGTGTGTTTGACGCTGTGTTGGTCTCGGTGATCCAGGTTGGTTAGCTACCTAGGTAGATGTGTGTTCGGGGTTTGCTATACGGAATAGATACCCGTCCTCTCCATCCTCTTTACTTTGCGAGATGTCGTGCTTGGTTGGTAACATTCAACCATGGAAAGCGACGAGTGGCTAGGCGAGTTCATGAGCACGGAGTTACGGTCTAGTGCGAGCCCCCGCTATATCAAGTGTTACTTACGGTAGATCCTCGTCGTCATCCCAGCATATCCAAGTCTTGGAGATCGAGTGGTGTACAAAGCTGGCTCATCACCATATTATCGAGCGGAATGTTTCTTAGTGGGAAGAGGAGTCTGTGGTTGGTCACAGTAATAGACCCAATCTGAGCGCAATCGATTCTCTAGTAGCGCGTCCTCTTCATCCAGTCCTGAGTTTGATTGTGTTTCCTGTGCACAGCAGCACACTACGGGATTGTATATTCGCCTTGCCATTGCTGGTATCGTGGTGCTTGTACGATCACGCTGTCCGGGTGAAACAAGCTATAAAGCCGGGTTTTGGTGTTTCTGTCAACGCAGCCAATGAATGAGTGACCTGGATGTCTATCCTTTTGTAAATCGGACGGACCGTACTCGAAAGTTGATGATGAGCTCTGCGTGGGGGGGTTTTTTTTTTTTTTTTATTATTATTATTATTATTATTATTAATTTTTTTATTTTTTTTAATTTTTTTTTTTGCCTTCCCTGAAAAGAAAAATGCAATTGACGTTGGCTGGTTAGGATTAGCCAACCAACCAACCACTGACCATACCTCATTATATGTCAGCCACCAACATCGTCAGCCACAGGCAATCCTCCGTGGTGGTGTTGTGGTGATCAACCGCCTATCCGCCTGCTTGTCCGTTGTTGATGTGGTTCGCCGTACACATAATGTCTGGTCCGTATGTGTAGACTCGACTTGCGGACAACTATAACGTTGGTGAAATGCTCAATAGCAGTAAAGTGAGACCGGATGTGACATGCATAAGTGAGGCGGCGATTCGTCTGCTTTGTCCTTGAGTGTGATGCCCCATGATGAGAAGTGACATACCTAATACTATTCGTAAGCTGTAACTCCTGAGTGGGCAAACATTGTAGCTATAAGAAGTTCATTGCTTGCACATGGTGTTACATTCTACGATGGACGACAGGCAGAGCTGGAGATCCATGAGATAAGGCGCCGCCACACGGCTTTTACATTGCATAGCCAGACTATTAAACTCATGCTAATGAACGCTGAAATGTGTGCCAACGGTAAACGTGCCCGGTTTTGAGGCGTGTTTCAAGGGTCCAAGGCCGGTGGCAAGACCCCAGGGTATGTACTGTTTACTACCGAAACTTGCCCCTTCTTGCGGGGAACGAGTCATCCATTAGAGGTGGGATTTCCATGAGGCTAAATCAATACATGTATGGGTCAAAGAGTGAGTGATTCTTGCAGTGGTAAAAAAAAAAAAAAAAAAAAAAAAAGAAAAGTGTTTGTTAACAGGTCATGAACCAAAGACTCCTGTTCGATAGAGGTATGTGACACGAACTTGCCCCTCTCCACGAGGGCTCTCCTCATAGAGTTATGTGACTGTTATAACCTATTCTACGAGTACGGGACACGTAAATGACTTCCCTATAGACCGTTATGGAGAGCAAAGTAGGTAATGGCAACTGTGGCCAAGACTTTACTCACATCCTGTGATAAAGTTGGTCATCTAGCTGAACATGACACTGAGAAGATGACTCAGCCACTGAGCCAGACAACGTCCAGCGTCTAACCTATAGACATGGCTTTTGTCTCATCCTGCGTCGGACCCGGCCGATAAGTGGGTAATAGTGTTGCCGTCCATTCTTCCTAGAAAGGAGCAAGGGCGTAGGGCTCACAAGTACAGAGCTGGCCTCCGTACGGAGCTTACTGCGTTGTACAGACCTACGGATTTAAGTCAGTTGGCTGATAAGGCGGATGACAGGCCCGACAAAGCTGAGAAGTTCGCGGACCCAACGGTTGTCCAGATCTGGGGAGATACAAGTGCGCAGGCAGTCAGTATTGTACATCTGGCAGAAACCGAGTTGGGCAGGACAAATAGCAAATTTGTGTATATGTGGTGCGTAGATGTGCATGTACAACAACAACAACAACATCGGGACACCCTTGGAAATAGGGTGCCTGCTAAGGGGGATGATGGCAGATCAATGACTCCATGTTACCGGCTACTTCTCCCCCGGCATGTCATTCAGGTCGACACCTGCTGGCGGGAACTGTTTATACCTTGATTGAGCGCAAAGGCGGTAGGTCTACATATGTCAGTACTGTATGCGATTTCGGATTCGCATGCTTTGTCACAAGTTGGTTGTCAGCCCTGCTTTCAAATGCTGCTACTGCTGTAACAACAGCACACTATTACCCCGGAACGGCGTATAGCTTGTGAGCGGGTAGCTACCTCTACGTAATGGGTGCTGTGCTACAAGGATTGTCCCGGTATCTCTGGAGACGTGCGTTGAGAATATACACTATTATCGTAAACCTCTACGCAGTAAAAGTAGGAGAGTGCTGTCTTTGAGGAATATTCGTTTGGCTTGAAATTGTCAAGTTGAGTATAGACCACTATAAATGTCGACAAATCGAAAATTGAATATTCACTCCCCTTTCTTGTGCACTCATTTCTCCTCCCTGAGTGTGGATAGCAAGTTGGGCTCGTCCGGCTCGATGGCTAAGTCAAGGGGTCATCAGTTGACGTTTTCCTGACAGGCTTGAATCAACGAACTGACAACCGCCAGCAACTTGGTTTCCCACTTACCTAGGGCCACAGCACCGAAGTCAGTGAAGAGGGCTATTTGCTGTCTCGACTCTGAAGACCATCCAGCCGATTTCGCATTTTCAACTGTGAAGTTATTTGGTCTATATGTCCAGTTTCTTCGACCCTCGGAGGGAATGTCGTGTATCACGACAGACTCTTGCGGCGGCCTCAAACGTTCCACCGCGTTTCCATAAGCTCCCTGCTGTCTGCCGTGCATGCTGCTGTTGGTTCAGAGCCAGTTCTTGGTAAGGATCGGACATGTTGAATTGACGCTGCCCTTTCCGACTGTACCACGAGCCAAAATGTGCCAGTGTTGTTGTCGTTGCAGGGTAAATACAAACGCCGGTTTGAGGCATTCGTACCTCTAGGTACGTGCGTAGCGCAACAGGCCCGATGAAGCCTTACTAACACTTCAGACAGGAAGAGCCGCCTTTATCAATAACACCGACGAAGTCGTACAGTTGCAAGGCACCTCAGTAGGGGATCTCCGACAGAATTATTGTATACGGTATATAAGGCATGGTACATTCATCCGGTTTGTTGTGACGCTACTGCGAATGTTAGCCGGTTTCGATGGAGACTTGACAGGCACAGTTGTGGCATAGCGCAGATAGCGATATCCATTTGGCATCGTACAGTGCTCCTCCCTTGACTGATTGAGTTCGCTACATTCTTCCGAGTGTACTGCTGATGCTATATTTAAAATCATGTGGAAGAGGTATTGAGAGCATTATTGTGGACATATTGCTGTCGATTTTTGTCACTGGTTTGGGACTTTCGTAAATTAACGAGCCTCTCTTTCTTATTGGCAAGTTGTGTATATCGGAAATGGCCACCGGCCCAGGAAGCACAAGAAATACACTACCATGGTACTTATCACCCACGATTCAGTTCTTACGCCCCAGATCGAAGACGAGACGGGTGTGCTAGGTGACGGTAGGCGGCGATCATTGTTTCGCATTAGCTCTCGCGGAGATGACATTTCGAACTCTGCAAAATGCGGCTATGTTGATCTGCATGTTCTGTAAGTCACGGGGTTGCACATACCTGGTATCGTGATTCTGGAGAGAGGGGGGCTTGGCCATTCACTAGACCTAGTGGCTTGTCCGACACTACATCGAATCTAATGCTGCATTTGGCAACCGAGACATGAGCATACAGCCAACCCATTCCCAAGCCCGGGCCACTTGAATGGTTGGGTTTTGGAGAAGGAGGGAGTAGTGGAAGTGAGCTTTGCATTTCACGGAATCCACCTTGGGCCAGCCCGAAACACGTGCGAATACAGACATTGTTGTGTTGTGCGTTGTGTTGTGCGAGAGACATATGCCGCGCACATCCTCATGGATCCTCATCCATTCATGCCTGACATAATGCCTGACCGTGTAAAGTTGGAGGTTGATGGGGTTTATTTCGTTTCTTTGGAGGTTTAGGAGGCAACATGGCTATTCATGGACCATAGCTGATAGAGCGTTGCTAACAGTCACGGTGACGCCGGTTGGCGTAGCTGAAAGTCGGTCATGGCTGGCTTAATCGGGAGTATATATGGAGTTGTACCAACGCTTTGGCTGGAAGCTGGCACGATTAGTTGTAGTTTTCCAAAAAAAAAAAAAAAAAAAAAAAAAAAATTCAAATTTTTTTTTTATCATTATTATAGGATCGCTGCCATGCAGTGTCAGTGAATGGTCACAGATCGGCCGTTGCCGATGACGTGCGGCTGTAGTTCCCCTCCGAGGGAGCAACTTGTGTGGTTGCAAATGATGTAAATGTCCAGGATGGCAATTTGCCCCGCCTTGTCCGTTCCTGACGACAGTGACGAGCTTCCATCGAGATCTCCGACCGCGGTGCGTCAACAAAACGTTGTAAACGTGTGCTTGGCGAAAACCCGTTGATGTTTGCGGATCCTTCGGCCAGGGCTCTAGAAGCAAGCGTACACTACACTAGTGCAGTGTAGTGTACTTGAGTAATATCAAGGCGGGACTGATGTCTCACCCAGCGGCCCATGGGCTCGCCAGCATGATGTTGTGAGCCGTGACTGACGAGTGCTTTGCGGGGAGATCTTCATAAGGCCATGCTTGTCGCCGTGCCCGTCGTCGTCGTCGTTCATGAGCCGCTCAGACTAGGCTGTGTTGGCCCGGGATTCAAAACGGGATCCGGCCTTCTGGAACCAGATGATCAGGTTTTCTAGTCTCTGCCAAGGTACCGTTACCATGCCGCCGGAGTGGTTCTGAACTTCTGGGACCGTCTTATGTAGTTAGCGCCCGTCACAACGCCGTCACCTGTGGGACCGTGGGCGTGGGCGTGGTTATGGCCGTCGAAGAAAAAGGAGGGGATGACTTCAGCTGACGAGAAGGTATGTTGGCCCACCATTTGTTGTGCCGTCAGTGTGATGAGTGCATCCTGCCAACTCCTCCAAGCCATGTATGTATATACCCATGGTGTGGGAGCCGAATCGCACTCGAATGGAAGGAATTGCAGGGAGGCGGCCAATAATGAAACCCTATACCGCAGACGTGGATCACCATTCTGCTTCTTTCTGCTCGTCCCCAGTGCTTCCTTCAGTCCTGAAATAGGCGGGGCCTGAAATGAGAACCTGTTGACGATCTTACAGATATCAGACCCGTTGTTCTTCTGGTTAAAGCCCACCATAGCAGGCCTGTCCTGTTGAGATGCGGCCACGGCAAGTCACAGCTTCGGTGGACTGGGTGGCCATGTTGCAAGCGGTTCGATGTCAAAACGGGAGAGTCTGGTGAAATTGCCTAGACGCCCGCCCAGCTGGAGAGCATCCAACAAATGTCAAAGTGAAGCTTGAGAATGGTTGAGAGTTGAGAAGGATCCGTCATATGTGAGGGATGCAGGAAGACCTATGCGCATCATTTGCTGCAAGTGGAAGAGCGAGCGTAATTGCATAATCCCATCGCTTGGTTCAAGAAGGAATCGAGATGGGACTTCCACGTTACCTAGTCCTGCTAGCGGGGCGATGGAAAAGAACAACTGACTGCCTAGAGGTACTGCCCGCGTACTGTGTATGTATGGCTGACTGGCCAATCAAACATTACAACTGAACAGACACTTCAGGTTTGCAGTTGTGCACGGCAGGAGCGAACATCACGAATGCGAGGGCACTGGGGCGTCTGACAAGCTCGGATCTGCCTGCAGCTTCTGCCACCATCTAACAGATTGTTACGTAAATACATAGCGAAATTGTTATTGACCCGCACCTCGCTTACACTAACGCCACTCACAATACAAGGCTTGAGACGACGACGAGAAACACAGCCTTCTTCACCCGTCCTGACTCTTTTGACCAATCCAGTTAGTTTCCTTCTCCCAACTTCCAATCCGCAATCGTCACAATGTGCCAACCGATAATTTTCCACTTGATTGCCTTCATTTCCGGCCATCGATCATCTCCATCCACTGCCCGCCGTCTAATGTCCGCAAATCGATAGATGGATGGAGGAATTGCAACCCTCCTCTTCTGTAACCAGCCCATGGTCCATGTCCTCCCATCTTACCCCCTCTCCGTAAACTCTGGAAGCCAGCCGCAACTGACTGCGCTAACTTCAGGCCCGTCCAGGAAGCCTGAAGATCCGCCGCGCTAAAACACTGCACCCATCAGACCCTCCGTCAGATTCGACTTTGGCTCGACTTCAGAACACTACTCTGACGGAGCTTGGACATGCCCCGACAAACCTGACTCGCCCTTTTCACTTACTTAGCAACATATGACGGCCCACATACGTTTCGATACAGCAACACCTGGACATAGTGCCCAAAGCACCAGGCAAGAGCGAGTCCAGCCATCAAATCAGGACTGGCCTACCACTTATACCCAATATGGAAGCCCCGAGCCTCACTACCTGAATTCCGTATGAGCACAGAGCTCTTGACGCACACGCCTCGCCCACTAAGTCGTCCGATATCTAGGCAAGCTAGGTATCTACTTGAGCGCCTCCGCGTGAAAATATCGGAATTGGCTCTCGCCCTGCTTCGACGGGATGCCTGTAAGAGACTATACACCCTACTCGTAGGCATATAACAAGTTGAGCTACCTGCTCATCCAATGTGTCAAGCACGCACAACACCACTATCCTGAACTCCCCCGAAACGGTCATTGTAGCGGGGTGTGCCAGTACCAGTACCATTCAGTGCCTATACACTACATGCACTTTGCTGATAGTTCATAATCTTACAAAGAGCCCTGACGTTGTAGTTATGCACACTAACGAGTCCAACAGTGATTAATGCTGGTTTTTCAGCGGGCGTTATCACAGCCGATCTGCTCAATGCAGCACTTGCACTTCAGCCGAGATACATAATGGCCATGGATCAAGGTTTCGAATCAGGGCCGCGAAGGCTGCATGGCCAATCAGGCATGGATCCGTAACCTTCTCACGAAGTCTTGGTCGAATCAAACAGGGCAAAACAGGCTCGGCATGGATGATGACCGCCGTAAGGCCGCCCACCTTGCTTTAACGGTGCCTGCCATAGGGGCGTTGGGGCGTCCAGGTGACTGCGGTGAGCGAGAGGAGTTGACGCGCAATACGGTACGGCTTCTTTCTACCTCTACGGGAAGGCGAGGAATTCGTCAGCATACACTTTTCCACCAGCCCCCCGCGAGCCCCGACATCATCGGAATCCTGGAGCCGCTTGGCCGCATTGTGTTGCGGCTTCAGAAACCGTCAGAAACATGCCGCATGCCAATCACAAACTTCCTTCCCGTTGTTCAACTTTTGCCACTTCCTATCAGCACCACACGTATCGGTAACAGTACCGTTCAATCCTTCTTATCCGCCAGAACCACCAACGCCAGCTTGCAGCTATGTTAAGGAACATATCCTAGGTCAATACACGAGTGTTCACAATACGGACAGGCGGATCAAACTAGGCTTTGGCCTGCTGAACAGTACCTCATCAACCTCACACGACCAAAAAAAGCGCCAGTCCCGTTGACAATGAATACCGACACGTTTTCCGGTCTATTTGAACGACGATGCCTTGCTGGCGAGTACTGAATCAGCGCGGCTACGGGTGGAAGGCATTGGATGACAGGTAACAAGCAGGCGGTCTCGTTCAGGGACTGAGATTCACGTGCAGTCTGTAAGTGTCTGCGTCTGCGTTCATGGCTGTGTGCGTGTGTTCCCGCTGTAAGAACCTCTCCTGTGGGTAAACGGACATACAACACGTTTTCCTCACCTGAACGGTGAAGACATGAAAATCGGCAAAAGCCACGGGCCCACCAAGCATTGCTCTCAGCAACAAGGACACTTCATTCATCAGCGGGAATGGGCATCGCAGAGTGCGTCACACGCTGTCACGCGCGCTGGGCTGTGGCTCTTCTGCTTTTCAGTTTTCGCCCTCTCCCTGTTGTGAACGAAACGATGCGGTTCGGTGGATGCCGCTCTGATCCTTCAGTCTTGCACTCAGTGCTGGTCTTCATACTAGCAGCTCGGCTCACCCCCCTCCTTTTCTGACAGGGACAGCATCCCATTATCCTGCACATCCCATTCG